TTCTTCTTCTCGCCTATTGCATTAAGGGATTCGATAGTTGCATTTAGGTTCTTACTTTAGTTCTTCCTCCTATGACGGAAATAAACCTTATTAAGAGCAATAGCCCTATTAATGTAATCATCTTTTAAGGTATTCGAGGGTAAATAAAGCTATATGTCTAGAGCATCTCTTACATCTTCTCGAAGGCTATCCCTATACCTTCTAAGAAAAGTTTTAGGAGATAGGATAGGGACAAGTTTGCGCGAAAGGGTTTGTAAGTCCCTTGTAAAAGCCCTAGCTAAACTAGTCTGTCTTATATGCTTAAATCGTCTCTTTTTAATTTCCATCTAATCGAGATCTATATAACGGTACTAGATCTTTAACAATTAGGCTGTAAAAGAATTAACTATAAGGTGTTCTTGCTAGCAATTAAATAGGTCCCCTTCTAGATAGGAAGAAGTAAGGCGGTTCTTTTCGTTATCCTATAACAGTCTATAAAAGATAAAGTCCTCTTGCAAACCTATCTAGTTTTTAAGTTAGGTAATCTAATTATCTACTTCTTCATTCTTTATCTTTTCCTTAAAGATAGGAGGTTTCTAAATAGGTACTTTTAGACGATACTTATGCTCTCTAGTAGTGGTTACAAAGCTAGAAGTAGGAGGAGTATCTTGTTACATTAGCTCTAGCTATAGAGGAGGTAGAGGCGCCTATTATAGGGGCTGTTATAGACTAGGTTAGTTCCTTACCTAGTATTCTACATATTCGGCCTCTTAGTTTAGGCGGTTCTGCTCTATATAGTAGAGGATCTCGAGTAGTTCTTTACAGGTCATCGACGAAGGGTCTCGAGGTTCTTAACCGACTTATTGCGGCCTAGTTGTAGGTCCTCTAACTGGTTAATAGCTAGTTGTAGACCCCTCTAGCTAAGCGTAGCTAGTTGTAGGGTCGTAGTAGAGATCGGGTTCTATTAGAATGTAAGAGAGTTATATAAGCAGGGGATATAAAGAAGTTTTAAAGAGGCTAAAGTACTATGTTAGTAGTACTATGCTATCTAGTCCTCTTATAAGAAGGGATATCCTTCTTATATCAATTAGAGTTCCTCTAGCTAGAAAGACCACTTAGATCTATCTTACAACTCCTCGTAGACGTATGTTTGTCTTCGGTAGAATGGAAAGCTATAAGCTTAGCTTAAAGATAAATGCCTTGCTACTCTTATCCTCGAAGTTGTAGGGGTTGTAGCTAATTATAAGAAAAGTGTAGTTGCGGACTAAGGGAAGCTAATGTTAGCTTACTCTTGCAACTACATTATATCCTTATAACTCCTACAAGTTAACTAATAAGGAGCGCAATAGCGATGCCGGCGTCGTGCGGGGTCGAGGTAGTCGTAAGTCTACCTTTTAAGGGCCATAGAGGGCACCCTAGGCCGTAGAGGCCTTCTAGAGCTTAGCTACTAGATGTAATTGCTAAAGGAACTTGATTTTTTAGACTACTGGCGCACGGCACGATTATATACCAAATCCGCCAAGCAATGGCTTACTCCGGCTTCGCAATAACATCTACATGCCCATTGTTGCAGGTACAACCCTGCTCACAAGTTCGAGGCTTGGCTCAAGCTTCATCGTCGGACCTCGGTTCAAGAATGCCCGGTTGATGAGGGGTCTATGACGCAGAGCCTTGGCGCTGAGGAGTCATCTCTTATCTCTCCGCTTGTTGTTGTCTTCCCTCCTTTCCTTCTTCCTCTCCAACTCAAAATTCAGAGAACGCCATTGTAGGACATGAGCGAGTGCGCGTGAGGCTCATTCTCGCCCATGGTCGATTCTGAAACGCGATGCCTGCTGCCAGTTGATCGCGGGTATTCTCCTTGACGGAGCGCAGTAGAGCGCATACGCGACCTTTGAGTCACTGTCGCTGTCGCGAGGGTTGAATGGTGTGGATTGAAGCTCAAGAAGAGCAAGAAAGCCCAAGGAGCTTGGCCTGCCTCGCAGTAGCCATCTAAGTGGAGTGCGTCCGTAAACATTGTGGCTCTATTGTGGTAGACCTATCGACCTTTGGCTGTCCGAGAGACTCGGTGTTGCGTACCTGCCGCCACGAAGGACGATTATCAAGATGGACGATACTATACGCGACGTATGATGCACTTGCCCCTTCTCTGTGACGTTGAAGCCAATCATTACGACAATTGGGAGCTTTGCGTTAGCGTCTGCTCGCATGCTCGTCGCCTCAGAATGAACGGATACACGAAGACATACGAAGATACCAAGAAAATGCCATGAAGACACAACGATACTCTGTGACCCCAGCCGCTCTACGTCAACATATCGAGGATGACTACCACCGATCGCGAAGAGAAAGAGCAGGACTGGAACCCCGAGGATATAGGCCGAGACCAAGACCAAGCTCAAATACGCTTGCGTCTCTCCACGTTACTGACTTGCGTAAGTCCGAGAGAGCGGGTGCACTCATTGCTGTTGTTTTGTTCATTGCTGCCTGCTTCTTGTCGTATCATCTCCAGTGACTATGCGTCACGCATCTGAACCGAAAGTTGCAACGCTACCGAATATGCATGTAAGGTTGACCACCTTGGCTCTTAAGAGAGTCAACTGCTCTCAAAGCTTTGACCGCTCAATGTGTCCAAGGTGAACATCATATCGTAGTCAAGAAACCATGACGTGGCCTTGATTAGATTCTGGAAAACCGAGACTTGAAAATCGAGACCGAACTGCTGACAAAATAGATACCAACCAACGACACCGACCTCCAATGCATGCATTAAAATGCTAAGCGGTCGCTTCACACGGACAGTGTTGGTGTCATCGATAGCCAAAGTGGATTTACCAAGCCCCTTTCGTCAGATCAAAACACGAGAAACCGCTGAATCTATGTCGATTCATTTCTCACCGCCGCCTGTGGCATCGGATGCTTTTGGGATCATGATCGCTATCAACATCATCGACTGTATGCGATGCGCCGATTTCTTGGGCATCGGTGACCAAGTATGCATAAACGCCTTTTGCAAGAGTATTGTTTTACTAGCGACTTTCACTCAGCTGTAAGACCCATGGTTGGCACTAGACCTCGAATGTGGAATATACTTACATGACTCACCAGCAAGCACAAATATTTGGCAAAGCACACAAGACCTTGAAAACAACAATTTGACTTGTTGCCCCAGATCATCCACGAGCTTTCAACAAACCGGAGAGATTGAAGGGCAGAAGATATCATCCTCGCCCGAGCAAGCATAACCAGATCGTCCGTCATGGAAGTGCGACCCGACTTGTATCAACACGCCCCTTTCTACCAGCTGTCTGCCAGCGCATGGCCAGTATCACGCCATCTGGAGTGCTCTCCGAATGTTGTTTATGACCGATAAGTTTCGGACTGCCCGACACAACCAAACACAGCACGGCTCTTAGCGTCTACCTGCCGGACAACTCCGTATTCTAGACTCTGCGCTTCTGCTCTTGACAGTCCCTAGAAGGTGGTTCGGCGCAACGTGGCGCGTTCCTCACCTTGCCCTGTTTCGAATCTCCAGCCACAAAAACATGGATATTGCCCTTGGTAGCACGAGTTCGTTGGTTCCTTGCGGCCCAGACCACAGCAAAATCACATTGCTTCACGGTATCTTTCAAAGGTCTTTCGCGGTCGAGACCTCGCCCAAACGCCACCAGATGGTTGTCCGGAGTGTCCACCGATGCATGATCAAGAGTTAGAAAGTGGTGTGTTAGATGAAGGAGACTAGAACCATTTCGACGCGTGGAACTCACAGCAGCACGATATTCGGCTTCGGAAGGAAACATGCCACGTATGAGCATCCCTGTGCTTCTTTCGTTCTACCTGAGGCCTGATCCCGCCATGGTCAACCTGTCTTATCAATCTTCCTTTTGATAGTCGACACCGATCAACGTCGCAACGATCTTAGATTTGGATCGACAATCGATTATACCCAAGTGCCTTATCTTGATGGCGAAGGAACAACAAACCCTGGCTTGCAGATCACGGAGGTTATAACATCACAGTCCCGCAAGAAATCGTCAGCATCCACCAGGATTTTGAAACGGAAACGCGGAAAAGTGGCAGCGTCAATGAGTGTCTACCTGCCAGCGGTTACATGCTGTTGCTGAGGGACCTTCTACGTGGTATGTTGTTTGTCGTCAGAGTGGAGCTCATTGCGTATTCAAAGAGAGTGATGGAACACATTGCGTCAACACGGAAGGACGGATCTCAAGAGAGCACGAGAGGAAACTCCGAATCATCTCCCATTCGTGCTTGCCTTCCAGACTTGAAGATAAGTTGAAACACAGACTACGACTCTGAGTCGTATTCGCTATACAGCTATGCACCCATCAACGAACGCCGCATTCCCAGAGAAAATGCTACCTATAGAACTTGATCGAGAAACATACAATGATGTCGCATCTCAAAACTGCATCTAGGATCTGCTATAATTTTGCAACCATCTCCCGATGGTATACCTTGAGTTGATGCTACACGCATTCCTTGTCATCAGCCTAAAGTCCACTTTAGGACATCACAGTTATAATAGAACATCAGAAAATACTGCACAAGAGTTGGCGTCTTGCAACATGACCTTCGCAGCTGACACAGCACGCAAGGGTTGATCCTTGGTGGCTGAAGCATGGCGATCCCAATGCACCGTTCGCACCTCCCCGAGAACCAGGACTTGCTCCTCAGCTATCCACGATCGAAGGAATGGATGCAAACTCACGCCAGGATTGTTTGCCACGACCTTGTATCCCATTGCAACACCGATCGTTGTGCATCCTTCCAGCACACCACCACGACCAAAAAATATTGCAACGTGAACGATATCTTGACATCCACGCATTCCTTGAAAAATTCGCTTGAACAAGCCCTATTATCGTCGTCAGTTGGAAATCAGAATACATATTGAGCTTTGAATCCCTCAAAGTTGAGAGTTGAAGTTAAAATCATACAAAGCTTCGTCATTGGTTATTCAACTCCCCCTCTTGTGCTACCATCTTCACACATCTCACAAGGACATGCGTCTCTCCATTTTTGTCTTCATTTCGACCTCTCTTGCGCTTCTCATCCCGAGATGTGCCGAAGGGTATGAAGAAACCGATGATCCGATAGTGAATACCTTTTCTGATGCGCTCTTAGTGACCATGCTTCGTCAACTATCGACGCTCGCGACTTGAATGCTTCCCCTGTTGCTGCTGCTCACAAAGTCCCCGAGGCAAAGCCTCCGTACACCAAAAAATACAAGGTTACTCCTGCCAAGACAGCTACGACTACACCTCTAGCAACCCGTGCTGTGACAACCGACGCCGAAACTTCAGAAGCTGCTGAGCTCTCCACGAGCACCTGTACCCCTCACTCTATCTGTGTGGACGCAATCAACTCTTGTGGGATGCGTTATGGAGGGTGAGTTGGCTTTGTTTCTTTTCGAATTGACTGAAGGCTGAGATAGCAAACAGATGCTACGATGAAAACTTCTGTGATGGCAATACCAGCCCTTACCCCATCCCTACTTGCTCGACCATGATGACGGTCAAGCGAGAAGCTACTCCTCCAACCATTACACCACCTTAAATTCAGTGAACCACGGCAACGTGGTCGATGTGGGTGTTGGAAGTGTCACGGCTTTGCAATGAAAACAACAAGAAGCAAAATGATACGTCGGTGATCTTAGTCGGCGTTGGGCGCTGAGATGTGGGTGAACGTGTACGATAATGAGAGGTTTATATAGACTTGCTTTGTGGTATGCATCGAAGACCTCCCAAACTTGACCCGCTCTAGAACGATGAAACAAGCCTTACTATAGTTGTTTTTCTCGCATTCAGGAATGACTCGCTGTTAGTATCAATGCCCAGATGCCCAGAAAGAGGGCCAAGTGGGTGGATTGCAAGAGGAATGTGCGATGCAATTTGCACCAGGCAAGGGATTTGACCGAACACACGCAAACTTGCATCTGATTGTGTTTGGACCTCTACGTAGGACATTTGACAAAAACACAGGCGCGACCCTACTTCCCTGGCTTTTATTCTCCCGCGAAGCCTGTTGCTTCGTCTGTTTTGACCAAGAACAGTTTGACTGATCGTTACTACATTCTTTTTCTATCATTCTTTCATTTATCTTCTCGACTCTCGTTTTAATTCGCCTTTCTTTCGACCACCCAACATGCGTTTCATCGAAGCTGCAGTTCTCGCAGCTCTTACTGTCCCTATAGCCGCTCGAGACAATTTTGACTTCAGAGTCAATCAACCACGTCGATTAGTTGCTGTTCAAAAACCGAGTCCAAACAGAGTTACTGGACATACTATCCCTCTTGCACGAGCGAATGCAAAGACAAATTCTTTGAGCGCTGGTTACCTTCAAGCCATCAGATCTGGCAGACATGTAGATGGTGTTTTTTCTCGGCTTCAGGTAAGCTCTTGACAGGAACAAGTTGATTAGCAGACAGATATTGACAAAGCTCCAGAATGGAACAACAGACCTTCTCTCGGTGGGTGCGGGAAGTGTCTTCCTTGCATCTCTTGGTGCAGGTGGCGAGACTTTTGAAGTAGTCATCGATACTGGAAGCAGCGACACTTGGCTTGTCAACAGCCAATTCACCTGCGTCGACCCATCCGATTCTGAAGTGATTGACGAAGCAGAATGTGCTTTTGGACCTACCTACTCCTTGTCATCCACAGCTCAGCAGGTCCCCAATCGCAACTTCAACATTTCGTATGCTGATGGAGAACGCCTCAATGGCGAAATCATTACCGAGGACTTGACATTTGCTGGTCTTACAGTTGAGAATCAAACCATGGGTCTCGTTACTGTGGCTGGCTGGTACGGCGATGGCACATCTTCTGGATTGGTCGGCCTCGCCTATGCATCTTTGACAAATCAATACAGTGGCAGTGACCCAGCTCAAGACATTCCAGGATTTAACATTCCTTACAATCCTCTTCTCACAAGTATGTTTGTCCAGAACATCACCGCTCCAATCTTCAGCATCGCTCTTGACCGCGACGTTACTCAGAGCGCCCAATCAGCTGGTGGTGTCCTAGCTGTCGGAGGTATCCCCAATATCCCACACGGAAAGTCCTGGGCTGTGGCGAATATCTCTGTTGTCAGTATCGATTCATCGACAGGTCCAACTGAGGAGTATCAATTCTACTCTATCGAGGTAGATGGCTGGGCTGTGAGCAAAAACTGGAACGCAAGTTTCGACGTGGCAATGACTGGAAACCCGAAAAAGACACCTTTGATTGGCGCCCCTACCTATAATACCATCGTTGATTCAGGAACGAGTTTGATATATGCGCCTACCGATGTTGTTAGTGCCCTTGCTGCGGCGTTCAGTCCCCCTGCTGTTTTGAGCTCGTCGTATGGCTTGTACACAGTTGCTTGCAATGCTACTGTACCTCTTTTCGGCGTCACCATCTCGAAGAAAGTCTTTTACATCAACCCTCTCGATTTGATCATTGATACTGGAGCGGGCTTCTGTGTTACCGGTGTGCAAGATAACGGTGGAGGCATGACTATCATTGGAGACACATTCATGAGAAACGTCCTCACTGTGTTTGACGTGGGAGCAGCACAAGTCCGTTTCTCGGCTCGGGAATGTCAGTTGAGCAATGGCACAATCACTCTTGGAGGCAAAGCTGACTATTTCTGAAGAAAAGATTACTGAGTCCTTGTTCGACAAAATATTAATTCTGGCAGTGATATAGAAAGATTATATACGAAGGGAAATTTGACAGTTGAGCTCTTGACATTACTTCTTCCATTCATACTCTAGTATAACTTCCTCCTGCTTCGGTATCCACCAAATCGGTGTGATGAGGCAACATGTTGGCAACTGGTGCCATCTCGGTCAATGCACCGCCTGCTTCGGCAACAGCCTTTGCAGCAGCTTGGCTGAATCTCCTCCAGCGCTCTGCAGCTTCTCTTTCGCGTCTGGCTTTCGTCTTGCTGCTTCCCGATGGTGCAACCCCCGTAAGCAGTTTCTCGCTGTCTGAGGGTGTATAGTTTACGAATCCGCCAGCCTTGTTTGCTTTGGAAGCTTTGTGATCTGAGCTGGATTTACGGCTGTGGGTCTTCGAAGAAGAGTTGCGCTTTATAATGCGGTTCCTTGGTGGCGAGGGTGTGCGTGATTCTCTTCTTGTGGCAGCGATGTAGGCATGTGTGGTGTAGTAAGGCGTAACCTCCGCCGCTACATTCAAATCCACCAACGGCTCTTCCGCATACGCAGGAGCCAAAGTAGGATCATTGTAGTTTGCTGCCAAGAAACTGTTGTGGACTTGGAAATTGTTAAGTGAGGCTTGATACTCTGCTTCCTTCTTCTCACTCGCCAACCAAGGGCTGAATGTAGGAGAAGGCTCGTAGATATCCTCTGCTGCGAAGGAATTTGCGCTCCAGGCGGACTTGTTGTAGACATTTGTGGTGGAGGGTTGTTTGTAGTAGGTATCCCGGAAGATGGTGGGTTCTTCGGCGAAGAAGGTTCCGCGTTCAACGCTGGGGCTGGTGAGGGGAGAGGCTTCAGGGCTGTAGAATTGTCTAGGCATACTCTGTTGCTCGAAGGGACTTGAGAAGTGAGGTCTTTGCTCGGTATAATTCGAAAATGGCTGCATGGGTGAGGCGTCAAGGTCATTCCATCCTTGGAAGCCGAGTCCAATTGTAGGTTTGCTTCTTCCGCTTGAGGGAGGAGTCAGAGGCATGCTTCTGATAGGCAGGTTCATGTTGGTCATTCTGCTTGGGGTCTGGTAGATGCTTTCAACCCAGGCATCTTGGGCACCTGCCCTGTAACGCGAAGGCGACATCATCTTTGGCGACTTGCTAGACGAAGCATATGACTTCGTCACGCCAACAGGTCTCTCGGGAGTCTTTGTAGAGCGTTCTTGTTGGTATCTGATTGCTTTTCGGCGCCTGGCCGCTGCTTCAACAGAAGGCGAAGATGGAACAGTCGAGATGTGAGGACTGGGGAACCCATCAAGGCTAGGGAAATCCGCATGTGGAGTATTCTTTGTGTTGTAGAAAGAAGCGGCCGGCGACAAATTGTGCTGTTCGCTGTTTCTTTGTTGTGTGCCGTCTTGCTGCTGTTCGAGGGAGGATGCGCTTTTTTCCAACACGGCAAGTGTTCTGGCCCAGAAGTCGTCTGAAAGACGTCGGGCTGCTGCTTCGGAGGAACTGCTGTCGCCACTGTCGGTAAAGTGGCTTTCGAGGGGTTCATTGTTGCTGGCTTCATCTGAACTGCTTGTGCCGAATTTGAAGTCATCGGCTTCGATGTCGACGTATTGGCTGAACAAATCGTCATAGACGGTTGCCCATTGGGGCTCTTTGTTTGTTGACCGCATTGGGTAAGTGTGGTGTTGAGTAAGGTATGCCATGGTTGTAGTGTCAGGTGTGAGTTGTGCAAGAAGACTCTCAGAACAGTTCTGATAGGCTGATCGTGCTGTTTGTGCAAGATCTATGCACAGTGTGGCTGATTATGTGTGATCTGGTAGAGTGGTTGCGAGAAGGTTGGTTCAGGACAGAAATATTGTGACTGAACAGGCAGATTGTAATGCACGATTATGCAGGAACAAACCAGACATCAACAAAAGATGCAAGGTAATATATGCACAAAAGGCTATTGTTGGTAGACACACCCAGCCATCTGATTGTAATAGGCATTCCGGGTGGTTGGTCGCTTGTATGGAATGGAAGGTTTACAATAGTCTGGTTTTCCACTTTGGCTTAGCGGTCATCTGTGCTTGGCACTTTGCTAGACATACAGACTGGTGGCTGGTGAGCTTCTGGGCATGGCTAGCATTCCATTGGTATACAGAGAGAGTGGCTGGAAAGTCTGTTGCATTCCTCATGGTAGACATTCCTCAGCGCAGCCTCAGGCCTCAGACGAAACACGTGATGCACGAACAATGCTCCACCAGGTACAGCAGAGGACATTGTTCACAAAAGCATTATTGTGCATATCAATATGTTGCCGGTGGTCGGACTCTATCCAAGATATGCGAACATGATCATAAGCGGGAGCTGTATAAGATTGCCCCTGAGCAATTCTATGGTAAGATCTTGAGACTCAGCTATACTTGTGCAGCATGATTACACTTGCTTTCATCAAAAGCTTCTGAACTAAGTAGAGAATATGAATAGATAAGTGCAGTCAATACGAGCATTTGTGCATAACTGGCGTCTCCCTGGTGCCAATTTGTGAAGCTGTTTCCCTTGAGTTCGAGACTGTCGCGTGCATCTTCCTCATCCACCAGATTCATATCGAATTTCAACACCAAGAGGAGAACTATGCTTCACCATTGTCAAACGAAACACTGCGCAAACCAATAAGTTAACATCATGAATTAATCTTATCTCGTTGCTGTGACTTGCACGTCAATCCGCTTTCGTGTGTTTGTTGCCCAGGCCAAGGAATGCACAGCAATTAACCTACATTCCAGCACCATCACTACAGCAAAACATGGCCGTTAACAGTATCTGTATAAGTCATCTGCTGCTTCAGGAAACTCACTCGTTCGGGCTTTTCCTCTCCTTTCCATAAGTCGCTCCAGAATCTCATTCGCTCGATTCTCTAGCCTTTCTCCTTTCTCTCCTGATATCATTATCATCAACTCACACAGTCACTCGCTTCATATCATACAGCTTTGTAATAACATCTGGCTCTAATACCGGTCTCGATCAACTTCCACAATGAAGATCGAGTTTGCAGCTGCTGCAGCTATTACAGCTTCTGGCGTCGTTGCTCAGTCATCGTCTGCCCCAATGACCTCTGCCGCAGTCAGCACTTCAACTGCATCACCAGTCTACGTCACGCTGACAATCGATGACTGCGATACCACTGCTCCTCCACAGATGGTTACTGTAACCAATGGAGTCACACTTACCTACTGCCCTAAGTGCGAAGAGGCTTCAATGTCTTCAGCCTCTGCCGCCGCACAAGTCACTCCTTTCACCACAATCTGGACAACAACTTATCTTTCTCTCTGCACAACTGGTACTTCTCCAGGTATGACACCAGTCGTCTACACCGTCACAGAATCGTGTACCGAACCTACTCCTACCTGGACTCCTGGTCCAAGTTACATTCCTCAAGGCTTCACAACCAGCGAAGTCGTCTGCACACAATGCGCCGAAACTCCTCAGACCTACACCGTCACCATGCCTTGCGATTGCAAGCCTACTCCTGAGTCTTCTCCTGCCAACCCTACTGGCTCCTCTTCAGGAGGCAATGGTGGTAATGGAGGAAATGGAGGAAATGGAGGAAATGGCGGCTCTGCTGGCCCTGGTGGCAATGGAGGAAACGGCGGTAATGGCGGAAACGGAGGCAATGGTGGTTCAGCAGGCCCCGGAGGAAACGGCGGCAATGGAGGAAATGGAGGCGACTCTGGCCCAGGAGGAAATGGCGGCAATGGAGGCAACGGTGGGAACGGAGGAAATGGAGGCTCTTCCGGTCCAGGAGGCAACGGAGGAAATGGAGGCAATGGCGGCAACGGTGGCAACGGAGGAAATGGCAGCCCTGGCACACCTGGAGCCTCAGGAAGCTCTCCTTCCCAGCCTGCTGCTGCCCCTGCTGGCAACGTGGTCACCCAGATCAGCGATGGTCAGATCCAAGCACCTACTGGCAACCCTGCACCTGCTGGGGGCAATGGTCTTGCCGAAGGTCCTGCTACCACTCCTGCTGCTGGCAATGGTTCATCTGCTGCCACCCCTATGCCATGCCCTGGACCTCAATGCAAGCTCTCAACTGCTGCATCACCAAGCAGTCCTGCAGCTGCTTCTACCAGCCCAGTCACATTCACTGGTGCTGCCTCAAGCTTCAGCATCAGCGGTGTCTTTGCATCGTTCGTTGCAGTCGCTGCTGCTGGACTTGCTGTGCTTCTCTAGAAATAGAGTTGCGTTTGCTGTATGCTGACACGAGGACGAGAACGCATGGCCGGATGAACCAACAACATGTGTCAAAGGGCGTTTTTATTTCCTTTTCGTTCTTTCCCATTCCTTTTTCTTATCTTCTTACTTTCTTCTTTTTCTTCTGTCTGTTGTCAACTAATGCATCCGTGTTTGGATATCTTACCATCTCGAAAATACCAGAACAAGTGATTATGCCCCAAAGTTCTTGTCCAGATGTGTTCTCAAACCAATGTAGAAGTATATAATGGTCTACCTCACACAAGAATTCATAGACTTGACAACATCGGGATCAACTTGACTTACGTCGAAACCAATACGCAAGCTCTCATAGCCTCTTAGACGCGAGTGCATTAAGGTAAGGGAATTGGTTTGAGCGACTGTTTAGTAAGGCACAAGCTGAGGTGGCATGATGAGATTTACGCAGTTGTCGAGTATCCCAGCACAACCAGCTACCCTTCTGCTCTTTGAGCCGCGGCTGCAGGACAACGTTCACTTGACCGTTACATGCAGATGCTCAGCCCTCGACATGAACATCCTTCGGGACCATAGCAAAAGAAGGTACTCACGAATTGATCATTGTATATGCGATGTTGCATAGAAAACAAATGACAACGCCGCTCAACGCCAAGCCTGATAGATTGAATCAGGCACGAGCCAATTGCAAAATGTTTTCTTCTCGACGCAGATTGAGGAGGACGTGAACCTGCAACAGCAACAGGCAGCGGGCGACAACCAGCCATTGACCGTCATGGCCGATACCAATAACACCGCACCTTCTGGAAACGCTGTTCCGGAGCCGCTGATTTTCTCGGGTCGCCCCGCCTCACCCTTACCTTCCGACACTGCATCTGTTGCTTCCCACGATTCTGGTCTTGGGCCTTCTCTGTTTGATACTGATGGAAACCACAATCCTGATTCTAAAGAAAATTATTACTCAGACGACTACGATTCCGATGCCTCTGCGAGTACCGAAGATGCAAATCCACCTGCACAACCAGTTGATCTTTGCACTCGCCACGACTGCTTAAATCGACTTGCTGATCAGATGGCTCGTGTCAGCATCCTCGAGCAATTTGTCCAGCTCCGAGCACGCCACTATACAGGTGAATTGCACAACGACCTACAGAATGCCGGACGTCCACCAAAAACCATGCATGAACAAATCCAAGACCTCGAAGAAAAGGGAAAGGAAATCCAGGAACTACTCGCAGAGAGCCGCCGCGCAAAGGAAGTCATGAGCAAGCGAGAAGCAGAAATGGACGAAAGGATTGACGAATGTGGAAGGGTGCTCGATACAATTCAGGAAAAAGAAGAGATCCTTGCAGCCAATATGAAATCCCTGGACAAACGTCTTCAGCTGGTCAAAAAGGAAGAATCAGATCTCGCCAAACGCAAAAAGGAACTTGATCTACGACAAAAAACCATCGAAAAGGACACGACAAAACTCGAAAACAGCCAAGTAACCTTTGCAAAGCAATCATCCATGTTAAGCAACCTCTTGCGTAAACAGCACGAAACCAAGACAGCTCTAGACAATGCAAAAGAAACGCTGGAGGCTCATGAAAACTCAGTGATGAAGCGAGACGTCGCAGTGACACAGCGAGAGGTGGCTGTGGCGCAACGAGAAGTTGCAGTAGCCAAACGAGAATACATCATGGTGCAACGAGAAAAAGCATTGCTTGAACATGAACAAGCCGTTCACCGATTTGTGGCGCAACATCAGCAAAGCGAGCAAGAATTCAAACAACGCATGCAATTTTTGATGCAACAGTCATTGGAGGGTGCTGTATCGGATTTGCCTTCGGAGAAGAAAGAGGATGCACCCGAAGCCGCTGAAAAGGTACTTTTTTCATGGCGTCCAACAGCTCGAGAAGAACACTTACTGATCCATCAGCAGGAGTCTGAACCAGAGGAAGTTACATCAGCTTCGCATGCCCCAGAAGCAAATACATCACCGCAGCCTTCGCCTTATATGGAAGCACCAGTCCCGAGCTCAATGATACCGCCGGTCAGACAACGCAGAGAGTTATACGGAAGATCTGACTCCCGGTCAACCAGGCGCACCCGATAAGCATCTTTTCTGCTAGCATTTTACACTGTACATAGATGAAGCCAACAGACATAGAATATGATATCATGATCTCTGACATGACTTGTACGAGTATGCTGTTCAGATTATCACAGATCAAGCAATTCTACAGCTCTCATGTCTTCAGGCGGAAGCGGAGGTGGCTTCACATCTTTCGCTCTTGGATTTTGGTATCTACATGGTTTTGGCAGCATTTTTCACATCAAGTTGGTTCTGTGGTGTAGTTGGTTATCACTTCTGTCTAACACACAGGCGGTCCCCGGTTCGAACCCGGGCGGAATCATCACTTTTGCTGTCTTTCTGCCATCTCTTTTGCATCTCTGCGAAGGTTAGGTGTTGGTGTTTGACATCGAGACTTTTGAAGAATTTTGGTTGCGTTGGGGTGAAGCCTGCAGCTTTTGCGACGCCAACGCTGGCGTTGATGGGATGCGCACTTGCGAGGGGAATCAGTTGCTGTATACTGGGGACCTAAATTGAAGCGGGCGAGGCAATCTCTGCTATACGAGAGTGTGTTGTACATCACTATAGCTCTCTTTAGTCATATGTGCAGACATGGTATAGACAGCTTGAAAGCATCCACATACCTCAAAAGGGCGGCAGCGAGAAAGAGAAAAAAAAAAAAGGCTACACGAGTATCACGACATCACCATTTCTGAACAGGAAAAAACAGCTCATCCAGAGCCGATAAAATTACTATGGACTAAAAGCATGAGAAGACAAGGACAAAAATGAACCAGCAAATTGTTCCCATCCCTCATGCCATCGGGTATCGCAGAAAATCCGTATCTCTATCTCTTTCCTCAGAGATTGAGAACGAACAGAAAACGCCATCGCTATGCGAAAACAACAAAAGAGGAAATGGCGAGGAAGCTCACAAATCCCTCCACGAACCACTGACAGGCTTTCTCGCAACCCCAGGAGCAGCAGGAGCAGTAGTATGGTAACTTGGAGCAACACTAGCTTCGTACCCTGCAGGCGAAGCAACTCTAGGGCTATAATGACCATAACCATACTGCTCGGTCTGAGGAGCATACGGCGAGTGTGAAGTACCAAGGTCACCGCCATAAGCACCTGCATTAGCCTGATAAGGATACTCCTGAACATGCGAGATTGGCGACTTGGGAAGCATAGGTTGAGCCGCCTGATTATGCAAACTACCCATCTCCATATCATTTGCCTCTGTGTCTTGTTGGCGCAAAGTGCGGCTTTGACCCCAACTAGGCATAGCAGGCAGAGCGTCTTCGTTAAAAGCTTTGTTCGACGACGGAGCGTCAAAACGAGCATATTGAGGTTGTTGGGGGCGGTAGACGGGTGCAGCGGCAGGTTGATACTGTGTATATTGCGGAAACTGCGAGACTGGAGGTGGGACTGGTTGGGTGTAGCCTTGGTTGCGGTGGTGGCCGTTACGGCAGCAGGAGGTGCAGCAGGAGAAACAGGACATGCAGTTGCAGCAGCATTCGACGCCGCAACAGAGGCAGCGGACAAGACACCATACGATGGAGATGGCTATTACCACGCCGACGACGATGCCGATGATTACTGGCCATCTGGGGAAGGAGCGAGTCAGTGACTGTGGAATAGAAATGGAAGGAGCGACTGCAGAATAGAGAGTGGAAGGAGCGACTTACTTGCAATATGCCTTGTTCATACACTGGTCCCACCCAGAGAACGTGTTTTTGACGTCCGACACCTCAGACGAGACATCTCGCATATAGCGCGAATACATCTTGATTGCTCTTGTGGATGCTGAAAACGAATGTGGGGTTGATCGAGTTGTTGTCAAGTCGGAAAAAGCGAGAGGAAACAGGTGTAGCGATTGACTCTGTGTATTACAGCAAATGTACCCCTGCTGTTGGTTTCGGAGTCCGTAGATTGAAGGATCCTGCAGTGAGCTGATGGCAGCAGGGGAGAGCGAGCAGCAGTAATAATAACCCCATGCAGCGTGAGCCCGCAACCTGAAACGCGTCAACCCCTCTCCGCAACATGCAGGAGGCTGGTGTGGCTGATGGGACCGTTAGATATTTCAAACCCGTTTCGTTGATCTTGGCTTGCACCTCTTGGGCTCTCTTTTCTTACTTACTTCACATTGCCTCTCGCAATCTGAACATGCGCTGCAACATCTGAGAAGCTTTGCAGAATCTCACAATACTGCTGCCTCGAGCTGACGACGAGCAGACTGACTTTCAGCCCCATTCGCGGCCTTCGGAATGCGATTCTTGGCACCCCGGCTGGCTTTGGTATGCAGACACCCGTTTCATCAGGGGGCTGGCATATCAACATTCCCTATCGATTTTGCACAACGGCTTCGAAGTTATGCTGTCATTTTCTGCTCGCTCAGACCCTTATGCCGTCATGTTCTTCGGATTTTGTGCATTTGTGCTGTCATGATGTCTTTTTGCGGTTCTGCTGCAACGGCTGTCATTCTCGTTTTGGAATTGTGTGTGAACGAATAGAGGTTGCTTATACTAGAATAGTCAGGCTATAGGCTTAGGCTTGTGTATGGCCTGTATATTGGTGGGTCTTGTAACCAATGAGGGAATGAGATACGAAGTAAGAATTGGAAAGGTCCATCTTAATCTCTGAAGAATATCATGTATGCAGAGAAGCCAACAACTAGCAACCTTCATGATCTGATTAACCTCGACGGCTTTGTGTAGTTGACAATTGAGGCCTCACCATGCGAAATGGCGACCATGTCTACGATGTAGCGGCAGCCTTCTGCGCCGCAGCTTCCATCTTCCTGGCTTTGTTAGCCTTTGCTCGTTTCTTGTCTTCCTTGATCCTTGCCCTCAGACCCCTCTTCCACGCTATCCAGCCATCCACCCTGTCTTTCTCTTCCTGCGGCAGAGCTGCATATCTCTCCGCTCTAGTCCTTCTCCTCTCCTTCTTTGACTTTTTGTGCATAGCCTTGCTGCGTGCATCAGCAGCTCTCTGTTCGTCCGTCACGTTGGCCAGTGTCTCTGCCTTCGCAGCTCTCCTCTCCGCCCGTTTTTCCCGCATTCTTGCACGCTGCTGTGCTTGTGTGGGATGTTTGCCTTTCCCCCAGTAGTTCCCGACGCCTTTTTGCGCCGAGCCAGGTGCTGCCTCTGATGCATGAGTTAATATCGGCTCAGATGCAACAGCGATGTGGGCAGAAGGTCGGGATGTTGGGTTGGGTACCGGCTCGGGAGAGACGGCGACGATCTGAATAGGTTGAGCGGCATACCTGATTGTCGGCCTGAGCAATCGCTCTGTTGCAGGACCGGAGGTTGGCTTAGCGTTTGATGCGATCTGGTCATCTCTATTGATCATATTGCTACGGTCATGAGACAGAACTTGGTCCGTTGATAAGCTTGCTGGTGATGATGAAATGACGCGAGGAGTGGGAACGAACCTAGCTGATTTGTTGCCATTCGTTTCGACAAAGAACATTGTGGTATCTTCTTCACCAAGTTCAGGCGATGGCTCACGCTGATGCTGTGATGAAGCCTCTACGACTTTCTTGGTAAATTTCTTCTTCATATGCGCTTTTCTCTTCTTCATCCGCTCCCAGTCTCTCACTGCCAATGCATTTGCATTCTCCGCTGGCTCCCAGGTATCCATGAACTCTCTGCCATGAATGGGCTTCCATTTGATCAAATACTTCTTCTCGCCACTGACAGTCTTTTCGTTAATAATATCAACGACGGGATATTCTGTTTGATCCAATATCTCCCTTTCCTCAGCCGTCGGGATCTGTGATGATGGGTCCAGAGATTTGCGATGAGCTGCTCTGCGCACAGGCGCCAGATGAGGAGGAAGCTTCGGCGTAGATGTCCTGCTTGTTGAAGCGCTGGAGGTCGGGGTATTGGTCTGAGATGCTCTACCTGCCATCCGTCGCATTGCAGCTGCCAGATGAGGATTCGAACTCGCTGGTCGTTCGTCAAATTCGTCATCGCTCACAAACATGGAGTCGGAGATCCGTGATCGTTGGCTTGATCGAGCGGTAGAGTCGATTAGGACAATTGGTTCGCTCTTGCGTGATCCAGTACGCCGAGGAGCTTGTGATTTGGTGGGTGGGCTGGGTATTGGTGTGTTTGATACCGACGATGTCGTAGATGTCCTAGCCCGTACAGCTGCAAGCCAAGGGTTTGAATCTGGCGGCAATTCTTCATCGTCACTCACAAAGATCGTGTCGTCAATAGGGTGTTGAAGAGCCGCGGGATGTATCTGTCGTTGTGAGGCCATTTGTTGCTGTGAGGGGCTCTCTTCATCAGGCACATCTTCCATCAATTCGTCGAAATCAGGTAGGTCAGAGAGCAAGGTCTGATCTGCTACAGGTTCTGGTCCATTAGTTTGCAAGTCCGGTTGACTGGAAGACCAAGGAGAAGAGTTCATCTGTGAGGTATCACAAGACAGCTCGCGTCCCGCCATGAGCTCGTATCGTTGTCGTCTCGAAAAGTTGGTGGGATCCAGGTGCTGCTTCGGTTGGTCGTGCTGCTCTTCGGAAAGAGGAGAGTGGCTCGAACCAGTTAATACGTCTTGTGTTTGAACATAAGATGGCTGAGAAGATCTTGCAGCTGCTTCTGCTTCTGCATCTTTCCTCAAAGGTGAATCTCTTCTTGCCTTGTCTTTTGCAGACAAGATTACTGGATCAACTTCTCGCAGATCAAGTACAAAGTCGCTGGCTACCCATTCATCCTGATCAATGCTGTCATCCGTGTTATCGTCCATATTCACATCGTCAGTCGTTAAGACATCGGCGTTCCAGTGTTGTCGCGATTCTTCATTATTCTCCGGATCCTCTAGATTATCATGCGGCGTAATGTGTGTTGGCGCTTTTGAACCCGAGTCAAGCTCATGCTCGATCGTATCAACGTCCAGCGAGTCATGAAATTGGTTTTGATTCTGCTCCACGTACGACTCCAGCTCTGATATTTGCTGTCTGAGAGCCAATCGTCTTTCAGAATCAACAGAGACCATTTCTTCCGGAGCAGGCCAGTCTATCGTGTTTGTCTCTGTATGAGAAGCTAATCTGCGTTCAAGCTGCAACAAGACTGCCGGCAGGAGTTCCGGATCGAGATTGTCCACACCGATCAGCTTTTCCAGGGTTGGTCCAAGACCAGATTTCCGTGTTCGTGGCTCGGCTCTCTGGAAAACCTCAAAGATGTCATCCTCAGAGGGTAGTTGCCGTCCTTCGAATAGCGAGCCTTGGTGTTGTTTGATGATGATGGCAAGGAAATAATGCGACAATTCGAAGAAGATATTACCATCCTTGCAATGAGGGCGCGACGAGGGATCCTCAATTCGGTGGACGCACTCTTCGAGCCAGCCTTTGGTGACGGCTAATTTGGGTAGTAAAGAGCTCCACGGCTGGTCGTTCCGAGTGATTTCGTAGTGGGATGTTCTGTACTCAAGCGCAAGCTTTGTTCGCGCAAGGTTTAACTCCAGTAGGAGAATTGTCCGGTGAGCATCTATCCTGTCCTCTGAAAGTAGCTGCGGGTATAATATCCTGGTGACTGTATTATACGTATCGGTGGTTTGCCGGTAGGCGGTCCGTAAATCCTCAATACTTTTGGACCGTGGTGATAATAGCTTTTCTGCAGTTTCGGAAAAGGATGAATCGTAATCTTCGTTATGGTCGTCGGTACTTGTCGATTGTGTAGCTCGTGGAGTCATAAGCTGTCGTGGAGGCGGTGAGAAAGCGCCTTTGGGAGTCGACTCCGCCGCATGCTTCGTGCCCAGCGAACCATTCACCATAACGCCCGTCTTGTCGTTCATGTAGTTGCGTCCATAAGATTTGGACGACTTTGAACGTCGAGAACGAGATTTTCCCGGCGTGCTCGGAGAAGTCAGGTGCTTGGCGGCAGGCAGCCCGCGACGGCGCGCCATGGTGTTGGAGAGAGATTAAGAGGGAGATTAAAGCTGTTTGGGTTTCAGGATCACATGCGAACGATGGTTGCAAAAGTCTTCAAGCTTCAGGCGCCGACGTTGAATGGCGGGGGCTGCCCCTGCCAAGCTTCACACTCTAATCTCCCTTCTGCCGCAACCCTTGTCAACTTGATCTTTGTTATATCAAGAGCCACACCTTTGCATTGTTGTCTAGCCAATTGTCAATACTCGCAGCGCATAATTGTTGATGAAGGACGCTTCAGGAGAATGACGAGGCTTGGATCTCTAACCATCTGAACTTCAGGTTCGCACACGCGAACTGTGAGTGCGCTGACGATGACCTTCGCTGTCGCTTTGACTGATGATCTTTCTTGTCGTGGTACGCTATCGTAGTCACTGCCATGATCATCGCCGGCTCGGGTCCAGTCGGTAGTGGCTCAATATTCTCTCGACCTAGATGTCAGCTCCTGCCAATATTTTTATTCGCAAGAACAGGCTGCTGATTGCGGGCGTGCATTGACAGCTCTCTCGCTTCCGCCGCTGCGTTTCTGTTGCTGTATTGCATGCTGATATGGTTCAAGCTGGCAGGGTTTTTGGAAGGTTCCTTCTAGTCGTGGTAGGGGCGCTTGCGATATCATAAACCTGCTCTCGACGGCCTACAACAGTACCCTTACCACCATCTTCTCCTGGCTTTGCAGCTCGAAATAATGCACAGAGCCGGGCGGTCTTCTTGATTTCCTCCCGCATACTTGGGCAATTCGATATGGGTTAAGTGACCTCGATAGCAACATTCGCTGGCCTGTTCTAGCGGCAGGCTTCGTCACTCATCTCGGTAGACAACACTGTAGCCAACAGCGAAGAATTGGGAGATTTCCTTGCTCTTGACATTGACCATGGACAAGCCCAGCATTGGGGTTAAAGTGTTTATAGCGACCATCATTCCAGTACTCCTCGTTCGACATAGTGTGTTTGAAGAAAGCGGTGAAGTCGTCGATGGCGAGAGTCATGTAGCGTAGCGTGTCATCTCTGAGAATAGTCTCGGCAAAGCAGTGCAAATCTTTTGACATCCGCAGAACGCGCGACTGATTTTGTTGACTGGTTTGATGGTGTTGTTGTATGAGCCATAGCCCAGTCCAGCTGAGCGGTGGTTCCGTCCGAGTTTACCCCTCGTCTTCTTCTTAGAATTCAGTATCTGATTCTCTTCCGGAACCCTTCATCTTCCACGCCCGCGCCATCTATCTGTAACTATGTAACTTCACTCGTTGATCATGAAGCTTCTGGCACCGTCGTTGTCCTCTTCGCAGCCAGCCATAGCAGTTTCGATGCTGCTGTTAATCTTGACACCGTCCGCGCAGTGCGGCAGCAGCTGCTTCATTTCAGTCGAGTTGGTGTTTTGGGCTGCAACACTTTCGTCGTCAGCAAATTTGGAATAGCCTGAGCCCTTAGCTCGGACGGTCGGCATTGTATTGGTAACTAACTTGATCGTGTTGCTCAGGTTTCTGGTGTGGGATCTGGCCCAGCCCAGCTGAGCAGTGGTGCCATCCGAATTGATGGGTCAAGTGACAGGGACAGGGCGGTTGTTGATCAAGGCACGTCTGCTATATCCAAGATCAGCAGGTGAGTCTTCATTATAGACAGTAGGAAAGGTAAGACTAACTCGAGCTTGGAGAGGCTAGCTCAACTTCAACGCGCTTGTTAATAGGGGTTTCCTGCCACCTTCTTAACCTTTGCGAAGAAGGCAGCCATCTTGATTTGTTGTCGTTGATGCGTGGAAGAGAATGCCGCGGCAGAGGAAGGCTTGATCCCAAGAGTGGCGGCTCCAGAGCTCTAGGGGTCTCTGCCGCGGCGCAGAAACACGAGTGCAAAAGCCACAGCAAGAGATGCGCTGTCTGAGGTTCTTGATTAGTGACCTGATTGTGTATTTAGGACGCTGAGAAAGAGACTCACAGAAGCACATGTAGAATGTAAGGTGAGAAGCAAATGCCGCAAGAAAATTCAACGCGCAAGTACGAGAAGTCGTAGTGACCATCGGAGGTGGCTTCAAGGAAGATCTTGAAGTCCTCGAAGTCGGCGGGGTTGGGAAAGTTACGCAGCATGATAGTGGTGCGAACGTCGACGCCTACCTCGATCTTTCTCAGGTGGACAGCCTGAGGCTGGTTGGTACGCCAATGCTCCATGTAGTTGTGTGAACAGCAGCGTCGTTGAAGAGAATTGGCCGTATATGTTGGTGGTAGCCACCGCCATGAGACCTTTGGAGATGTTGGTGAAGACCGAAGAGTGACATCCCTTCTCGATGGCAAAGAATGCGGCGCGGTCATACTGATTCTTATGTTGTTGAGAATCAAGTGAGAGACTGACGATGTGTGCAAGGCCAAGATGCTTGTGTTGAGGATGCGGCTGGAAGATCTGATTGTACGTGAAGGACAGCGAACAAAGAGAGACAGGGTAGGGACTGGCGTTGACGAGACTGGCTACGCGCTCCCAATGTTTACGCAGCAGCTTCCGGCACTTGAATACCAGCAAGCACGGTCGTCTCTGGACGTCCGTCATCCTCACCTAATATCTTGATTTACATGTTCACTCATCCGCGTAGTGGATCATTCTGCAAGGCATAGTCTCACCGAACATCGTCATTAAGCACATGAGAGAGTTTCTGCCTGTGTATCCTATCCCAGTTCACGTATAGCTAGCCATAGTCAGATAGTCATGCATTCGACTCCAATCATGACACAACTCTCCCCCGCTACTCTAGGAGGAGAATGCGTGGCCGGACGAAAACAAAGCAACAGAGCATCTGAGACAAAGGTCTACAAAGCCATCTTAAGATAAAAGCCATTGTAGCTTTGTTTCATCAAGACAATCCATGAGGAAATGAGAAGTCTTTGTTCTCAACCAGCCATCGATCTCTCCAATACATAAGCCATCTCGCCCTCAAACTCGTCTTTCTTCCCTTATCCTGGCGATCCGCGTGATCTGTTCGAAATCATCAATCCATACAAAAACAAAATGACCAACTACGATTACGCGACCCACGAGCTTATCCTGGAGATGACTCAACTCATGACACAATGTACGGCTCTCAACCCGCCTGTCCTGGAGACATATTCTACGTCTTGTTCATTGATTGAGCGTCGTCAATTCACTGACATGATCCAGTTAGCAAACCACATTCTTTTTCTGGCACAAATGCACACTCTACCTGATCTTGCTGGCCAAATCCAGAGAGTCCTTGAGAACTGGGTTTGCAGAGGTGATCCTATGCCTAATCAATTTATTTACAAGACGGCTGAATTGTTCGCCAATATTGGCTATCGCTTCCGCGTTGTTCAATGGACTACTCGCGAGCAGGCTTTTGATCAACTGGTATCCGCCGCTCATAACGCAACTCTTGTCGATGCAGAAATTGCCTCAGACATCGTCTTCGAGGGCTCTCGTATCGAACAAGACTATACCTCATTTACACCCTGGGCAATAAATAGCTTCGAAGGTCAGTACCATGCTTCTAACCTACCACCACAGCAGTCACCCCGCAGAGTTTCCATCTACAAGAAAGACGTCAAGATCGATCTCGACTGCATCGGTTGCCCAACCTGCAGTTTCTGCACAAAAGTCAAGAAGGATATGCTCAAGCACGAAGCCCAACATTGGGATGACGACTACCCATGCGTCTGCGCTTACCTTGACGAAAAAGTCATGGCAAAAGAAATCGATACCAAGGTTTGTCACTGTGGTAGACTCGCGATTGATGAGAATGCACGTATGTTGCGAGATTGGGCGGATGAACGAACTGGACATCTGGTTTATAAGTTTGGTATGTCCGAGACTATGCCGACTTTTGCTAATGTTACTGCTATCCAGATGCAGCGTGATGTTACGTTTCCCAAGATGGAACAGTATTTGAACGTCAACTCTGAGGCCTGGAATTGAGAAGGTAGGATGCTTTTATCAAAGGACGAATGGACGATACGGCAGGTCCATACTGTCGAGGTACTGTAGGTATGGAATGATCCATGATTAATGACCACGGATGAATGGATAATATGATTTTCGTCAACAATCGATAATTAGGTGCTTTGTCGTGGTGACTCTTATGTGTTCTCAGATTGTAAATCAGATTGTCAAAGAAATCACTAAATCAGATTGTCAAAGAAATCACGCGGCGTTGCGACTGCGCGCTCGAAGCCTTCACGCTGAATAACAAATTTTTAAGAAAAAAACTTCCAGCCCCAAAACACCAACGACTGCACTTTCTAGACAAGCAAAAAAGATGGCGAAAAACAGCAAAAGCATTGATTCCGCCCGGGTTCGAACCGGGGACCGCCTGTGTGTTAGACAGAAGTGATAACCAACTACACCACAGAACCAACTTGTTGGAAGAAGTGCCGCCAACATAATCAATAATCCTGGCTCAATCTTTGGCATTGACGTTTCCACTCGCATTGGCTGGGGATACATGCTCGTCGATAGAATCTCTGCTTGACGTCTGAGAATGCCATTCAGCTTGTGCTCGTGATTGATGATGGTACGGGAGGCCGGCTTCCATCAATCGCGAATCGGCTTCGACCCAATTCGTGCTATGACTTGTGGACGTTGTCTTGAAGAAGTAGCGAAGACTGTTCGAATCCTGGGTCTCGAGTCCAGAGGGTGAGCGTCGAGCTTCAACGGCTGTTTGAAAGCCAGTCAGGCCATGAGAGAAAAAGAGCGAGACGACAGTGTGATAACAGGAGGCATCGTAGCGTGATCACAAGGTGTGGTCGCCAGAAGCCAGCAGCCAAGGCGTAATTGAAGCCGCCAAAGAACAATACGAACTGAAGTCTGCCAGAAGTCGTAATCATAATCATAAGTCGAGTCGTAAAGATCTTTAAGGTAAGAATACAGCCGAAGTCCTCACCAACGGCGCCCTACCAATAAGCAGGGACACCAGCAGCAAACATATTCTCATGCTGCTGTGATGGTTGTTGTTGCACTCTCTGTTGCTCTTGCCTCGTCTGACTCTGCAATTGTCCCTGCAACTGCGCTCCCGCCTCATCCTCTTCAACCCCCTCCATCTCTTCTTGCTCTACCTCTTGCACCTCTTGCTCTCCATCCACTCTTTGTTGTTTTCTCAACCCCTTCCACTTCTGCAATTCATTCGCAACATCCTTCTCACTAAACAATCCCTCGGGAAACAATTCTCTCAACCTTTGCAATCCTTCCTTCCTCCCTAGGCCTTTTTCCGCGATCTCTCTTATCGCTTCTTGAACACCTTCTGCTTCTCTGGCTCTGCGACGGTGGTTTGGTAGGGTACGCACATCAACAGGCGGATGATTGTGTAACGCCGGATCCGTATCTCCCCACCTAATCTCCCATGCCCCCTCAGGCTTCTCCCTATCCACCGCCCACGCCCACACCCTACTCGGACACCCCATCTTCAAACTCGATTTATCTCTTCTCCGTTGCTCTTCAGTCAAATGCCGCGTATTCTTGGGTTTCCCGCCTAATACGCAAGTGATATGCCATTTATAGTACACGGCACCGGGGATAATCGTCTTGCGTCCACCTTTCTGGGTTGTGGGTTTTACGCCTGCTTTTTTTACGACGTCGAAGCCGTGTTGTAGGGTGTGGGTGTGGCAGAGGGTCATGAGGGAGGAGAGGGTGGCACCCCTCAAGCCGCTGGGAATGGGTTTTATGTAGTAGCTTTCGTTGTCTTTGGGGGTTGTTGTGGGACGGGGGTAGGATGGTTGGTTGGAGGGGTCGGGTGTTGTTGTTGTTGTCGGTTCTGAAGGTTGTGGAGGTGGTGTGGGTGTTTGTGGTTTCTCGGGCGCGTGGAGTTTTGCGATTAGGAGGTCGTCAAAGTCCATGATTGTTGTCGCTCTTCTCTTCTGATTGAGTAACGATAGGGTTGTTGGTGATTTGGAAGAGGAAGTCGCAAGATGAGCACTAGAAAGGAAGTTGCGATGATGGAATGGGCAGTTGCGACAAGTGTGGGGAAACCGAGATGGATTTGAGTCACGACATCTGTCCCTCGGGAAACATCTTTTGGCCGCTTTTGATTAAACAGATCTCCTCGAAGGTCCCTCTCGTACTCGAACAATAACTAGCAGAGTACTATCATTGATCAAGATCACAAGAAGAGGTGGATATAGATAAGCTAAACTTCCGAGTATTACTTACAATAATGTTCTATACAGAGGAGTTCTCGAGGAGCGATAATGTACGATCAACAGTGTTTGTTTGAATAAATCTCAATGATAGTGGTAAAGATATCCAGGTATCTAATGCTAGAAATGCCAGACGTCAATGCTACCCAAAGAACGCCGCTGCTAAGACCAAATGCTTGAATGCTCGTGAACAATGCTGTCAATCAACCATCCTTTCCATCTATCCTTGTCATCCGACCTTTTCAAACGACCTTGGCCTTGCCTTTTCCTTTGGCACTTTTCTTCGTCTTCTTTGCCTGTTCTTCTTCAGGCACAATCGGCTCAGTAGCGTTCATCAGATCGGTCAACCAGTCCGTCGAAGCCTCTGCATCTTGCACCGCAGCTGGCCGCTCAGGGATCGATTCAGGTGCAGCTTCTGTCTCCTTCTCAGCTGTCGCTCCATTCAATGTCGCCTCTTGAGGCTCTTGGATTTCTTGTGCTGATTGAGCTTGTTGAGCGAGTCTGGCTTCAGCAGCCTCTGCTTCAGCCTTCTTCTTGGCCATTTTCTTCGCCGCAAGCTCTTGAGCCTTTCTCTTTGCTTTTGGGATGTAAGGTTGACCTTTTGGTTTAGGATTAAATCTCTGCTTTTTCTTCTTTACCGGAGGTTTGACGGGAGCAGGATCTGCTTCAGGACTGGATTGAGCAGCTTCTTGTTGTTGCTCGACAACATTCCATCCAGCGACCATGTCCAGTTCATTGCTGATTCGCTTTTGTCGATCCTGTTGAGTTTCGTCGCTGCGATCCGGTTTGATGAGTTCTTTGGCGTCTTCTTCGGTGAGAATTCTGGATGTGTCTTCGTCGCCAGTGATATGGGCAACATAGCCAAGCCATTTGGTCAACCATTCATCATTGACTTCGCCTGATGCAAGTAATTTTGGATCAGTGCCTGCTGGAAAGACTGGAGGATTTGGTTCTGGTGGTACAGCCAAGGCTTGTGCGATGGAATTGACATCGGGGACTTCCTCAATGACTTCTTCGGGTACATGTGCAGGTTCTTGTGTCGAATTGGCAGCCGCGCTCGAAGGACCAGCAATAGCAGTAGCAGGCAGACTGGCTCGTTGACGTTTTGCAGGTTTCGCGTCTTGATCGGCTGGTCGCGCTGGTGGAAGAGTTGTTTGTCTCCTTGAGCGCTTGTCGATCAGAGCAGGTTTTGCATCAATCTCCAGACGTTTCAACTCTCGTTCCCTCTTGAGGGCCTTTTTCTCTTCTTCTTCCTTCTTCTTTGCATCTTCTTGGTCATGACCTTCTTCTGCCGTGATGTAAAGCTGCTCTTGATCTGTGTCGTTTGGCTTGTCGGGTTCCTTGTCTTGTTGCGGTACGTGTACGGCTTGTACGACATTGTCCACCATGACCGAATCCGCGACATGATTTGATGTGGTTTGATCCGACTCTTGGACAGCCTCCGACTTGAGCTCAGGAGCACTGGCAGCTGTTGGTAGTGTAGCAGGTGCGGCCACAGGTGGCTCGGGTGCGCTGGCGGTGTTTTGCAGAGTAGGTGGATCGAGATGGTCGTGATCAACCTTGCGACGCTTGTTGTTCTTTTGTTGTTGTGGGACAGCAGTAAAGTACTGGGTGATTTTACGTTTGCCAGCAGATTTTGCAGTGAGAGCAGGCGATTCTGTCGAGGGTTGTGGGTTGCTAGTCTGCGGTTGTGTCACAGGCGGAGGAGATAGGACTCGTTCAGTCGCGACAACGACATGTGGAGAGTTTGGCGAATCTGATGGTGACGGGGTGAGCAAGACTCCTCCATCAGGCAGCAAGTGCAGCGGTGCTGTGTCTGGTAGAGACTGAGTTTCGTCTGCCAGCAATTCCTGTCGCATCATTCCGCTGCGCCGCGTGCCACGTTTTGCTGCTGATGCTAACGATGATGAAGCAGAGGCTCCTCCAAGGCTGGGATTCGCATCGATGGTCAACCGACGCAGCTCCTTGCTCATCTTCTTTGTGCTAGCAGGAGCAGACTGAATATCCAAGTGTCGTTCTGCTGACGGCGTTGTCGGAGGGGTCGCGCTTGCCTGCGCTCGTCGCGTTGCTACCATTTGATCTTCCTATCGTGTGTATACAAGTCCAGGGGGTAATCCAGGGGATGAACTGCTTGCGTCGCGCCTTCCAGTTTTAGAGAGTATTCTTATGTTTGTGTCGATGTTGCAATTGTATTGTAGAAACAGGAAGCTGCAACTGCCACAATCAAACCAGCCCAATTGTCCTGTCAATGCACGGGCCCAGGTTGACGTAGCCCCCCAACTCGCCCTGCATCCACCCCTCGACCTACCACAGCCCTACCCGCCAGTCTAAGACCTCCTCTCATCCTGTACGTACTTCAGAATGTCTCGATCGAATGTCTAGCCTTGGTGCTGAGACATTGAGCTCGACATCGTCTTGACGTTGCACACCCGAGTCACACAAGTCTTGAGCAAACAAGACATTAATATAGCTTCAATGGACAAGATCATCGATGCGAAACCTCTCATGCAATTTGATCGCATCATCTGATCTTCGTAATTTTGTAAGACATAATCAATTATCCAGGCTCAGACTCCAGTGCTGCGTACAGGTCATCATCGTCCTCAATCCAGAGCCCATCTCTCATCATATCTTCTGATCTCTTTTCGTTTCCTCCTTCTCCTCTTTCCAGACAACTCGCTCAGGATCTCGAAAGCCTGCATTGTGCTTTTGATCGATCCTCCGATCATCTAGAGCGAGCCTGGTACCTCAGGTCCCTGCTGAAGCAGCGCGGAGATCATTGATATCACGAACACGACGTACAGTGGCAGGCACAGCAGTATTCGGCGATATAGGAACATTGACTGCTTCGTCGGGGGTCTTGAGAGGGGCAGAGCTGTTAATGTGATATAAAGTCAAGTGCTTTCCGGAGCCAGGAGCAGTCACAGCGACAGCGTGGTCGTCAAGCTCGAAGTGTCTATCCATCCAGGCATTGACTTTGAGATTGCTATCGTCAGGGTATTCTTTGTTGAAAGTATTGAAACCGCGCTTGAAAGTTCTGATCTTCTGCTGGAGTAGCGTTAGCAAGGCATATGGAAAGTAATCGTGGTAGATGGCGTAAAGAAAACTCACACGTTCTGCAATATCCTCGCTGTCAATCTGTCCTTCCTCTTTCTTCACATCGACGACAGCCATCGGACCCATCCTCACGACCTGAGCCAAGCGCATCGTCGTCTCCCTTGCTCTTGCAGCCGCTCTTTCGAACGTGATTCCGCGAGCTATAGGTGCGGTTGCCACTTGAGATCTCACACAATCGTGGCCAGCCAATGCAGTTTTGGAGGGGCTGAAGTTCGATGTGCTTGATCTGCCCGGGGTTGTTTTATTTCTCATTGAGGTCTAGATCCTGCTGCTCTTCAGGAGTCTTGGGTCTCGGGATCTTGTCATGATTTGCCATGATGTCGCACACCGGATGAGTTCATGCGTGGGGGATAAGAGAGTGGTTTGTATCTTGTGTAGACGTACAGCCGCACTGGCGCAGACAAGCGCGAAAAGCGATTCTTCATAGACGGAATATTCAGGTTATCAGGCCAATGGACAGGATCGATCAGCTCTTCCGATGCAGATATCGATAACAGTGTTTCGATTGTGCTGCAACATCATCAGTTTGAGAAGGATTAGGGATTTCAGGAAATGTGTCGAAGTGGCTGAACATCTGGGCAGACACATGGCTCCTCCGAGCCCGCAGACTCATCTTGCGAAGCATCACAATGCATAGTAACCTCTTCTTCCATTCTAGTTCCACCGAAAGCATATTGCCCTGCCTACAGAAGATGTCTCCTCTGTGAGAGCTCAAACAAAATCGCTGCATTAAAAGGCAGAGTTAATAACGCTCTGCTACAGATATACTCGGAATCACTGACCACGGGTGTGGAAAACACACCCAGATCGGCTCTCTAACACCGATTCAACCTCTGAGATACCCTAGCAAAATGCAGAGAGTATTTGGTATGACTTCTTCTCTCCACCGAGAGCTTGACAGATACAACCTTCAAACCTGCTCATGGTAGCACAAGCAGACTAACCATCACATCTATCTGCCATTATTGACAGACAGAAACCTCCGAGTCTCACACGACCTACTGAATATACAAGCTGCAACCTCATCTGAGCCCAATCTCAGCTTTCAGATCTCAGTCACCGATTTTCTCTGGCGCCTGATAGCACGTGCGTGCATGAACATTCTAATATATCGACCCGCCATCTTTTTGGCACGTCCACTATCAGATCTGAGAAGATATTCACCGCGTTACTCTGGCGCCTGAAAACACGTGCAGACACGAACGTTCTCCCAAATTGACTGGTCAGCTCTTTGACAAGACCATTGTTAGGACTTGGACAACATTTACGGAGACTTTTCAGCGCCTAATAACACGTGAGGACATAGAATCTCTACTATATCTCCCCGTCACCTCATTGACACGTTCATCTCGATCATGCGCTGCTTCCTTTATCACACCCGGTTGAAGCAATACCAGCGCATGCAAAGCGCATGACAGGCACAAGCCTGTTCACGCGCCCAAACGGGACTACAAAGCGGCCCTCGAAGCTTCGTATCTCTTTCTCTCCAAACAACCACCTAGCAAACATACCTCCCCACCTCCCGAAACAATCAAACCAACCCTTCACGATGAAATACACCTACAACATCTACCAATGGTGCATCTACACCTGCTGCCCAACCCAAATCTTCCTCGACATGGACTCCGAAGCCCTTGAACGCCACTCCACCTACTTCCGCTGGCTACTTTCCTTCTACAACACTCCTTGGTATTACCGCAGTCCCGCAAAACGAACTAAAGACATTCATCTCTGTCCCTTGCACCATTGGATGCAACCGAATGCACTCAGATATGTGCTTTGCGCTATCAACAAGGCCAAAAATGGCAAGAAGATCTTCTTGGATTTGCCTGGAAACTTTGTCATGGCGGTAGAGGTGTATCAGGTGCTGCTGTTTTTGCAGGTCGAGGAGTGTATTGGACCGTTGCATGGGCATATCAGGCAGGTTATCAGGGACAGACCACTTGAGGCCAGAGAGCTTGAGGCTGTCTGGTGGTGCCTTCGCAATCTTGCTCCGAGAGTCTACGAGTTTGCTCTCAGTACTCGATACGAGCGCGAAAGACAAGTTTGGTTGCTGGGACCAGATTTCGAAGATCCAGAGCACAACAACCAGGGCATGAGAATCGTCGAAGAGACAGAATCGTCAGGGGAGGAGACACTCGTCGAGATGGACACAGATAAAGACACGGAGACAATCTTCGACGACACCAACACTGCCTCGAACAAAAACGGCTATACTGCAGAAGACGAAGCAACCGATCGAAAAGACGAATCATTCAACGAAGAAGATGAAGCATCCGAACAACAAGATGAGCAAGTCACCTCATACATTACCCACCGCCGTCACAGCTTACCTACACCATACTTCAAACCCATGTACGATATTAGCACAAGCGACTTCTGCGAATGCGCAGACGAAGAACCCGAACACTGAGCAAACGGTGGAACAAGAAGGATAACCTCACCTCCACCGACAAAGACAAGCAAACACAAACAATCTTGGATATCAAACAAGTAACGTGGCAGATCTCGAATGCTAGATCTGGCCACTGACAGGAAGTAAGCGGCGAAGCAGATCTAAAAAGCTAGATCTAACTTTAGGCTGCAAAGGAAAAACTTGGATATGCTGACTATCTACGAAGATCTAGAATCCCAGACCTCGAATCAATCATGTTCCTGATGAGCATTTCTCTTGTACTTCGCTAAGTCTTGTTTCCCTACATCTCTTTCAGTATTCTTCTTTGTAGATACTGTCCTTGATTGTATTCTAGATCGAATTGTAGAAAAGTAAGACTTCTTGAGAAGAAGGATGGACAAGATTTTATCGCTACAGAAGCCTCAAGGCGTTAGAGAGGCCTTTTCAAGGAAGAATATGTAGCAGATGTCGTTGAAAGATGGTTGTGGAGAAGGTCGAATCGGAATGTTCATGACGCAATCCGCGTGGTTTGATCAAAAGGCAGCAGCCACCCGAGCTCTTTCACCTCGCTTCTCCTACACTCAAGCTTTCTCTCATTCAGTCCCACCAAAGATCAGTTTACCACTCTCTCGCCCGCCTTTCTCGCCACTTTCCAAGCCTATGGCCGCGTCTCTCTTATAGTCCCGCTGCACACACTCGGTCCTCGCTCTACCGACGTTGTCCCCAGCTTTCGGCCTCCATCAACCCGAAACATGCACTCTGCCGCCGAAGCTTCGCCGTCTCGACACACAATGCAAATCCAAACCAACAGCACAAGAGCAAGAAGTAGGTGCTAAGAAAAAAAAAAGAAAAGGAGCCACTCCTTTGCCCTCTATCAACTTCATCTCTCCAGATTCTCTACTCCTACTCCCACCAAACACCCCACAAAAACATCCTTTACCATCACTCCTCCCCTTCTTTCCACCCTTACAACACCTTCAACAAGCAAAAAAGGGTCTCGCCGGGAATCGAACCCGGGACCACTCGCAATTGGCTTAGAGTTATCAAGATGCTGTGAGGCACCTCCCTAAGCGAGTATCATACCGCTAGACCACGAGACCTGATCAATTGGAGGGAATTGATGGAGTGGCGGTCGCTTGCTGGGTTTAACAATCTGTGGACAGTGGATGGGATCCGTCGACACATTCTCTACTGAGGTTGATGATTTGCCTGTAATTGAGCTGCATATGCAAGCAATGTTTTCGAGAGGTAGGTACAGGCTCTGCATTTCTTACGTTGCCTTGGGTCGATCAATGCGACATGGTTCGACCTTCACAAAGCCTTCACAAACATGAAACAGGCTCAGATTTAGAAGCAGACTCGGACCTCTGCGAAACCAAAGACGGATAGAATTTGGCTCATGTCCAGCATTTCATTGAAAGGTAGGTAATTATTCCCGAGCTGTTCTGTCCATCAAATACACAAGAGTATCTTACAAGCGTCCGCTCTAACTAAAGCCTCTCTAAAACGCCATACCAATCTGCACGACCTCTGGCCATCAAATCGATACTTCCATCGGTCTAGCAGCAACACGGAGCGTTCAACGCACAAGCTCGCCAATGTCTTGTTCACAAGTCTCATGTGCTGCCAGAATTCAATTTGACCCCGTTGCTTCCGGCAAATCCTCGGAAATGAGCTGCCACCAAAAACGTTTTTGTATACCATCATACCTTGCCAAGGCTTCAACAATTGGGGTTGTGGTCTAGTGGTATGACATCTTCTTAGCATTGCTTCTTGTAAGCGGTTCTGAGTTGGAGAAGGTTCTGGGTTCGATTCCCAGCTACTCCACTTTTTGCTCGTTGAGGTTGATGGATGGGATGAAGGTGTGATGGGACGGGATAACGTTTTGTGCAATGAGGGTGATACTTGTTTTCCTTGGGGCAATGATCGAGCTGAGGTAGGTTTCCTATATGGCTGGCGACGGTGCCAATGTCTGTCAGGCTGACCTTGAGTCTGGCATCAGGATGAGTTCAGAGGTAGGTAGGCTAACAGCATTTTCATAGACACATAGCTTTAGAGACAGTGGTTGCGACACCGCTGATACGATCAAAAGACAACACGTAGTCAAGCGTCAACTCAAGTGCTCTCAAAAAAAAAAAAAAAAAAAAAAAGGTTATATTGCTCAAAAAGAAGATATACGAATCGAAGTACCACCACAATCCAAACCTCTCAACAAATCCCCTACACACCTCATTGTAGCTCATAGAAGCTTACAGGCACTGGGAGTACCAATCATTCTGGACCTTGCAAGTAGTGCCCGAAACGCAGGTAGTAGGTCCAGTCCATCCCTGACCACCACACTGACCCCAGTGAGCAGCAGTACCACTGCCCGAGCCCGAAGAAGCAGCAGAAGTAGCGGGAGCAGCAGCCTGAGTGGACTTGACCATAGTAGACAAAGTAGTAGCGGGCTTAGTAGTAACAGCAGCAGCAGAAGTGCTAACGGGAACCTTGGACGAAACAGCAGAAGTGGCAGGCTTGGATGATGCAGCAGCGGCGGAAGTTGCAGGTGCGGGTGCAGCATTGCCAGCGCCACAGCTGATTACGGCAGGACCGGGAGCCTTGTAGGAAGTGTAGATGGAGGAGTCGTAGATGTTGGCAAGGATACCGGGGTCAGTGGCTGAGTAACCACCAGGCAGGGACATCTCGTTCGAAGTCGAAGGTGAGAAGGAACCAGATCCAGTAACCTTGATCTGAGCGCAAGATTGGTAGAACTGAGCACCGCCCTCAGCAGTAGCAGAGTGGAGTGCGAGCAACTCAACACGCATAAGGTATTGGCCAGGAGCAATGCAGCTAGGCATGGTGAACTTCTGCCAGCCGAAGCCGTTGGAGTCGGTGTTCTTGATCATGTCATCAACACCCCAGACACCAGATGAAGTGACAGCATCGCTAGCAATCTTGAACCACTTAAGACCAGTAGCAGAAGCAGAAACAGCATCATCGACCTTAGCAAGGTAAACCTGAGTAGGACCCTTGTGAGACTTAGCAATGGGGTTGTCCGAGTCGCCAGAGCCTTGAGGTCCACCGAGGAGATGAGCCCATCCGCCAGCGACCGAAGCACCAGCAGGGATGGTGATGAGCTTGGAGGAAGTGCCAGAGCCGGCACCGCAGAGGATGTCTGAGGAGCTGACATCCTGGACGGGGTTGTTGCTGTTAGGAGCACGGATACCGGTCAGGGAGCCTTGATCAACACCATCGACCATGATACGCTGCATGATAGCATGGGCGTTGACTGAGGAAGCGGCAAGCGCCAGAGCAGAGACGACAGAGTACTTCATTGTTGGAGAACAGAAATTGGGATGCCTTCCAGAGGATCGGAAAAGTATATCAAGTGATTATGAACGAGAGTCGAAGGTCGGTGAAAAAGGCTGTGTCGAGAAATGAACGTCGAAAGTAGGAATGATGCGTGAATGGGAAAGTTCAAACCTCGAGATCAACCCTTGTACTTATATATCAAGCAAAGGATCCGTCTGCCACCGCAAGGCAGGACTCGATATTACACTTTCGATATCCATCGCTTCGAGACAGAATAGAGCGCCACGGACAACAGGCTAACACGAAGCCAAGGCGGGTAGTAGACATCGTTCACCAGCAATGCTATGCCAAGTCGTTCTGTGCTATAGGGCAAGGACTAAATCAAGGGAAGCGATCTCTTTGCAGCTCGCGTATGGCATGCGAATGCGAGAACAACGTGCCTGCAGGGATGTAAAGAGGAAGGTCGTATATACTCGAAACAAGTTCAGTGTTGCCAAGCACAGTCTGAAGCGCCTGGGCCCGCTTGAGGAGCATCTGCTTCGGCGACGTTTTCTACCGGACTGTTCTCTTTCGTACGAAAGAGAATTTGGACTGGAACTCAGGCCCGAGATACCGCAAGCAGGTGTGTCAAACGTCAAGTGACCTTCCATTGTGTCTTTCTTGAATATATCCGGTCCAATAGAGAGGCTCTTGCCAAGAATGTTCGTGCAATTCAGAAGTTCGAAGCAAAACGAGTTGTGGGGGAGGCGTCGTGTGAAGAACGGGTTCTCTCATCTCGCTTCAAAAAGAGCCTCCTGAAGCACGCTACACAGATGCATGCGTTTCATCCTTCGCAAGGCGGAAGCGACACCATGAACATCGAGGTTTGTTCGCATCGTGATTCTCTTGCCTCGGTGCTTCTGGTGCGTGATATACTCTCGAGAGTAATTAGTACAGTATATAAAGTCCGTTTTCTTGCGGTCGCAGAAGCTGGCTCTTATGGCAGTAGGGCTCGCAGTGCGGGCAGAGCTTGCGGCTCTAGCGAGGAAAACTGTATAGCATCTAGCCTCGACCGTCTACCCAAAGCGATGTGACAAATGGAGTCGCTTGGTTGCTTCGGATGGTCATCCTATCGTTGTGACGGCGCAAGGTCGAAATTGATCTCGTCACGACAGGCAGATGATGGTTGACTAGTCTGCAAGGACACCTTGTGACTCAGGAATAGAGGCTTGGGCATCGTTACGGCCGCTGTGTCTGCAATCACTAGTCAAAATGCGAGCGGTCAGAGGAAGGCGACAGCACGCAAGTATCGCGCTACATTGATGCATTGTTGCTCAGGTTGTTCCGTGTTTGCAAGAGTTCTGTCGCTTCCCCACTTTCTTCAACTTTGGAGCTCGCAAGAATCTGACGGTGACAAGAGATATGTTTTTGGCTGTAGTCTTCGTGTAAGCTATGTGTATTGGCGGATATCACGTCTCTAATGATCAATCTGTTCTCGTTGTATCTATGCTGTGCTCATATATGCAGACGATGAGTGCAGCGACTGTTCGTGCCATCTGACTATAACCAAGATACTGCAACGCTCGGACGTCAGTCAGGGTGTTCCTCTCAACTAGCATTCCCAACGCAAAATGTGGCGTAGAGAGGCAGAACTACTGTATATATGACACCCGACTATGGAGGAAGGGAGAAAACTACCTGACATGATGGTCTTCGAATTCTGGAGCTGGTAGATACAGCATGTAGACATCGACGTGGATGGAACGGGATCTAACACTTGCCCAAACGAAAGACGTTCTGATGACGTGCAAGACGGAGAGGACAATCACGATCGTGAATGGCGAAACACATATCTCGATGATACGAGGTCATATACGGCTCTAACAAGTCTTGACATCTTCTCTCGAGTAGAGAGATGTCTTGCAATGGAAGAGCTCTTGTTGTATTGCTGCCGATGCTCGAGGAGCATCTGAGTGGTCTGCTATAGCCTGTACTTAGATTGTACCTCCCGAATCGGCCCTTCATCAAGGCGAGATGGCCGAGCGGTCTAAGGCGCCAGCTTAAGGTTGATTCAAATCGATACGCTGGTCCGAAAGGGCGTGGGTTCAAATCCCACTCTCGTCAATATCCTTTTGTTTTGACTAGGTCAAATGGTTGAGAAAAGGGAGAGGAACGGTGAAGAACAAAATTTTGTTCCGGCTTTGGTGAACCCTGCACGAAGCCTTGCTTGCATAAAAAGGCTTGAGCGAGAGTGTGTATAGCTTGGCGTGTTTGATTCTGTGGGGTAGTTGCATAAAAGTTGTGCATTTTGGGTAATGATCTTTTGGAAGTGGAATGCAGGCTCCGCGGGCCAAGTAACTCACAAGTCGACATCAAACGCGTCGGATTGCCTGAAGAAAAAACAAGATCTGATATGAGAATATGATCGAGGCTCAGCAGTATTCGTAATGGCCAAGAGATCCTTCTACCGGCTCGACGAATGGAGAGTAACTATAACCTAACATTAGCCTTACACCACAGCACCTAGTAGAGAGCCCATGAGCCTTGAACGACGCGTCATGAAGGACAGTGAGCGGAATGACAAGTAGAAAGAAGCACCGCCAGCAGCTTCAGCCCGAGACACGTGTGATCTGGGCAATTGTTCAAGGCGATGCGTGGTACTCACAGCCGCGTGGCTCGGACGATTGACATCTTTCTTACACAAGATCTGACAAGATGGTGTGTGGAAATGTGTATCAGATCGACTTGGAGAGCCGCGGACAGTCGGTGGAAAAGTAGCCATGGCTCCGATGAGGCTGTGGATGTTGGTAAAGCTTCAACGATGGAAGAGATCACACCGGAAGAGTTGGTCTTCAAGACATGTACCTGTACAAACTTACAAAGAGTTTAAGGCCAATCTTTCGGACCTACAAGTCGCAGCGAAGAAGAATTGCAAAGGTTCCTTGCATGTGTTGGATAATAGGCTGACGGATGTTGGCTTGTCAGATCAGCAAGAGGTGCATGAAGGCGGACGTGACAATCACCGACGAGCCCGACTGTGGATAGAGACCAGACGTCAGTAAATTCTCCGAAGCATCACATCAAATTCCTACACAACAAGAAGCATCATTGACCTTCAGCTCAGCTTTTGGAGGTGGTTGGAGAAGAAGTTGATGGTGACGTCTTGCTGCTTTCGGACGACCCCACGGACTTGCTAGACCGGATAAGGTATAGCGTTCGGACTTTCTGAGGCAGCTTATTCTTATTCCTGCTGCTTCTCTCTCCGCCCTGCCTCATGCTTGTTGCAGCACCAAAAAGACGTGTCCGAGGGGCGCGCGTGAGCAGCCAAACCAACGAGGACCTTCGGAGAATACGCGTCACTGTTGTCAGAGGTGATGAAGAAGGGTCCAGAGCTTTGCGGCGGTCGATGCATGACGCGGCTGTGCAACAAAATCAAGGCTATATAGGCAGAGAGGTAGGTAGGCTTTTTTTTTCTTGCATCCAGTCCTTTTCTGCTCAGAAATACACACATATACACAATCGCATACACAAAAAGAAGAGAAAAATACCACAATGAAGTTCAATTTCTCCATCCTCGCCGCAGCCACCGCTCTCGTCGGCTCGGCCACCGCAGCACCTCAGAACAACGGTAACTGGCAGAGCTACGCTTCGCAAGCAAGTTCTTACTGGGCATCAGCCAACCCTTCCGCCACGGGTGATTGGTCTTCATGGGCCAATGCCGCTTCATCGTACTGGAACAGTGTCAGCCCCAGTGCCGCCCCTTCGCAATGGTCATCTTACGCTTCCGCCGCATCTTCATACTGGGCTTCCCACAGCGGTAGCATGATCACCGCCGCTCCCAGCGCTTTCCCCTGGGCTGGCGGCTTCGGCCCCGGAGGTCCTGGTGGATGGAGAGGTGGCAATGGATACGGCCCTTTCGGTGACATCGCCAATGGCACAAACTCTGGCTGGGGTCCTTGGGGCACCGGTGCTTGGACTTCCGGACCTTGGACCTCTTGGTGGGGTGGAAGCAACTGCCCTGACAGCACCTGGTCTGGTTGGACTTCTGGTCCTTGGGGTACAAACGCACCTTGGACTTCGTGGTCGGGCTGCAAGGCTTCCACTACTGCCACTTCGACCATCACTACTACTGTCTCTGGCACACCCACCACTACTGTTGCCTATGGCGTCCGCGTGAATGCCGCTTCTGCGGCTTCTAGCACCTCTGGCTCTGGATCGGGAACTGCAGCCACCGCTACTCACACCGGTGCTGCTTCGAACATGGGTGTGTCTGGTGCTGGTGTCGGTATTGGAGCCGCTGTTGCTGCTGTGTTGATGCTGTAAATGCTTTGAACAGCGTTGCATGGATACGAATTGCATGAATATGTTATGAGGTGGATACTGCGGATTACTTGTATGCTAGATTGTCGTTGAGATCAGAATGAAACCGTCAGTTTTGTTTCACCTTGCATTTCACGTTGCATAATGATTTGTCCTGGAAAACTTGTCCTAAAGAGCTCGAGTCGGCGACAAATCACTCTTGTTCAAAATCTAGCAAACATCGGTGGACAGCTACGAGTGGGGACTCGCAGTACTGTTGCATCTGAGATTTTGGCGGTTGATTGTTCTGAGCCGGATGTGGAAGAGGTTGTACTCGAGTACTCGGGTATTGGTGGCGCCAAAAGCCCTCCACACCGGGCGCAATCTGAAGCCAGCGAGCGTCGTCTCTGTTCGTCCAACCTCAGCAACCTTCAGCATGCACCGAATATTGTAGATCTTCACATTGTCATTCTCACACTGGCAGAAAATTTGGTTCTCTTGACCTTTGCGAGCGCAATGAGCGATTCTCTGGCGGCTGAAAGGTAGTATAGAATGACGGCAGTCGAACGTGCGACCACTACATTCCTCACAGCTTCGGTTACGCTCCGCCGGCTTGGTTGAGCTGTGGTTCCTTCAAGTCTGCATCAATCTCTCTGCTCTGTTATTGTTCAATGCGTCATTGAACTTGTGCATGGTAACGACTGCCGAACTTTTTTACTGTTCACCAGAATTGCCAGTGCTGTCCCTCATGCCGCTCAGCACAACGACGAACCCGCTCTTCTAACTTATCACGTCGTCAAAAAAGATGACCTTGTGGTCAGCGACGATGATGTGCTCTTTTGTACCACGACCCTGTAGCACGCAAACAAGCGATACTTATCGTGGAAGAAGTCAAAACCTGGCGTTCGACCATCATCGTCACAAGAGGAAATAAGCCATTCAGCTGTGGTTAAAGCGCCAGCCTGGCCCCTAATCAAGGACTCCTGAAGGCACAACTGGGAGGTCCAATAGATACTGGGTCTCCAGCCTTTGAGTCGCTGCTGTAGCACGTGATTCGAGAGTAGAAGTGGTGCAACATCTTCTCTGTTACCTTCCAGAACTGAAGCAGTGGAAAGTGGAAAGGAGAGCGCGTATGAGTCAGTAGATGTTCCGAGGAAATTCAGGATTGATCAGACGAGGTGCATTTGAGGCTGGACCGGGCCCTGACAGGAGTTTGAGCTTGATCGAATAGCTTTGCTGTCTTCCCATCTCCGAACCTGATGGCGGCGGCAATCTGGGTCTCGTTGCAGGCGACAGCTGCTCATTGCGGATGGCAGTTGGAATGTACAGAGCTGTCAGATCTGTAGAACATAGTCAGCCAAGGTCAGTCCGATGCGAAGTCATGTAAGTGTGGGCAGTAAAAGTTTGACGGTCGAGTTGACCTCGAGGCATATCAATAGTGTCTCTGTTATTTGCACAAGAAGCCTCGGAAGATTGCCAAAAAAGGATTAGTCCACGATGATGGTTGTCTTTCAGGTGTACCTCAACGGACTATTCAAACGAGCAAAATTCGCATCGACTTGAGTGAAATACAACAACAAGAGTTTACTCTTTCACAACCTCGCGACCACATCTTCTTACGCCCAAGTTGACCATCGATTGGACTATCTCAACATGGTCACCACCAGGAACGGTGCACTGAAGCACCGCCGAGTCACAAGGAGTATGGCCACATCAAAAGCTGGCTCATCGGGAATTGTCAAGCAGAAGGCCACTTCCGCTCCCAAGGAGGCGCGCAGCAACACCGCATCGAAGAAGAATAAGACATTTGCTCCTACCAAGCGTGCTGAAGCAGAGGAGACCATCCCTGAGCAAATAAGCGACGAAAATTTCACAGCCAGGCCCAATACCAGGAGCATGGCCAAGGAGACCAATCTCACCAAACCCACCAGCAGCAAACCCTCATCGCGCCTCATTACCATTGCTGCTTCTGCTGCTCGTCCGACTACTCGCAGTATGACGATCAACAACAGAGATACCGCCAGAACTGCAGCATCTGAACCTCCTACTCAGGCTGAAACGAACCTCACAACTGCTCCTCGCCATATCAATCGGCAGAGAGCAACTCAGACAACTCTTCCCACATGGACCACGACCAACGTTGCCCCTGTTGATGACGTTCAAGCACGCCCCGACCCTTCTGTCGCCACAACCCCTGACCCTCCTCGTACTCGCTGTGTAAACGCCAGGATCATGATTACCCCTCGCGGTCGTTTTGTCAGATCCGAACCGACCGCTCAGCTCACTGAAGGTCAGTGGCGCTACATGATCGCCAGAACCCGTGCTTCACTCAGACGCGCGCTTGAGGGTGATCAAGAATGGCCTGACCTCTCCCATGGCCAGCGCAGAGAGATGATCAGGATGTTCGCTTGGGTCGAGTCAGAACCTGGCAGAACCCATCATGATTACTTTGACCTTCCTGTCCGCCACGAGGCTTTGACTACCAGACCCATGGTTGATATGTCGGTGAGTTGTTCTCGCGATCTGGGTTGAGAGAAACTACTGACACAGTAACAGGGGTACATCACTAGAGTGCGTACTTGGTATAAAACTTTGAAGACAGGCACCAACAATGGCGAAGCAGAGTCCACTGAAGATGGGGATGAAGACGTTATCGAGGAGGATTGAAGGTCTCCCAAGAGAAAGAACAATCACAACAGGAACAAGAACAAGAACAGAGCTGTGGAGTAAAAGAAGCTGCGCCAGGATGAAGGCATTGACAGCGAAGCAGGCACTGACGAGGTGACCGAGCAAGAGAGCGAGGAGGAAGACTTGGAGAGCGAGTAACACGAGGAGAGGCGCGAGGGTATCGAGGGCAACGACGAAGGTTCCTCTCTGCCATAGGAATGCCTGGGTAGTGCTTCGTCGGGTGTCACTTGTGGACGGATGCTCGTAGGTCTGCTCCGTGCATTGTTGATATTGAGCAGTGCTTTGGAGATAGAGATAGCTCGTGCACAGACAGAAGGCATAAAGAGAGGTGATTGCACTCATAAAGATACCTTGTAGCACTTCAAGCTACAATAGACTCCCCCAGCGATGGAGAGTAGTAATACAGCAAGCTTTTGACCTGTTTTCATCGAGCCTAAAATCATGTTGCAAGTGCTCTTTGCAGCTTGATGGTAGGAACGTGAAGTGGATGTGCCTGTGAGACGATCAAGTAAACTCTGACCATCACCTACCTTCTTCTCAACAAGCCAACACAGACTTCAGAGCCGTCTCTCTGCATACAACCACCATCATTCACGATAATACCATGACGTTCCTCATCGCTCTCATCATCGACTACTTCTTCTTCATGCTCTCTGGCCTCCTCATGTTTTACTCGCTGGTCCACGTGCTGCACTTCATCGGCTTCTTTCACCGTGACGAGATTCCCTGGAACGACATTTTCAAGATCGGATACATTGTGCGCGACATCTCATTTTGCTTCTACATCGTCATCACTTTGGAAGCATTGCTGCTTCATGTAAGTACAGAAGCATGCTTTTTGTGGTCGCTGATTCGTTCTTTGAAGAACCGTTGAACTCCTAGAAAGATATCTGGGCGCGAAACGTGCTATTAAGATGCAGGACATTTTTGGTTTTGGTATACCGTCCACCGAGAGCCTCTTAATTATCACCACTGACTTGAACGAGAAGCATGTACTCAATGGGCGGTCGCCATCACGAGGACTACTGTGCATTTGTTCAGTACCAGAAAAAGAACAAGATGCCTTATGGAGTCAACAAAAGTCACAATACAAGAACTCCAAATCCAAAACCAATTCCAGTTTTCTCAAAGTTCCTCTTCCTCTTCAAATCCAAGTTCCTTTTGCGGGTGCTTGCTACCGTTAATCTTCTGACCATCAATCTTCTGACCACCATGGCGAATGATATTCAGATTGTCCATATTGCTGCCTGACTTGGGAGTATATAGTATTGCTTTTCTGATCTCTGGCTCTTTAGCTGTGACTCTCGATGGAGGTAAATGGAGAGAGTCAGTCGATGATGCGCTACTGCATCGAGCATGCAGTGGGTTCTTTGGTCGGCTCTTTCCTGCTCCTGTGACCCTCTCAATGTCTTTCTCGCTTGACTGAGGCGAGTCTCGAGCACCAATCGATGCTTGGCTACTGTTTCTTGACTCATGAATATGCAATGATTTCTTCAGACGCCTAACTTCCGACTCTTTGGCACAGACGTTGTCGAGAAGAGTGGCCCATCTGTTTCCGTAGTCGATTCTCATGTCTTCAATCTCCTGGTCCTTTTGTCTGATCGTGTCGCGGAGACGTCGGTTCCTTCTGGCCGACTTCTTGAGAGATGACTCTTGCTCCTTTTCGATCTTCTTCTTGCTTGCTGCTAGCGATCTCTTGATTGTTGATTTCATTGGTGCGAAGCTCTCGCTCATTGTGGCAAGGCGTTCGGATGCGCTCTTATCGTTGTCGTCGACTGGGTGTGTGAAATGCCGGGCTGGGATCTTTAAGGCTCCTTCTGACTGCCGCGGTTGATTCTTAGCCTTCGTAATTTTGCGTTCTAGCGAGTTGTACATCTCGTTTGCTCTGGCAATCTCATGGTAGGCGTCGAATTCGAACTGTTTGTAGCGCTTGAGCTCCGCTTGGAGTCGCAAGACTTCTTCTGTTGTTCTTTTGGCATCTTCTTGTGCTGCCTTTTGGGTTGCTCTCGCGTAGTGAAGCTGCGCCTTTAAAAGACCCGTTGGTGTCGCGGGCTTGTTGTCTGTCTTTGAAGCTGTAGACGTCGGCTGCCCGGTTTGACTGGTTGGCTGAGGAGTAGTGTTGATGGGCTTCGGCTGTTCAGTTTGACTAGCTGGCAAAGCAGTAGTCTTGTCCTTGGTCATAATGCCAGGTGAAACAAGCTTGATCCAATTGTCTGAGTCGGAGTCTTCTTTCTTGACAGCCTCGCTCATCTTTGAGAAATCAAAGCTGGGCTTAAGCTTACTAGCCGCCATAATTTTCTGATAAGCTGCCAGGTCGAAAGGCTTAGACTTAGGCTTATCGACTGTATCTTGCGAAGTTTGATTTTCTGTCGCGGCTGTACTGTTGCACGTGGGAGTTCCAGTAGACGACACGGGCTTGACTGTATTTGATTTGAGATCGCTCAAAATTTTCGTCTTGTTTGTCCTTCCGAAATGGAAGCTGGGGAGAGCTTTCTGATAAGCTGCAAAATCGAAGGGTTTGATGTGAGTCTTGGTGGCTTCGTTTTGTGAAGCTTGATGACCTGTGGCAACTACATCATGAGTTGTTTCTTTGGTTATATTGAAAGCAGGGACGTTGGCTGGTGCACTTGAAGGTACGTGCAGCGGCTTTGAAAGCGTCGTAGGTGGAGAAATCGATGTAGGAGACGCAACAGCCTTTTTCAAGTTGGGGGCTGACAGAGGCTGAGGCATCTTGGGCGATGCGGGTAATGAAGTCTGCTGCGTCGTGATCCGAGGCGTCGCCGGCGCACGTGGAGAAGATGTGTTGGGTGCTGTATGATGCAGAGCAGATACAGGTGAAGCTGCATAAGGTGTAGGAGAACTCCTCAGCCCAGTCTCTGCTGGCACCTTTTGTTGAATAGTCTTGAGGCGCTCGAGGACAGGAATCTTGATTTGAGGAGGAGCGACGGTAGAAGGGTCATCAACTTCGTGAGACGTAGCATTCTTAGCCTCGGACTGCTGACATTTGCCCTCATGGTCATGTTGTTGGTCGAGCAGGTTGGTGCGATGGTGCAAGAAGCCCGAGGAAGTCTGCGCGGAACCTTTCTCTTCTCGGGCTTCGGCGAGCCGAACTTTTGTATTCTCGAGCTCTTGCTTAGCGGCTGCTGCCTTGTCAACTGCCGTCTTTGTGTCTGCTTGAGCTGCAGATAGCTCAGCTTGATGCTTCCCTTCTGTATCAGCGAGGACTTGCTCTTGCTGATGGAGACTCGATCGTACGGTAGCAAGCTCAGCCTCCAGATCCTTGCAGCGCTTCTGAGCGGCGACGAGTTCAGCTTCACACTTTGTGTCTCTGTCTGCAACAGCTTGTCTTTGCTCTTGCAGTTCCTGTTGCAGCTTAGCGACTTTGTCTTCCAAATCCTTGTTTCGTGTTTCGATAGCGAGGTCTTTTACAGCTAGGACAGATTCGTCTCGAGCACTGGTACTGGTTACTGCAGGATCCTGTCGAAGTTGTTCGAGCTCTGATCGAGCAGCGGCAAGCTCAGCTGTCAACTTGCCGTTCTCCTTCTTTACAACAGCTTCATTGTTCTCTGCAGCGTTTCGAGCCTTTTGAGCCTCAGAGAACAGTTGGACATTCTTAGCGTTCGCATCTTTGGCAATCTTGAGTGATCGCTCGAGTTCCGCGATTAGCGTATGCTTGCGGATCAGCTCATCCCTCAAATTGCTCTCGGATGCTGCTGCTGCTGGTTTTGCTGATGTCTTTGCGGTCTTGAGCTCTTTTTCGAGGCATTGAATGGTAGCCTGAGCGCTCGCAAGGCTTGCTTCGAGAACGATACACTTCCGTTGGAACTTGCCATGGTCTGGATTGGCATTGAGGTCGGCAAGCTGTGTCTTGAGGTCTTCGTTCTTGGTTTTCTTCCCCGCCCTGAGCTGTTGTTCAAGTTGTTTGATCCTCGCAAAGCTCTCCTTCTGAGTTGCAGAGAACTTTGCGACATTCCTCTCGTTTGCCTCTCGGAGAACTTTGCATGTGTTCTCGAGTGCTGAGTGTCGTTGACGCATCATGTTCAATTGGTCTTTGAGGTCTTGTGTGTCTTTGTCAGGTGGCGCTCGGTTAATCTGGATGTGAAAAAGCTGCTTTTGCAATCTGTCGATCTCTTGGTTCTTCTTCAATAAGGCTTGCGCGGCAGCGAGCCCATACGCCAAAGCCGGATTTGCTTCCTGCCAATCTCTGACATCGTCACAAAGATCATGGTAATGCTTTTGCTGACGCCAATATTCGAAGTCGGATGCCTGCTTCAGATCATAAAGTGTTGCAATAGGTCTTGGTAGAAGCGAGTCCACCACTGCATGTGCGACCATTCGCTCACAACAGCGAGCATCCCTCATCGCTAGAGTGTAGCGCGATATGAAACATCTGGAACACCAGAGATGCTCAGTACAAAGACCTGTCTGAAAGTCTGAGGTTTCATCTCTACACCAGTGACAGACCGGTATGGGCGCAGGGCGAGCCGGCTTGAACTTGAACTCGTGTGTGCATTTCCCATCCGTGTGCCTTGAACAAGAGGCACAGTAACCTTGAGTGAAGTCCGGGCATTGACCTATCGGCTCGTATTTCTTGCGTTTCTCGGGGTCTGACAATATCTCGTACGCATTGTTGATCTCTTGAATTCGCTGGGTGGAGTCGGGATGCGGGTTTCTGTCGGGATGGTGCTCGAGGCTTGCTTTCTGCCATGCCTTCTTTATCTCTGACTCACTGGCACCTGGCTGCAGTCCGAGGATTTCGTAAGGGTCTTTGTTAGGTGGCATTATGTAGAGCGTGCGTGCTGCGGCCAATTATTTTGGCGAGTCGGCCGCTGCTATGCAAAGAATGCTCCAGCTCAGTGCTGATGTACTTCGGCCACGTTTGAGAAACACTCCAGCTACAAAAATGTCGTGGGTGCGGGTGTGTTGTTTTGGAAAAGATGGTGTCAAGCCAACAAAGCATCCATTTCCACGATCTAGGCCACGCTCACACAAAGAAATCTTCCGCAAAGTACACGAACAAACAAAGAGATGCGAACTTTACCCAAATGCATATGGAATAAAATGCAGATCTATATTAAACAAACCTCGATACCACTAACAGTCACGAGAATATACACAGAGTTAGTCACTCGCTCGATTGTTCAACAGAAGCACTTCTTACCCTTAGAAGCCGTAAATATCATTCTATCAGGAAGACGTAAACAATGTAATAAGCTTCTCATGGCCCGACTCCGCAGGAACCTCGTTTCGCATCTTACCTCCTTCCACCGGTCCATTCCTTCACAAGAGAGGTGTTCTACGTAAGCATCCAGGTAATTGAGAAGAAGGAACTTAACACAAGCAGAGTCATATTCGAAGGACCTTTGAAGCGACTCAGGGATCACGAGATACAAGATGAAAAGCTGTCTGGTATTCTTCTGTGTGATATTTTTCGGATGATTCTGAGTATCCTGGTCTCAATGAAAGAATAGCTTCAATGCACGGGGACTATGTATCCCGGCTCAGGGTTCCTCGCAGCAGCCCATTTCATGATACTCTCCCAGTCATAGCACGTATGCTTCTCAGCATTGCCCAGAAAGTACTTTGACCCGTCTGTGTCTTCGAAAACATGCATTGCTGCTGGACTGAGATCGGGTCGACATTGCAAACTCTGCCTGATATGATTCATGCAGTGGTCGATGTGGTCTCTCTGAGCGGCTTCCAGGGCACCTTGATGTTGCGAGTGCGATTGTGATGCATGAGTCTCATGATTCCCTTCTGCTCGTCGACCAACATGACCGTGGTCGTGTGCGCCGTAATAGTCTTTATCAAGCTCCATCCTCACGGCATTCAAGCAATGCAGGTTGTGGAAAACGTCGAGGGCAAAGTGATATTTGTCAGTCACAGGATGCTTGTCCCTGTCCATGTCGTAGGACAGAGAGGGGTTCAAGGCAATCTCCTCAGGCGTTATGGCAGGGTACTCATATTGAAGAAGGTCTGCCCATGCAGCATCGATAGCCGGGCTAGGCTTGCCGAAGTAGAGTGGAAGATTGGGATCCATCTTTCGGTATACCGTGTGGCTTGTATGATTGAAGAGGAGGAGGTCGTCGAAATTGACTGTCGCGAGTTTGTCTGGTAGAGGAGTCGTGCTTACTGTCCGAGGCAATTGTTTAGCATCGCTGTCTACTAACTCGGTCATGTCTTAAAGGGAAAGATACCGAAATCTGCCTCAAGTCCCTTATGACTTGCGAGAGCATGGACTCGAGATGACCGTAGTTCTCGCCAAAGCAATAGGCAGAAACCAGCCCAAGCGACATTCGATAACATTAGAGCAACGCTCAAGGATGACTTTGAGATCCATGACTGCCGCTCCTGTGTCGGGTGTCTCTTTTCTGATCCCGGCGTTATTAGGCCCACACCGGCCTCATCCTCGACATCGACGGATTCGCGATTTTCGCGCTTATACCACGCCATCCTCTTTGAATGTTCGCCAGGATGCGAGGAGACAGCATGTCCTGGCTGGGAGGACTCAACGCGAGTTGCATCAAGTATTTGTGGTTGAGTTCTGAAGCCGTTGACGTCAGCTGGCGATGATTGGATTGTTGTAGTGTAACTTTACTGTGCATTGCCTCTCTACGGTATAGAGAAACTTAAAATCCCGTTTGTGAGTCCGCGGGATTGAACTCAAAAGACCGTCCGTACCCCACGTACTTCTCCTGTTTTGACGATACTGTCGCAGTCGGCAAGTCTGGAGGTACTTTAGCAGCAGTATGAAGCCTTGCGGATCAGACTAATTGCATGAAATACTGCAGACAGATTTTCCATTATTACTGTTGCATGCTTCTACTGCCTAACCGCATCGGAAGACATCCTCGGACTATTTTTATAATGGTCGAGACTCATTTTACAGTACATGCACGCGGATTATTCGAGGTTTACATTATTCAGGAAGACATTCATATTTTGACAAAAAGAAAAAAGAAATATATGATTTTGTAGTTATGCTAATTAATCAGAAACCAGATGAGCCGCCAGCAGTATCTCATACTCAATATCAGAACAGTCCATCACGAAGCAAGGTCCGAGGTTGGTTCGTAGTCTTCCCCAACCAAGGACAGCAAGATAGTTTCGTGGAAGCGGCGATTGTCAGCAAGGTCCGGGTCGTCATACTGGCTGAGCACTTCAGTAGCCTCGTCCTCCGCGTCGATGAATCTGTCTGTTCTGGATTGGCGGAGAGGCCACAAGAAGTCCTCAAGAAGCTGTTCATTGTTGGCATAAGTCTGTTCACCAGGGCTGGTTTGGACAGGAATCTCGCGATCGCGAATGGTGATGATACGCCATGCGGTGTAGTGTTGAAGACCCTGTTCAAGGACATCATCGCCCTCAATAACGTGAGTCAAGTAATGTGCAGCCCAGTGGAGACTGTGAGCAACCTCAGGCTCACTCCTGATGATATCCTCGCTGTAGACGATCGCAATAACTTGAAGCAATCTAAGGAGCTGACCGGCCGAGGACAGATCCAAGTGTCCGAACTCAGCATCAAGGCTAACAAAATCAGCAGCTTCTTCAGCAGCAACCTCCTCTCGTTCCTCTGGCGTGAGCTCGAATCCTTCATCTTCAGTATCATCTCCGTGAACTCTTGTTGCATCTGCGTGACTACCCTCGCAGGAACCCATGCAGTCTTCCCAGTCGGCGAGACAGAGGAAGCGCCAATGATGCTGGCATGATGAATGTCCAGAAATGTGCCGACATCCTGGCCCACGAAGAACAACTTCTCCACATGCAGGACATTTCTTTCCACCATCAGCTTCAGCAGCTTCAACGGCGGCCTTGAGACCTTCGTCGTCTGGACAAGGACCTTCGTGAGCGCTGTTCTTGCAAGACAAGCAAGTAACAGTGCCACAAGTACACTGGCCGCTTGCAGAAGTATGAACTTCAGGCAGTCGGTGTTGGAGCAGTACAGACGCTGGTCGACAGGGATTCCCCACTCAAGCATTCTGGTACTTACAGTGGCGTAGAGCTCGGGAGGGACGATTGGCTCGAAGGTCTGCATGGGAATGTTGGTTGCGCAGAAGGGACATTGAGGTTGGAGATCACCTTCCTGCAAGTTTCTTAAAGCGTCAGCGTGACAGATTTGGCAATAACCACTGTGTGTACAAGGCAAAGTGAAGAGTGGCTTCTCATCGAGGCAGACCGGACATTCGCCCGTGTTGAACGTAGGGTTGGAGTTGAGGATACTCATGTTACTGACTTTGGTGTTTCGTTTGTGGTTGTGGATGTGGTGATTTGGTAATTCTGAACTGCTAGCAAGGTGACCCTGCTCCGCTTTAAGTAAACTGCATCAGTAGGGGCGGTATAATGTGATTGTTCGGACGTACAAAGAGGAGGTCTTTGTCTCGTTGTGATGCATAAAAGCTGGACGGCAGTGATGAATGAGTGTCTCGTTGGTGAATAAAGAAACGGAAGCAAGGGCACAATGGATCAAAGATCACGACAAAATATAGACATTGAATTAGGTGGGAGAGAGGCTCGGATTGTAGACGATCTGAAGAGATCTGATGGTTGCTCTGTGACTTTCGACTCCTGAATGACTAGCCGATGGCAGTTTCAAACTGCAGTGACCCGTTTCGCGATGAAATTGTGACCTCCAATTCGTGCTTAACTGCGCTTACGGTCCCGGCTAGGCAAGACGCCGGAGGCGACCATCCAGGGAGCAGGGCGGTTGTTCTTGTGGAAGATTTGCAGGCCACCCTCGTCGTCGTTGTCGCTGGTGTTGTCGTGGTGAGAGACCTGACGAGTGGCCTCGCGAAGCAGAGCTTCTTCCTTGATGCGCTTCTCCTCGCGCTCTCTGGCTTCGCGGCGGCTTCTGTTGTAGCGAGCCTCTTCGTCGGCGGCCATGACGCGCAGCTCGTGGGCGAGGCGGCGCTCGTTGCGGGCGTGGCGGGCGGCGCTGTAAGCGTGTCAGTAGACAAAGAAGACAACGGGAAGGAGCAGATCTTACACAATCATGAAGAAGATCACGATGTAGAAGGGGAGAAGGAACAGGAACATGATGAAAGCTTCGAGGGTGAGAAGAGCGTTGAAGTCCATGTATGTTGATAGAAGAGTCATTGTTTCGAGTCGACTGTGCGTGGAAGAGAGGAAATCGTTGTTGTTGGACGTTGTGAAGAAGAGAAGGTTATGGTGTGAAGAACGACGTGTTTTGATAGTGAAGCACGGAACATTCTAGGCTGAGCAAACGACGGTGGATGACGTCTCGACGGGTTGTTGTCAAACGATAGTTCTCCTTGCGGCCTAGCCTAGGTATAGTACCTGTAGAGATGCAGAAGGGAGAGCAAGCAGCAACTTGTGCAAAGGGGAGAGTGTGCCTTCTAACCCCTTGAGTGAACATTCCGGAGTACGATAAAGCACTAAGCCTTTTGATAAACACCCAAAACCATGCAACTTGCCTCGGAGATCGTGAAGAGTCACGGCTCGATAGCTCATTGCCGATTTGCTTCCATGATCTCCTTGTGACTATTCCTCAGCATGTAGTCTGGAGGAATGCAGAAGAAACTCCAAAGGAGAAGCTTGTCCAGAGAGAGCGTATGCCTCATGACTGTTTCAGTGGGCATACGAACAGTCTGATAGAATATCATGCATCTTGATGAGTGACTGAACCCATGCAATCTGCACAGGAGGTCCCCGGTGAGCTAGACCTCGACGTGGCATTGTCGACTTGACCTCAATATCTCCTTCTGGCTAGCCCTGATCAAAGCACTATTGAAATGCAAAAAAGACATCCAAACGAGAAGCTTGTCCAGAGAGACTATGTGGTTCCAGCCTCTTTCAGTGGACATGCAAAGGATATGGTAGATTATTATGCCTTTCGATACTCATCCGCAAACTTGCTGGCCGCATGGGAGATCCCCGAAGTGTTACATCTTATAGGGATAGTCGACTCAATAATCTCCTTCCGGCCAAACCTCAGCCTAGCAGCTGTAGTAATGCAGAAAAGAACCTCGGAACAGATGAATGTCCAGAGAGAAAATGGGCCAGGAAACCCTTCAGTGGATACGAGATGGATTTCGAAGGCTATCATATGACTATCTATAGGTACTTGAAGCCATGCTATGGTCCTGGGAGTACTTGGCCGCAAACTCATGACGTATCATAGGATCCTTCGCTCTCTACGGACTTCAACACCCAATTTGTATGCGATCATTCAAGCATGCTTTTCCACGTCCAAATAATGGCGTCTCTAGCCAAGAACGCCCCGTTTGTTGATATCAAACTCTCGATGACCCCAGCCTCATACGCTTCAGAGCAATCACCACCCACTACTCCGCTAGAAATTACGTCTCACGCAAAAACGCCGATCGCAGTCTTTACATGGGGAAGTCCTAAGGCCTCGAGCCTGGACATGAGTATGTTATCAAGATCAACCATGAACTTCTCTAGCAATGCAAATGGACACCAGTGGGGAAGGAGAAATATCAATCGACGTTCCATGGAAAGGCTCAAAGGGGTTGCATGCACAAGACTACCGATGGGAAACGTCGCTGTTGAAGTCTTGTGAAAACGATTCCTTCTTGAGTGTACTGGAGTAGATACACAAACATTTGAGAAGCTGTATGCAAGGTCTTGTAAGTTAGGAGAAGTTATGTTGATACTTAAGGACTTCCATTGTCGGGGCTGTGCCGTGACTGTATTACTGGAGAATGGCAGTGTTGGAACACCTCAACTTTCTTTCGCCTTTCTGCGTTGCTCAAAGACTTCGCAAACTCCAAAATAGTCTCTTGGTTCTGTACTCCATTCTCTGTCGTCTCAAACGAACGTGCTGAGTTCGATAGTCTGTCTCTCCGCCCAAGTCCAATCTTGATGACGTTCCAAACTCATCTTCCAACGTCTATTCATCATCTCTTTGAAAGATCCAGACCTTTTGAAGCTATGGGAAGTTAGCATTATCCTTCTCTAACGCAAGCAACAGTCTGTACTCACATCACATACTATCGGAGGCAGTTACAGCATCCTTGATCAAAGCCCAATCAGGATGATGATGCTTCAGATGCTGCTCCACGTCGACCGAGTCGACGTACAACTTGCCACAATCGGGGTAGGGGCAGACAAAGTGGGAGTTGCCATGGTCGGGCAGTTTGGACTCAGCTGTCATGTCGTTGTACTGCTCGCCTTGCCATGGCTGAACAAGACCGCCCGCGGGGATGTTGGGGTCGTAGTTGCTGGTGTAATCTGGAGGGTTGTAGCTACCGGCGAAGTCTTGAGCGTTGTAGTTGTTGTCGAAGTCCTGGGGGTTGTAGATGCCGGCGAGATTCTGAACATTGTAGTCTTTGACCAAGTCCTGATGGTCGTAGGTACCGACGAAGCTCTGAGGATCGGAAGCAGGTTTGTTGTCAGGCAAGTTAGGGGTAAAGCCTGTGTTGTGCATTAATATTGAAGTTCTGGAAGAGTGTCCAACACGTTTGACAGGGCGCCTGTTACCAGCGTAGATTGGTTGATCGAAACCCATCATGGTATCGTGAGCGTTGATTGGGAGAGTAGGAGACTCTCGGGCGGCGTTGACGTGGTCGTCTTCGGAGGCGATGGTAGCGAAAGCTGGACAAGGCATTAATGTTGAAGTTCGTGAGAAGTGTCGAACACGTTTGGAAGGACGCCGAATACCATTGTAGACTGGCTCCTCGAAGCTCATGTTGGTGTCGTCAGAAGTGACTGGTGGGGGAAGAGACTCTTGAGTGGCGTTGACGTGGTCATGCTGGGTGACGGTGGGAGTGAGGCCTGAAGAGGGCATCAATGTCGAGGTTCTGAAGAAATGGCGAGCACGTTTGACGGCGTGTCGATTACCTATGTAGACGGGCTCGTTGTCGTTAATGTGAGCATCGCCGGACGGCGACTGAACGGGCAAGAGCTCGTCGGTGTTGGCGGCATCTCCAGATCCGAAGTTTGCAAAAGGAGACATGGCGCCGAAGATAGTATCAGGGGCATCTGAGAAGGTGACGCGTCGCTTGGGACGAGGGCGAGGATCGGCAGTGGGCTCCTCGATGCGAGTATCCTCGGGGACGGAGAGCGAGTTCTTAGCATGCTGTGGGCTAGGGAGTGCATCTTCGGCACTTTCAGAGATGAACAGCGACTCCTCGGCATTCCCACTGACGCGGCGTGACTCTCCAGATTCTCCAGGGATGAACAGCGAGTCTTCATCTTCAACAGGCTGAACCTCAGCGCCAGAAGCCACAGCAGGAGGCTCAACAAACTGAGTAGAGTGGAAGGCATTCAGAGCCTCGGCCACAGGGTGCTGAGGCGGGTGAGTGGGTCCCTGGTCATTCTCAATAGCAACCAGAAGCTCGCGATGGTCTCTGACGACTGCCCGACCCTCCCCCTCAAGAGCGGCCAGATTATCGTACAGACGTTTCTCGCGCTCGCGCAGGTCGGCCATTATCCTGTGAAACTCTTCGGATGGCATGGTATGACTGCACGCGGTGTGAGTTCGTGTAAGAGGAACGCAATGCAAGTGCCTACTCGATTGTGGTTGGTTCGTCCGAGAGTGTCAGTGAGGATACGAGACAGGTGAGAAGAAGAAAGGTTGAGAACCACGAGCCGCCGAAAGATGGAGCAGCGCGTCGAAGCGGAACTTGTTTTCACTTTCGTGTTGGAAGGTCTCTTTCTTGCAGCCCTTCCAGCACGACTCCGATGTGTTGCAGAAAGACTCCCGACAATCTGTCCCATGACGCGGAAAGAGTCAACATACCCCGAGTGTACATTTTCTCGGCCAAGGGTTCAAAGATACTATCACCTCGAGACATAATCTTCTTGTGTCGCTGTATCAATGTACAGTAATCTACTCTTCTTTGCCTGATGTTGTGGGAAGCCGAGAGTCTGAGACACATCATAACAAAACCACGCGGGTATTTGGATTTGACCTGTTCATGCTTTCCACATGAAGCAGAACCTGTCTTGGTGCTCCATGAAGAGCGTGAAGAATATGGTAATTGAGTTGCATAAAGGTCTGAGACATTTTTCCACGTTTGGCAAAGTACCCATGTCAGACACAGACCAACATTTTGCAGCTTGAGACAATGAAGGTATCAAAGACAATATCTTTGACAGCATGGAATACAGCGAATGTTGCATTCATGACAGTACATGAGGCCATGCCCACGTCCGAGCCTAGGCTATGCGTGCCGGACCGCTTTGCTGATCCAAAGGGACTCCTCTTCTGCTCCCTAAATGAGCCCTATGTCTTCTCTGACTTGACAGAAACTTCCTCCTCTTCCTCTATTGACGACTTGACTTTTGTCTTCGTGCTGTGGCACTGCTACCTTTCTCTCATCAAAGGCAATGGTTTGCAGACTTTCGATGAGCAACTCTCATGAGCCTGTGAGACATGCTGATGGAGACTCAAGCTTGGTGCTTCCTGCTTACAACAGTGGATATTCTCTTCCATTTTCTGCAAGATGTTAGTAATTACTCAATCAGATTATCGATCGATGAATCTTACGATAACCTCGCTTGTTCTGCCCGTACCCAAGGTGAGGGATCTGACTGTGATACCTCGTGTTCGTGATATGTTCGTCTCTGCTAACCTCACTACTGTAACCAATACCCTGATTATTGTCACAGCCGACCTTGAAGCACTGAGGTCTGCCGCGAGAGTTCCAATACACTTGGGCATCAGTGAGAGTGTAGAGTCTCTCAGCGGTCGTGGTGGTGACGGGTGATAGTTTGGGATAGACAGCAGTTCCTGATCTTGCTTCTCCTTTAGTGATGAGAGGGACGGCCAGGGTGGACTCCATGGGGGTTTGTGGTACGCTTGAGGGCTGGAAGACGTATGGTAGGATTGGTCTCTGCTGAGCAGCAGACTGAGTGCATGTCGTTGGCGAGGCTGGAATTGGGCGTTGGCGTGGCTGAGGTCGCGAGGGAGTAGTCTGGAAAGGTGCCAGTGGGTTAAAGGAAGACTGCTGAGTAGCTGTGTAGCTCCGGTTGACTGACGGTGCTGCGTCTCGAGTCCACGCGACGTTTCGCGTAGACCTGGATTATTTTGAGCCACAGGAGATTGACTTCGGCGGGCTCTTGTACCCATGAGCGATCTCAAGGATCGATAACTACGAGGCACATCACTGCGAGGCGGAGTATTATCTCGGCAGAAGAGCGGACTCTCATCACCGACAGGTCCACGCTGAGGCTGAGCTGCTTCAACAGTCTGCTCATACCGTCCATCTGAGAGCTCAAGAGACTCGGCGAGACTGTCATCGGGCGAGACTTGACCCTCGCCAAAGGCAGCGTTTTCTCTCAGGTCATAGCTCTGGGTGGCTACTTGATCAAGGAATGACGGCAAAGATGTGTACTGCGCATAATCACTCTCCGTGGCTGCAGAGGCTGAGTCGTTGCCGTGATCTGCAAATCCATCGTCAAAGTCGATGAGCGCGCTTGATCTGCCTTGGCCTCCTTCATTGGGAGGTCTCGCCTGACCGGAGCTTTGAAATGCTTCCTCCCCTGACTCTGCGCTGTATTGATCTTGCTGGTCTGACTCCGACTGTTGTCGCTGGAGTAGCAGAGGGCGTATAGACACATAACCTGGCGGCACGCCGCTGCGAGGGGGTGTGTCGTGGCGGCAAAACAAGGGGCTCTCATAGCCTTGATCCATGTTGTAGGAATTGGTGCTGTGCAGTAAAGTGGCAAGGATTTGGTAGTGGCGGAGAAGAAAGAAAGTTCGCGACTATGGTGTTGGGAAAGGAGCGAGAAAAACAATGAAACATCGCAGCGACGATTTTCAAGGAGTGTAGGTCGCTAAACCAACACGGAGATTCTTCTCCACTCTACAGCTGCACAGAAAACCAACCTGCATGCCGGAAGACAAAGTGGAGTAGCCATAGTTTATCTCGAATGCAGGGAGGGTGATTTGTCAAATTCTTCATTCTGTTTCGACCCCATAGATCAGCATTGCCCTCAGTGATTGAACACATTGAGGGATTGGAGGTGCTACTGTACTACCCTATCCTCTCAAGCTGTACTACTTGCTTCCAAACTCAAGCTCCCATCATCACAATCTCGTTCCTTCCTGCATTGGGATCGATTGACTTCCCTAGAGTCCCCATCTTGTGCATCTCCATCCTCGCAACGCTTCACTTTTTGACCTAAAGTACCGAGTGGAACTGTCCGTTCTCTGCAGATCATCAATATCTCTCCATTCAACTTATCATATCGCTCAAGAAAGACTGCGTGTGAACATCGCTTGCTTTTGCGGAGGATATTCAAGCGAATGAGGCATCGACCCTGGGGTGCAAAATAACCAGTCGAAATTCTGTGGTTCAGTCAAGCTTATTAAAACGCTCTTGTGGTATCAGACTGGGAACATAGGTGATGAGCAGATAATCAAGACTGTACAATATCGCAGCAAGCGAAAATTTACCCATAGTATCTGCAAAAATGCAAAACTTTTTGTACCTCCCAAACAATGCAGAAAGAGCTCTAATCCTTCTTGAGACCAACTTTTCCAATCCTTCTAAGTCCCCAAACACTGACAAGCAAACTCGCTACAATCAAAGCAACACAAAACCAGAATGCAGCTCTATATCCATGCATTAGTGCTGCTGGAGATGTTTTGTCCTCGTAAGAAGAGTTTGCAGTGACTTGTTGAGCGATAAGCAATGTCAAAGCCATACCAACAGATTTTCCAGTCTGAGAAATGGTGTTGAATACGCCGCCTGCAACTCCTTGCTCGCCAGGTGGAAACATGGATGTAATGAGCAGGTTGGCAACGGTGAACATGCCATCAGCACCGACGGGGTTGAAGAATTGGGCTACAAAGGCGCAACGGAAGTATGACCAGTCGGGGTTGATGATGGCCATCAAGAGCGAAGCGAGAGCGGAAACAATGCTCGTAAGCACGACGATCCAGTCTCCGCGGATGCGATGGACGAGCAGACCGACTCCAATGTTGGCAAGAGCTCCAGAGACGGGAGCAGGCAAGAAGCGAAGAGCAGTGCCCAGAGGTGTGTTGCCTTGAACGTCCTGGAAGAAAAAGTTGGCGTATTGCTCAAAGGCATTGAATGCAGCCCAGACACAAAAAACATTGAAGCAGATGCAAGAGAATCCTTTGTGTTGCCAAAGAGAGTTGGGAATGAGTGCAGGTCGCCCGAGGCGCTCTTGACGTCCGACCCAGAGAACAAAAGCGCCCGGGAGAACGAATGAGAGGACCAGCAGAGTGATGTTGACAGGCTTCTTCATCACTGTCAAGTCGCCGGTCAATGCACTGCAAGGTATGTTAGTAGAGGCGAGTTCTTTCGAAAATATGAAACTCACGAAATGACATAAGACAGCATGGCGAGGAAGCCGCTCGCAAGGATGAGACCGAGCCAATCGATGTCGTTCGCTAATCGAGACCAGATGCGTTGCTTGTGAGCAGCTGGAGTGGGAGGAAGTTGCCACGCAGCCAGAATGAACATGAAAAAGTTGATGATAGCAGCAACATGGAAGCCCCACTGCCAGCCAATAGTTCCAGTAAAGACACCACCCAGGACCATGCCGATACCAAAACCAAAAGGTTGAGCTCCACCCATCATAGCGAAAGTGATGTTTCTCTCCTTACCGGGAGGAAAGACCTCATTGATGAGACTGACGGCGGATGGTAAGCAGAAGGAAGCTGCGATGCCTGAAAAAGAGCGAAAAGCGATGATTTCTGCCGTGTTCCTGGATAGACCGCAAGCCAATGTCATGAAACATTGAAGGAAACAGCCTGACAAGAACATTCGTCTGCTTCCGATAACATCCGAGACCGAGCCACACGCGAGGAGAGTACATCCACAAGCCAAAGAGTATACCGTGACCGGCCTGCGGTACGTCAGCAACTTCAATTACTTGTCTCCTGGAAAGAGTGTCGTGCCAAGCTTACCATAAAACCAGGTTGTCGGGGATATGAAGATCTTGGGCCATGATAGGAATAGCGATAGTAATGACACCAGCAAGAAAAGACGCGATACCAGTACTGAAAGCAATGCAACCCATGACAATCGCATTTTTCCCCTTTTGCGAATTCAATTTGAGATCATCCTGATGGAACTCCAGGCTCCTGACGCGTGTGGCTTGTCGCTGGTCACCCATTGTACTCAGCTCGACAGTCGGATCACCCCAGATGCCGCCGCCAGATGCAATGGCCGCAGCCTGCATCGGGGTGGGCTCGGTCAATGTGAGCGTCGTGGTTCTTGATGTGTCGTCCTTCATGATACAATCGAACGCGATAATTGACAGAGAAACGAACGCGGCGAGACTCTGCAAAAGAACAAAGAAAGTTATTCGAACAAGAACAAACTAGCCCTCAACCAGGAAGTCCATCCGGACGACCCCGGCTCGATTTTCCCCGCTTCCGTCGCCGATCGCGGAGCTAACGGAACGGATCCGCTTGCAGTGGGTGACACCCTGGCTAGATCCTCCTGTCCGTCCCATATTTCGATGAACTCAATTCTACGTTTATTGCGTTATACGCCAGCCCTTCAAGTCCGGAAGGAGACTTCCGCCAGTATCGTCCGTATGGAATTACCAACTTCCGACACAGCGTGGCAGCAGACATCGTTACTGGTCAATTGCTTTCCAGATCTGGTAGAATTCTCCTGCTCCATACTCCGTTCCGCCCGTGTCCGTGAAACTCGTAGAAGATGACAGAGACTCGGTTTGATAGACAGATGTAATGCAGTACAGCGCTGCGTATACTGACCAGTGCGATATTCTAAATTTAGACAAGATGGCACGCCAACGAGTCAGGCAATTATATCGTCTTCGCTTGAACAGCAGATCTGCCAAAATAAAAACGACATCAACCAACCTCACGCTCGTTGTCTTGCACTTTGCTCATGAGGTTTATATGATAGCAGTACTATCGTAATAGAAGCGAGGAAAAGAGGTTTCTGTAAGAGAGTAGCTAAAGAGGAGCTATCTTGAAGTAGTGTAACACTGTAAGAGTGTATGCTCAATGGAAGTGGCTCAGAGGCACCTCCTTCTGCTTGTTGAACCAGGCATACATCTCGTTCACCTTCTTTTCCATGTCCTGGTTCTTTTCCTTGACCTCCTCAAGCTCGGTCTTGGTGTCTTCAAACTCCCACTTGAATTGGATGAGCTCCTCCTTGGTGTCTTTGAGCTCTTTTGTGGCCTCAAAGAGCTCCAACGTGGCCGCAGCGAACTCTTGTCTGGTAACATCGAGCTCCTTCTTGGCCTCAGCAAGCTCGTTGTGGGCGTCTTTGAGCACCATCTTGATACCAGCAAGCTTAAGCTTAGTGTCCTCACACTCCAACTTGATACCTATCACCTCATTCTTGGTGAAATCGTACTCCATCTTGACCTCATCAAGCTCTTCCTTGAGGTCCTTGACCTCCTTCTTGCACTTGAGACCTCTTATTCTGACTTTGTCAAGCTCATTGATCACAGCCATGAGATCTCTGTTGCCATCCTTGAGGTTAAGAAGCCTTTCTCCAAGCTTCTCCATCTCCTCCATAGCTTTGGCATTGAAGCTGTCAGAAGTATCCACGAAGCTCAAGACCATGCATGTGACATTCAACAACTCGTTGGCAACGTTTTGGATAAATTCCATGTTGTACTCCGCAGAGTCTGCGTCGGTAGAATTTTTGGGTCGGATGAGGTCGAGGTAGTTGTGGGTGATGCGCATGCGGAGGGCGTTGGCTTCGGCATCGGAGTCCATCTCGGAGTTGTTGGTGGTTGGCTCCGGGGTAGCAGCGTTCTTGCTTGCGGGCTTCTTCTTCTTTTTCTTCTTGTTCTTTTTGGCGGTGGTCTCTGTGATGGCTGGCTCCTTGGCAGCTGGCTCCTCAGTCAAAGCGATAAACTTGTTGACAACAGGCTCTTCGGGAGTGGTTTTCTTGACAGGAAGCTTTTCGACAGTAGGCTGTTCAAGGATAGGCTTTTCGCCGGCGGTGATCTCGCTGCCCTGAACGGCACGCTGAAAGGTGCATGAGTGAATGAAAAGACAAGCGAAAAGTTACACAAGACTTACAAGACAAGCAGGCGAGAGCCTGAGCTCACGAGTGTTTTTCTTGACTTCGTTGAAGTCTTTGCGCACTTTTTCGGGCTCTTGGTCGTGGTCTAGCTGTTCGAACTCCATGTCGAGCATCAGGCCTTGCAGGCGCTTGATCTCTCTGAGATATGCGGTGGGGTTCTGAGAAAGGTCAATTGAGGCGGTAACAGTGTGTATATCAAGACTTACGTCGACGGGAAGGTTGAGCACGGCGTTGCGGTACTGCTCCTTGAGATCAGGGGACTGATCACCGTCCATGTTCGCTGAGGAAACGAAGATTGAGAGCGCAGCGAGGGTTTGCGCAAGCAACCAAGGTCACCGCGAAAGAAGAGCGCGAGCGAATGGTTATTGACGCGTCGTTCGCTTGACAACGAACTTGCTTGCTCTTCGATGCGCGCGCATTTCAATCTTTCGTCTCAGCCAAGCAATATCAAGACTACCAGCATATGACGCGCAGTTTGCTTTTCCACCACCAAACAAAAGCATCATGGTCATGGAACAGTACCCTCAGGACGATCTAGATCAGGGCTACAGCATTGATCAGAACAAAATGCTCTCCGCCAAAGTCTCGCCGGGGAACTTGGAGCAAGCCGACACTTCTGTCGATTCTGGTCAGCCTCAAACTGCTGCTCCTTTCCAACAGTTCCATCCATCTATTTTGCTCTCTCAACTCCGTGAAAGCGAGCCTCAAGACAGCCCAGGTCACACTCGCGGCGTTGATCAGGTCAACATCGCTCCTGCTGATCCGTCTCCCGAGCAAAGACTCCGTAGTGAGCATTGATTCTGATTCTCCTAGACTCTCAAAGGCAATGAGCAAACCCCCTTCTCCGCAGACGGAAGTCAAATCTCTCTCCAACAAGACGCTCTCTCTCCGACCACAGCTTTTCCTCAAGACGGCTCTGTGCTGCTTGGAATTCCCAACAGACCCGTAAGCTTCCTTGCACCCCTGGTTGCAAGGCCCAGCCTCGCCGATACGGACCTGGCACTGGCCAAGTAAGTGCAACTCAGCCTCTCTCCCCTTCCTGAATCTCTTCTGATAGTGAATAGATCGGGACTTTTGTCAACATGACCCCATCTCGGATCTACAGATACCCACGCAGTCCAGCATGACTGAGCTGCAGAGCTCCCCTAGCCGTGTCCTCCCGATCGGCGAGCTCATCATCTCAAACGCTAAACGCACCTACACTATCTGGATCCACAAGCAACCCAAACCTGACATAATCTCAATTCAAATCACCATGACCAACGTCAATACCACGACCAGCTTCACGAGCTACAGTGGTGTTTCTCGTTGCTCTCCTTCGGAGATTCCCCAGGACTTCAGTAGCTTGCTCCGTGCTCAGGGCATCGAGTTGATGAGTTTGAATGTCGTGGAGGGGAGTTTTGTGGCTGCGGTTGATACGAATAAGGGACGGGAGGTGTTGAGGAAAGGGGCTCTGCATGTTGTTAGATGAAAGCAATTCGATAGATATGAGGTGGGAAGGTCATTCAAAGAGAATGGACACCTCGTTAGAGATTGGGGTTCAGCGTCCACGTCAACACCGAACCCAAGTAGCGCTAGGAAGAGGAAGCTACCCACACAAGCTCCAATGATTATTTTGCGGCGTAAGACATGATCGGTTCGTAGCCTGGCATCAAACATATGTACCCGAGTCTGAGTCTGCACTTGCTGTAGAAGTCTTTTCAAACATCACAATCCCGTCGCGCACAAGGGCAGATTCAGAAGGTCAAGATTGAGAATATGCACAATTGCCACTCGGTGTTGCGGGCCTATCGACCATTCAGGACAGTAATATGAACAAGAAATGTTTTGCACCGTTTGCTGCCACGTAATCAACCATGAACGCGAGCTTTTCTCGTGGTTGCAAGGCGCTCGAGGCTAGTGGAGGTGCTCAGCGATTGCTCTGTCTGAAGGAATGTCTCGAGCTCCCATATTTCGTTCCTAAATCTTGCCGACGCTGTCTCTTTCTATCGTCTCTTACCTGAGTTGGAGACCCAGCTGCAAGCTCAGGCAAAGTCGACGAGTAGCTTTATGAAGCTGAAAAGCGTAACTGCTGCTTTACCTGGCAAGGCCGTCCACGTTCGCTTCTTGTACAGCTGTGGCGATACATCTGGCCAAAACAGGGCGGAAGTGGGCCCTTACGGGGATGATGGCTGCTTTTGCACTGGCGCTCGAGTTGAGCACGACCAAGGATGTAACGGACGATGCTTTTGCAAAGGGCCATGAGCGTCTGGCGAGATCGGGCAGGCTTTGAGCTTGGTCTGGGTAGCAGGTATAAGAAATACCGGATACTCTGTTGATATCATGTTGTGGATATGCAGTAGGTGTCTGAACCAGATCGATGTGCCCTGTGTCAAGGATCGGTCTTGACCACAACAGTATCAATGGCGTTTCGCAACAATTCGGCTTCCTTCATTCGATCTTGCTCCAAGAACCACGACCACAAAGTATGCTTCAATGCTATCGTAGTGGCTGACTTGTTGCCCCAGCACGCCTGGCTCAGGTTGATAGCAGCTTTGAGGAGGGTTTCTGCCGTAGAGACACTACCAGAAGTTGTGACAAGGCCGCTCATAGCGTAGTGACATCTCGCTGATGCTTCTAGAGCATCAATCTCTTGTGCCATCCACTTGTCCTCACCATGCGTTCTTGCTTTGGCACATTTTGAGACGATCGATTGCAAGGGTTCCAGAGCTGCGTGATAATTGCCGATGGAGAAGAGGACTTTGGCTCGAGTGAACTGCCGATGCATATCGCCTAAGCCATTCAGGTAGTTCCCGTTCGGCTGTGACGAAGTAATAGGTGTCGACAGTATGTCTCGGTGAAGCTGAGAGACATATTGCCCCATTCTAAGTGAATGATTCGAAGAGCAGGTAATGTTCAGCCCATCCCAAGCATGTCCAGGGAAAATACCATCGAGTTGGTCGTAACCGCACTTCCAGCCTCGCTGCATGAGCTCTAGTGCTTGTGATGTAGGCAGCCTTTTCAAGCATGCAAACATCGTTGCCCACGGTTGATCACTCTCGTTCTTCTGAGAGGCTCGTATCTCAACCATGGCGCAGATTCTGTCTAACAATACATCGTACATTCGGTGCCAGCCTCTGGTCAAAAGCAGTACAGAGACATCACAGATGGTGTCTATCAACTTTGGATCTCGTTCTTCCAGTAACTGTTCGATGAGCCAAAGAGCATCCGAGACCAGAGCGAAGCCTTGAATGTGGTATCCTCGCTCAATCAGGTCGATCGCTGTAACGCAGCATTTGTAGAAGTTGTTGATTTTGGTAAAACTTGTGGCTGAGACATTACTGACGTACTCTCCCAGCTCGTTGTGGACAAATTGACCATTGTCGTAAGCTCCTCGGAAGTACTTGATGATGTTAAAGAAGAACTTGGCCTTGATGAAGAGCTCGCCGGGATAGGAAGGCGTGGCTGGCAGTGAACTGTTTTGTTCCATGTGTACAAGCTGCAAGAAGTAATACCGAGATGAGTCGTCCATGAGTTCTGCCCATCGTGCATAGGCTTCCATTGGCATCGGGCTTGAGCATGAGGATCCTTCGCTGGAGTCCGAAAGCTGGCCATCATACAGGATGGGATACGATCGGTTCATCTTGCGCATAGGACGATGAAAGATCTCGATATGCTTTGGCTGTGCAGATGCGCTCATCAACTCCTCTGATGATATCCTACCCGCCTTCTTTGCTCTCCGGAGTCGTCGCATAACCTCATTGTGCGAATAAGTCTTGCCGTCAATCAAAAACGTCAATCGATTGTTCGGGATGTGAGAAGCTTGTTGCTCATGTTGTTGCATCACGGCGGCAAGAAATTGGACATCGCTGAGTTTTGCATATCGTCCACGCACCGAGGCTCTAGATCCTGGTGCACAAGCATGGGTTTGCGACATGGTTTGATCCCGATATCCTGGTCGATAGAAATGTCGTTGTGGATGGCGGAAGCTTGGCTGCAGATCCCACGAGAGCGGCAGAATCTGCAGTCAGTCGTCTTTCGTGTACTGTACGTAGAAATGATTTTGTAGTGTTGCGAAGTGATGTATCCTTGCCCGGAGGATACCTGTGACGAGAAACGTGGGAGCCATGCGATTGTTATTTTGATCTCCCCCACTCAGCTCCTTACGTAAATCCTATCTGTAACCAGCGGCAAGAGCGGGTGACATGCAGCGACTTGATTCGAGGAATTATCCTGGCAAAATCGCCTAGACTTTCTGGGGTGCATGAGCTGAAAATGCTGGGGGCGGTCCAGACTCCGGATCTTTGCTGTACGGCGATCTCTCTGGACAAGAACACAAACTGAACATCACGCTGCATTGAGATAGCATCACAAAAAGATTGCACGTCATGGGGAGTGGTCAAGAACTTTTCATTAAGTTGAGCTTCTGCTCAAGGCCATCACCGGGCATGCTTCCTTGCACCCCTGACCACCCATCTCCCCTCCCCGATCAGTGGAACTTGGGGGCGGAGGGCATTTCATGAGCAGCCAACTCCTTGGGAGCCTTGCCCTTCTTGGCGGCCATCTCTTCGATGCCCCTATAACAAGAGATGTCAGTGGTGCATTGATGCAGAGAGATAGGAAGGGCGCACTTCTTCTCGAGAACGGCGGTGCCAGCGATGCTGGGTACAAAGATGACGGCGCCGGCAAGCATGCGGGCGGCAGCGGCGGCGGTCTTGGTGGCAGGCATGTTTGTGTGTTGTTTCTTCTTGGCTGATCAGTTTGAGGGACAGACATGCGCGTAAATTCAGTGCATGCATACAGGAGGAGCTTTGGAGAGGAATTGGTTGATGTGATGTTGATGTTGTGGTTGTGATGAGTCTCGGAAGTGATGTTATGGTTGGTCGCGTCTATCAAAAGGCAGAAAGAACAACACCAGATTGTGGAACCTTCTGGGAGAGCACGGAAAATTGGTTGTTGGTCGCGTGAAACTTGGCAGTGATATTCGTGTTGTTAGATTTCACTCTGCTTCGGCTCCAATACCATACTCATTTACAGTTCACTCCAGTGATGCTGGTTCGGTTGTACCACATCTCGATGCTCTGGATCTTAAGAATATTGTCATGCTTGGGTGGTCCACCACTCCAGCTACCACCATTCGCCCAGTTATTCCTGCGAGATGTAGTCAGTACAATGTCAAACCACCATCAGCAGCCATTGTACTTACCAAACCATGCTTCCAGGCACTTTCGGGACATTCTTGTTCAACTGCCCTACATATTTTCCGTCCACGTAGAACTTGGTCATGCCCTTCAACCAGTCGAATCTATACTCGTGGAAGCCAGCGCTCATGTTCTGAGGAGCTGCCGTGTCGAATGTCGATTCAACAGCTCTGGCGGAGGACTTCTGATTGGTGAGGAAGATCTGGTCTTGGAAAGCCGTGCGGATCTCGATATCTGTCTCTTGCTGGTCGGAATGGTAGAAGAAGAAGCCTTGCCTTTGTTAGCGTCACCTCAAAGCGAAGTTCAATAGCAAGAGCACATACCATTGCACGTCCCAGGCACACTGCTAACCTTCGCTACCGTACGAACGGAAGCATACAGAACATCATTATAAGCGGTCGTAATCTCAGCGCCTTGAATAGGCGACTTGGTCTGACCACCAGGAACTCTCAACTGCAACGGCCGACCTCTCTTCAGAATCACATTGTTGGGCCCGTAGAACTGATCGAAAGGATGTTCGTCGTCGTTGGGATCAGCAGTGATGCCGTAGTCGCTGATAGAAAGGCCTTGTGGAAAATTTGTCCATTTCGCAAAGTCGTATTTGACGTATTGATTGAAGCGGCCAACGCCTGGAAGAGTGATCATGCATGACTTTTTTGCTGTTGCTCGTTCTTCTAGCAGTTCGGTCTCGTTTTGATTTATTGCTGTGGTAGAAGATGCTAGGAAAGCCAGAATGACCAAAAGACCGAATAGTTTTGTCATGGTGAAGTGATTTGCATCAATCCGAGTGTAAAGTATGATGGGAGCTTCCCAGCGAGAGAAGGGGCTGTATATAGCAGAAAACAAGAAGCGAACGTTGGAAGCTTGAACGGCTTTCGCTAGATGAGAATCCTTAACGGTGCAAACCCGTTTCCTCTACTGTTCTGGCAAGCACCCATCTCGGTATACACATTATGGTCATGGTAAAGACATAGTCGGAGGGTGTTTTGGTGGTCTGAGATGAGCAAAGCTAATGAGGAATGCTGGAAGTCGGTATGTTTCGCTGCATGCCTAAGTTTTCATTTTCGCAAGCCGGCTTCGAGGCTCTTGCAACCCTGTCGAAAAGAGCCTTCCTCCTTCTTGCCGTTGCCTTTGAGATTCGTGTTCTCTCTGTAATGCCATCGACTTTTCAGCTCTGGATAAAGGATTGAGAATAAGATTCTGGGATCTCGACTGTAATGTCGATGCCGCTTGTCTCGCTAGAAAAACCTGGACAGCTAATCCGAGCCCAACACCTTAGCTTCGAGACAGATTGTGCTTTCAAATGGACAGCTGCCTTCGACCAAAGCAGACTGCCTTTGTTTGAAGAAAGATTCGAAAAACTCAGGATCGCTATGCTGGTTTGTAGTGACAAGTCACATTGGCAGTCCCTTACAGCGCCACGTCTAGAACTTCTCCGCAAACGGTGAGACAAGCGTGGGGTGCATCTCGATTCGGCAACAACCTGAGCACCATCATCGTCTCCTACGTCGCTGGTCATCGGCCGCCTGTCTTTGATGTGGCAGCCAAGATTCTTTGAGCACCTAGTCTTGCATGGGTATGCCGTGGTTGTAGTGTTGAGCTGGCGACCATGACTTGTTGTCTCCAGTCTCACGGGCGCGTCAAAGCGTGGCTTGAGCTGGCCTGCTGGCATCTGGAGTATGCACTCTTGCCTGGTATCCAGAGCCTTAAGCGCTCATCATGTCTTCTAACTCCTTCTCAGTCGGTCGCTCCTGTTCATTAACCTGCCCAAGCATTTTCTGAAATTGACTCATCTGGTCACCCGGCGTGTGCCAACCAGGAACCAGCCCAGACAATGTCTTCACACCTTTTCCGATAATCTCTTCAGGCTTAGCCCAAGGACCATGTATCGCACCAACCGCAGACCCAATCCCACCCAGCAAACCCCCCAGAGCCAGCGACGACACACCACCAACCAGCGTCCCTGTTAACGCGCCCAGTCCAGCTCCCACACCCGTACCCACGCCTCCTCCAGCAAGCAACCCTTGAAACGCACCAGACCGCAAGTATTTTGCGACTTTTCCGTATGATTGGGCTTCGACACTTTTACTCAAAGCTTCGTTAAGCAGTTTTTGTCGCTCTTCCGGGTCGCCTGCTTGTGCGGCTTTTTGGGTGAGTTCTTTGGCTTGTTTCTCCAGATCGAGGGCTCTGCTGGCGGCTTTTGAGGATTCTTGTTGGCAATCTTGTTCGCTTGGGGCGTCTTTTGTGTTGGACGCGTCGCTGCCAGCGGAAACCATGCTGATCTTCAATGACTTTGGGCTTGCTAAGTGAGCTATGCCGTGGGAATGGAGTGGCCAGGTTCCAGATAACAAAGAGGCTCAAGAAGCAGGTAGGACGGGACAGCTTGTCGTGCCAGTGACGTCTTGCGCGAAGCCTGTTTTGCATCCCTGCAGCTCCACCGCCCCGCATTCCCGACTTCCTGCATGGCGACGTCTTGACTTTCTTTCTCTTCCTCCATCTTGTCATCTTGTCATCCGCGTCGCAAGTCGCTCAGACTCATTTGTCTCTGTTTCGGAGGTGGGCAAGCCCGGTGGTCTTCGGCATTGCAGGACGCCGGTAGTCACGAAGTGGGAATGTGGGCGGCAGACGGATCATCAGTGTTATTCCGTCTCGAAGGGTCCGGGCGAGGGGGATATGCAAAATCCGAGGGCTCATACGGACAAGGTTGGTCGAGATAGAGTTCGTCGCATGGACACTCTTCCTATGCCAGACGTAGTTTGTCTATTCGCGGATATGCTTGTCGACATGAGAATGCCTGGCAACTCGATGCAGATCCCGCAGGCGAAAGAGGCTGTCTGAGTACGTTGTCCACCGCGAATCGAGAAGAAATCGTGATGTCGCTCTCGGAGTAGCAACCAAAAAACCGCATTGATTCGTACAGATGGTCGGCAAGCGGCAAACACTCCACCTCTGGACACTTTATGATGCTGGACTTTGGCGGTCTGCTCGATGTACGTCCTCAACAGGTTCATGGCCTCATGAAGGCTCTGCCATATGCCCACAAGTCAGGTCTACGCACGAAAAATGACCCCATCAACTGAATGTCTGCGTTTGATTCGAAGAGAACACCGAGCGATCCGAAAGCACCGAATCCATATCGGTGAGAAACAATCGAGCGACAAAGCATGTTGAGATAGCTAGCGTCCTGCTGCCCGTGATAGAAGGTGTTCGGATATACCGGATTGTGGTGTAGGCGAGCAAGACTCTGTTGTGTTTGGTAAGGTGAGATATACAGTCCCTAAGAAACCTGTCGCTTGGAGCCACAGAGACCGGTGAACAAATTCCGAGGAGAAGAAGACGTCAAAAACACTGGTAAGAAGGACACAAAGTGAAGCAGTAGTCATATTATTTCGCAAGTTAACAAGCAGTCAAAAAGTCAGGAACTGAATTGCAGCAATATGTGGTGAGTTCTCGCCTGATTCTTCGACCATTCGCTAAATCCTCCAACCAACCACTTCTCTTCCCAAGTCTCCTCCCTCCTTCAGAAGAGTGGGCGACAGCGCTGTGCTGAGACACCTTGGCAGCTCTCTTGGTGACAAAGCGACGGACAGAAGTCATGTCGACGACGGGGCCAGAGGTGAAGGAGAACTCTGGTGGGCAGAAAGAGATGGTAAGGTCTTTGTCGCTGAAACTGGCGTCGGTGAAGCAGAAGATAGCGTCGTTGAAGCAGAAGCACGGCTCAGTCATGGAGTGTGAGTGGACCAGATGGTTGTTTTCAGCATTCGAAGTCGAAAGGAAAGCATTGCCTGGTCCTCGGCCAAGCTCTACTTCCGCGTACTTCTACCAAGGACGTTGGCGATGAATGTCCCTCACGGTCAACGTGTTGTTCTTGAAAGCGCCGAGGACCGTCTTTCGCGAGCAATGGCTGTTGAAGCAGGAAATTTCAAATGACCGCTTTGTCTGCGTGAAGGTCAATTATGTCTCAGAAGGCTGACGAGGAGCCTTTCGACTGATATACTCCATCCGAGATTGTCTTTCCTTTTCAAACTGAGCCGGGAAATGCGTGATGCGCGGTCGGGCAGGCAGCCGCGGGGAAGAGGATATGTTCGTCTTTGCCAAAACAGCTTGAAGACTGTTGTCAAGCATGTACGAAGCAACGAGCTCCAAAGGTCGAGAAAGTTGAGTCGCACAGTCAGCCCAAACCTAGCTTCCTTGGCTAGAATCTTTGTTTTGTCAGTCTCGAAACCCATAACCCAAGGGATCATCCTTGCCTACCTTTTTGTGCACCTTGTCATCCTTGTCGGTGACATGCACAGTAGTCGCGCCACTGAGAGTGACAAGGAGCATGCTGAACATCTCCAAGGTCTGTCTGGCCCTGCTGGAAGATCCCATCGCGCAGCGCGCCAGAAAGTTGGTCAAACTACGTTATCTGGTGGGACCAAAATTGGTACCACGGTTTCCGCCGTGAATATACGGAGTAAGGGTGCTCAGCGTCGGCGCTATAGTCCATGGAAGCAACGGGTCAGGAAATCCTTTGTCTCGTCGTAGGCGAATGAACGCACGTTGTCAAATGCCTCAGCAAATGCACAAGCTTCGGCGAAGATGGAGTTGATATCGGAGTCCATCATGCGGTAAACTCAATGTGACCATCCTAGGCCGAAACAGCTTGAGCACGAGCGTTGGTATGGTCATGGCCGAAGTACTTGTGATGATCGACGGAGGCAAAGCTGACGGTAGTCAGAGCACTCTCAAACATGCCCTCGCTGCGTGAACATCACGCAGTCGTCGAAGCGACAGTAGAGGGCGAAGCAACCGGGAGCGTCGTCAGCAGCGTAGACACAACTCCCAATCAGTCCAACCAATTCGGTCTGAGGAAAAAGCAGTACGGGACACATATGTGAAGATGGCAAAAGCTTACTCCTTCCAGCCTTTGTAGACACTACCCTCCTAAAGTTATTCGATGCGGATCAAGCCGAAAAGCGTAACCGGTCTCGGCGACGTGGGAACCGGTGTCGGTGCTGAAGGCAGGGCCATCCTTGAGAAGAGGCTGACGGAAAGGCGACGAGAAGCCGAAGCCGATAGACTTGACAGGAGAAACGGACATGCTCTTGGTGGAAGGTCCATCAGGGGTCGAAGCGATGTTGAGAAGCTTCATAGCACTGCCCTCGAAGGGACGCAGAGTGATAGAAGAAGAACTGGCGTTGTCATTCCTCTTGAAGACTGAGAAGTCTGCTGTCAATGTTAGCCGATGACCAAGCCGTGATAGGAGTTGTGCAATAAAAGACGTGAAGGGAGGTCGTGGATGTGAAAGAATGTTGAAGGTGGCATAAAAATGAAACGAGAACGTCTTGCTCTTGTGCGCGATGAAGGTTCGATGCGAGCGAGCCGGTTATAAGCCACGAAACACGCGGTGTGCATCCATAAGAACAACTTCTGAGAGCCAGAGTAGCGGGCCAAAAGATTCGAGTCTGAGTGAGAAGGATGAAGCTTTCCAGGATAATGCTTTGTACAAGTCGGCATCTCACGAGCACAGCGTATGTGACCAAGACGAATTGTATCCTCAAGATCGAATCGCCGCTGCGCCCTGAAAGCAGTGCTTGGAGAAGGAAGAGTGCAAGTTAGGCAAGAGCGACGAACGAGATCATGAGACGATGTGCGGACATGAACGACTTGCAGAAAAGCGCCGCGTTGTCAGCTAGTAGGTGGGTGGATGAGAGAGAATAAAAAGATCTCTTGGAGATCAGTCTGCCGCTGAGCGCTGTGACAAGTGTATGAAAGAGCAAGAGTGCCGATGGGGGAGAAGCAAAGAACGAAAGCATGAAGAGATTTTGGGTGGTGAACAACACGCAGAAGCGCGCAGCGTTGTTCAACAGCAAGTGGGTGGACGAGGAAGAACAAAGAGATCTTTGGACAAGACACGTACCTTTGGTGCCATGGCGCGCACATCACCCTCCTCTGGGAGGGAGAGGTGGAGAGAGGTGCGGCCGGAGAGGCAGTAAAGTGGATTGCTCACAATGGAGATAGAGTCGACGTTTGGTGACCTGTGGTTGATGAGGAAGAAAGTCAAGAGAAAAAGCGGAAGAGCAAAGCTTGCGACTTTGAAGCTGGCATGGCACAAGTCACTTGATACCACTCTTACGCTACTTATGATACAATCACTTTTGCACCCACCAACTCACTCTACGTATGCTTGATAATAGCCCTCTGTCATATTGGATAGCATAGTGGCGCTTTGATTCTCGTTTCACTGGTAGTCGGCGACTTCCTCGACAGCGAGATCCTCGCGACACTTGGGCTTGTCGGTAGGCTCGAAGTCTGCGGAACTCATCATCAGGAGATTGCTAACGGAGTGCAGAAGAGTCAATCTTTCTCTTAGACATCATCATTCCTTCCAGGCTGCTTCTAATTGGTGTTTCTGTTCTGCATTGTGATTGTTGCTGTGAAGGAGGTGATGTGGACGAGAGATCAAGTACTTCGAGATTGTGAGAGAAAGGATTGTCTGATTCACGGCGAAATATTGGTGGTGTCTTTCTAGAATGTAAGTTGGACTTTGTTGGGAAAAACGAACATTGCATTCGCTGGTATCATAGCATATCACTGGAAGTCGTCGCATCATGAATTGAGTGTTACAGAAGTTGGTTTGAGTGCAGCGCTATGCGCAGTCGCCCAGCAATGAAGTTCCTCCTTTATACCCTCTCCTATCTTGATTTAATCTGCATTGATTCCTTGTCTTCTGTCGTATGATCCTCTCTCTCACGGCAATGACAGGTTAGTAAACTAGTAGCAGTCAGAGAGAATCTTTCCATGGAAGAACAGGTAGTCTCACGTCTCAAGCATCAGTCTTGTTGTCTCTCATCGTGTGGCATATCATGGTAGAACTTTCACTTCTTCTTGTTGAAGTAGGCGTTTGCCTGTTCGCCGTTGATAAACATGTTGCCCTTGCGGAAACGAGCCTTGGGTTTGGTGGTCTCGTCGGCGTTGTTGTCTTCAGGCATGGTGTCTGTGGTGGCTTGAGAGGAGCTGATGAATGTCAGGATGTGTACTCTTGTGGTCAAGTGTTGTCTCCTTACTTCTCGACAGGGGTTTGGTCGTTGCTCTTGCTGGTGATGATTTCCTCGTCCTTGACGCTGAGTAGAGGTTATTACTCTGATGGTGCTCGTGGGCGTAGAGACAGGGGCGCCTTGGTACGTACGTCTTGTCAGCGGTCTCGTTCTTGACCTCCTTGTTGGCCTTGGTATCTTGTGTGGTATTGTCTGCGTGGGATGCCATGGTGCTGCAGGGTAAAGATTCTATTGTGCGGTCGAGGTAGAGAACAAAAGGCTGTATGTTTAGTGAAGAGCGAGGAAGTCTGGAAGACGCGACTTTGATAGTCGACCACACGTCCAACCAATATTCCGTCCATCAACGACCACTACCAATCGCCTTGGCACCACTCGACCACCACCCACGATTGATATCAAAGGTGTCTCTCATCTCTCTGCTCTCTTCTCTCTGTTTCCTACCCCCAGCTGCCTCAAGACATCTATCCTCAAGCAAGATGTCTTCCGACCAGCTCACCCCCGAGCAGCTTCAACTGGCTCGCGAGCAGATTCAACTCATCCGCGACCAGCGTTCGCTCGGCATGCCCTTCCTCAACGAAGACCTGCCATTCCTGGCTGAGTTCAACAGCCATCCCTTTGTCAGCGTTGAAAGGGTCGTTGACATCCTCGAGGAAGAGTAAGTTCTTCGTTGCGCTTTTATCATAGACTATTGCTGATTGAACGCTTACAGAAACAGCGGCACCACCAGCGCCGCTGCTGAGGATATGCTCGCAGCTGAGCATGATATGGGTGCTTCCAATACTCTTGAGATCAGCTTTGAAGAGCCCGGCGCTGGATACGGTCCTTCGTGAGTGCTTTTTTGCTGGCATGCAGTTGGATGTTGCTGGATTCAAGGCTAATGAAAACAGTACCACCTCCACCGCTGCTGGTACCGAGACTGTCCCTGACATGGACATGTTCGATGCCCCTGAAGTCGGTGCCGATGACCCCTTTCCCAACCTTGCTACCGCGTAAGTTTTTTTGCTTATTCACATCCATCCATGACTGGACATGGGCTGACGAGAACAGTACCCACGCTAGCACCTCTTCTTCGGCCGCTACTCCCACCACCACCACCACCACCACTACCGCTCCTCCCGACGCCAATGCCTTCAAGAAGTCGTGCAAGATTTGCGCTAGCCGTAAGATCAAGTGCGAGATCATCGCCGGCAGCAACCCACGTCTTTGCAAGTATTGCCAGGAGAAGGGTCTCACCTGTGAGTTCGAGCTCAAGAAGTCTCGCCAGCAGGCACAGTCTTGAGTGCTTGGACAACAGTTGAAGGAGAAGGAAGAGGAAGATTGAAGATGGAGCATGCAAAGATACTCAACAAAGAGCCCCCTGAGATGAGTAGAACAAAAGCATACCACAGACTACACTCTTTATGAACAACCAGACCCATCAAACTCTCAAACCCAATTATACGTCTTCGCAAACGGCTCATTCCTATCCCACCTCTCCTCCCCGGTACCCCAAAACCCCCTTGTCGCTCTCTTCCAAAGCATAACCTGCCACAAGTCCTGTCTAGGCATTTTGATAGCATCCAATCCAAACCTCGTTACTTGGTCAAACCACATATCATCGCTATGGATGCGTTGGAACCATTCTTGTAGGATAGGGTATAATCGACGCGGTTGATCAAAGTCGGAAGCATTGATAGAGGGCATGATTGAGGATTGATCGTTCGCAAGTTGAACGAACCATTGATCCCAGTTTTCCTCGAAGAAGGCGCCGAAGGGCATGGCGATGTCTTGATCTGTCTGGTATCTAAGGCTGATGGGTGGGATACTGATATGCATAGCCCGCGGCAAACCCCCAAAGATATATTGTTCAAAACAGCAACCTTGTTCATTGCACCTCGTTCCGCGAATCCAAGGTTCGCGAGGCTGAACAAAAGGGGTAGGGTCTTCGAAGTAGGCGTTACAAAACGCGTGCACGAATTCGTGGAGGATAGTCGAGGCTAGCATGAGTGTGATGCGGAAGTGTGCTGAGTTCATGTCGATATGCTCGCGCTTGTGGGCGGGCACGCGGAACATACGCTGCACTTCTTGGAACCAGTTGATATTGTTTGCTTGGCCGGTAGAGTGGAGTCTGCTCATCTCGATCAGCCACCAGAGGTATCGGGTGCAGATTTCGACGACGCTGCATCGTGTATCTCTGGGAAGGAGTTAGCTCTTGAGTTTCAGAGAAGCGGAAGTAACACTCACGGTCTTGCCGCTTGTATAAACCAATTGTTCGAATTCCATTGAGGCCGAGTATGTCCATAAGCATCGTAGGTAGGACCCATATCTCTAAAGCTGAAGTACATGTAAAATTGCATATCCCAGATCTGCTGAAATGTGTCGCGTTGCTGTGCTTCGGTAAGCGTGGTTGGGATGTCCATAATCTTGCAAGTAAGTTTGGTGTCAAGGTCAACCACAGTCTGCATGGACGCTTCTCCCTGGCCGAGAGCGTAGAAATAGTTCAACGTCGCTGGGTCGTCCATGACAGCCGACGCAAGGTTCAAGGCTGGCTGTAGCAAAGCGAACATCTCATCAGAGATGCCATGCCACATTTGACGTCCAAAGACAGGATGCGTTCTCTGAGCAGGATCCCATGTTGGATTTCGATAAGCATTGCCATACAGTCTTCCCATCGGGCCATAAGTTATAGTATCAGTCGGGTGTATATTGTTGATAAAACCAGCCGCGTTCAAGATCTTCAACCCATACTTCTCAAGGATTGGGTGATAATCTGGTATCTCGCTGGGAGGTCCCATGGAGTACATCTTTGGCCAGTCGCCATCGAAGCGTCGACCCATGCCTGTGGGATCGTTGTCGTTGAGTTCACGAACCTCGAAATGGGTCTTGTCGTCGCTTAATCTGACGGTGTACTTGTCGCGCATATCGGACCAGTACTCCATAGTGATATTGCCATGTTCGTCCACTTTATGTGGTGGCTCTGGAGGAAAGGGGACATTATAGCCTCGCGGGCGGTCGGGCTCTTGCGTGGGGATGTCGCCATCGGGAGGATTGGGGTGTGACATGTTGTTAGCTGCAGAATGTACGTGTATGAGTTTTCCAAGCGGCGATCGTGAGATGCGGTCCTGCTCGTCAATAGTGAATTGGCCATTGAGAATGGACTCGACCGTATGCGGAGACGAGGAGACAAAGGAAGGAAAGGCCTCTTGATGCGACTTGAGGCTATGACTTTTTCGAATATGTACAAAGAAACTATCAGACGAACACTTTATTTTCCTTTGTGCTGGTCATCGTACGCTTTCGCGGTCAGCATGGAACATAATGATTGACAAATCGAACAATGGCCGCTTTGCTGCAACACCTAGCGAATCTCTGATCACGTCTTAAAGACTCTCGACAATCATATCAAGAAACCACGATGTATAAGCGGTCCATGCAAAGGCAGTCGTTCGTGGCTAGCATTGTATTATCATGATGCTCTTGTGCTGCTGTCCCTCATATTGACTAGCCTGACCTCGGAAGCAAGCGTGCTAAGTCGATCCAGTTCGAGAATAGTTTCGAGCGAAGATATGAAAGATATTTGAAACCATGTCGGTGAGAATTGTTGGTCGTTCAAACTCAAGTCTTTTGGTATAATCACTCCAGCAAGGCTTTTTCCATGGATGCGCGCGATGCAGCGTCTTTCGAGTGCGGTGTGTCGTTAGATTGGTTTCTCTTCGGAGAAAGAGAAAACGTCCCGTGCGGAATGATTGACGCTCGATTTTTTCAAGGCTTCTTGACAAAACCAGGGTTCTGTTCCAGAGTCTGACCGATGAAGCCACGAAGAGCAGCCCATCTGTTGGCAGAACCGCTGGCATCAGGGGCAGCCTGAGTAGGCACACTCATGCTTGCCAAATTCTTTCCGAATCTCTCCTTCTCACTCTCCTCCATCTTTTGCTTCCTCTTCATAGCACCGGGTCGTGATTTGAGCGTCTTCAACTTCATCTTTCCATCTGCAGGTTTTGCCTTTCTCACTCTGACCATCTTGCTGAGTTCGCCGAGTGCACCGTCCAGACCGTCTTCCTTGTTATCCTCGTCAATTCCTTCCCATTCGTCATCACTGTTCTCTTCCAGCTCTGGCAAAGCATCGGCAAGCGAGTCCAAAGCGGTGTTCAGCTTCTTGCCCGGACGGCGGCGTTTCAAAGGCTTCTTGTGTGACTTTTCGATGCGGGAGATGAGTGAATCGTGTTTCAGTGCTCGCTTCCCGGCTTTTGTGTTTGCTGATGAGGTTTTGACGTCGGGAGCTGTGGTTGCAGGGCGCGAGGCTGCGGCGACTTTGGCACGCATTGTTGTGCGTTTTTTGCCATTGGTGGGTGCCTGTGGCACGTCAGAAGCTGCTCACCGACATCGATACACGTCGCATACCATTCTGATAAGATTTGGTGTTTTATATAGCACTGGAGAGGCTTTTCAGGGGTCAAGGGGTGTATGTAGAAATGTGCTCTGAATGTGGAAGTCGCGACCGCAAAAGTCGTCGTCTCGGTCGCGACTTCTCAAAAATCTCCAACATTGATGGGCCTGGTCTGTGCTCGAGACCGCCTCGGCCCGCCAGCAACGACATGTCATGACAAGTCCATCAGTATCTGGAAGGCATTAAACATTTGATAAACAGATCGCTATAGTGAAATACCATTACTAGCACTTCCAAGCTGTTTTGTTCCAACTTCTCTGATAATGCCAGTTCCACAGAAAGTCCCTCGAGGACGTTTTCGGTGGATTCTGCATTCCTTGGAAGCTGTTAGCCCAGCCACCCTGGCTGTGATTTTGGGCACCTCGAACATAGTGGTCAAAGGCTCGTAAAGACTTAGACCTACAAGCATTTCTTCAAAAACACCCTCACGACTATGCTCCGTTGCAGGAAGTTCTCTCTTTTCACAAGTTTCCGTGAGTGATAACGTTTGCGTGGTCGTCTGGTCGACGTTCATAGCAATCTGTGGGAAGTGCTCAAGGAATCACGGCTGGACTCGACCAGTCCGTTTGCGGCATGACACTCTACGACAATCTAATACCCAATCGTTCTGTGAATGATACCCTTTCCAAAATGTCGGAGCTGTTGCGGTCGTACTTCAAACATTGTTTATACAGAACTCGAGCCACCATCACCCTGGTCATCCCAGACTGGACAAAGTCTCTCTTTAATTCAACTGCGCATATATACCATACCGAATTGTCCTTAGCGAGCAAAAGAAACCCTCGTCCGAAAGTCGAGTAGTCTGCATACCCGGGTTGGGGCTTTTGTCGACCACTGCCAAGCCATATGCTCGGCCACGCAAAACATTGATACTCTCGTTATTCGTTACTGCACTGCCTCCTAGCATCAATTCCAGTTGAGCGAGATCATTCTTCCTCTCGAGGCGTCCCCTGGAGGCACTGTTACAGGTCTTTGAGACTCTCGTTATCCAATCACCACTGCTAAACCATCACGTCACAACCAATACCATCAACATGTCCACCAACCGCTACCTCGACTACCAGAAGGAGCGCATGAGATTTATAAAGTTCAACCGCCTTGCTCATCCTCCTAAGCTCACCATCAACGACCTTCCGAACATCTTCCTCGCAAACATTCTCAGCCATGCGCTTCCAGACCACCGCGACGGTTTCATCCCCTGCATCATGAACACCGCCAAGATGTTCAAGAAAACCTCCACTGCTCGTCCTTGCCCTAGATACCTCACTGTCAACAAGAGGTTCTCTCGCATTGGAAAGCAAGTCTGGTTGCAGACTGACTTTAGTCACGTCTACATTAACTCCTGGGCCACGCTGCACAGGGGCTTGATCGCCTCGGCCAGCGAGATGTCTTTCGTCATTCTGAGCCTGGAAATCCGCCGTGGTGATCGTGCTCTCAACCAGAAGCTCGTCCCATCTGCTCTTGGTGCAAAGCTGCGTGAGCTTCTTCACGAGATGAAGAATTTGGAGGTGCTGATGGTCAGAGTCTGGCACGGGATCGGCAGCCTGGCTCCTGTCTCCGAGATCATCATGAACAATTTCTCTTCAGTTAGAGTCAAGCAGGCAGTCAACATTGCCAGTATTCTCTCGCTTGAGGGAGGAGTCGACCATGATAGAGGTTGCCCCGGCTTGCTGTCTAACTACTACATCAAGCACTTCATGTCGCACCTTCTCCGTGAGTGACCCTCGACTCGCAATGTGATGGATCTGGTTAACATACTTGATAGGCCTACCCCTAAGGGAGATCCCCAAGCCCACCACTGTATATCTCGATGAATCTGAGCCTCTGCTCAGGATCCCCATCTGGCGTGGTTGTGCTGCAACCCGCGAAAGCCACGAGGGCTCTTGGATGCCTCCCATCTTCGAGAAGCAGACCAAGGAGAAGCAGGAGGCTCGTACCACTGAAGAGGACGAGGCTTTGACTCAGCTGCTCAAGGAACGTATGAAGAACGTCCCATGGGTCAAGGATGCTGTTCGTGCTCGTAAGAGACAGCAGAAGGCTCAGAAGAAGAAGAGTGCAGACGAAGAGAAGGGCGAGGAGAAGAAGGAAGTCATGGGCGACGAGAAGGCCGAGGAGGTTTGAAAGAGTGTACATCCCAACAGCAATCTTGCTGTTTTTTTACTGCATCAAAATGCAAAGTGTATTTATAGATTAGGTTCTGTCCACTGACAATGACACTCTTATTGGCTTCCTGTGGACACATCTCCTTATCCAACAAGTTTCTGTATCGTGATAGATCATCAACAAGCCTGCAACAAGTACGTAATTGAGTCTTCAAAAAGTATCTCGAACAAATGTTAACAAAGAAAAGCTCAGCTATTTTCGATGTAACAGTCTTTGCTCGACGTCCGGATTCGGGAGGCTTTGTTCGTAAGAGACCAACAGAGTTGGCTGTGTCCGACACCCACGCAACTTTGCAGAGATACCAGCTGACAAACTGAAAGAGACTGAAAAGAGCTCAGAAAGTGCAGAATGAACGGCCCTGAGGATGCAGAAATGCCCGACGCTGGCGACAATTCTGACAACTCAAGCATCATCAGCGTCACTACTCCTCCGTCCGATATCCTACGCACCTACACCGCCATTGATCCTCCACGACTACCTCATTTCACCATCATCAACGGACAATCGCATGCAACAGACTGGCACCAGCACTCCTGGCGCTACACCGCACGCAGAGACCCCAACGGCATAGGCTTCGAAGTCCGCCAACTCGACATCGATGCATTCGACGGCTACGAAGTACCCGAGTGGAACAACATGTTCTACTGGCCTCCTCAATACAACCTTGGTCCTCCAACAGACGACGCGGATTGGCATGGTATAATCGCCAAATGGGGTTTTCCTGTACTGGAGAAAGCTGGTTTTCTCAACTATTATCCTGCTGATGGGGATGACTATGCAGAACCTATTGGAAGAATGGCGAGAGTGAGGAACCCAGGTGCAGATGACGATAAACGTATTCATCCTGTGTTTCGACGGGATATGTGGTGTGGTATCGATGAGGAGGAATATCAGCTGCTGGAGCCGGCTTTACTTCTGGCAAGTGCATTGCTGGATGACCCAGGCACGTTGGCGTTCTTTTACGCCATTTCGGATTTGAAATCGATGACTGAGTTCGAAGATGAAGTACATGGAAAGTGTAGAGTTGCGACTGTGCCTGCGGTCTTGAGTAACGCACAGGAAACGGAAGTCTACCGAAAGATACTTGCCATGCGAGATTGGTTGGAATGGAAGTTTGCGCCTCTGCCCGAGATGGTGAAAATCAATGCTATGGCGTTAACTGATTGGCGGGACGACAAACACGGCAACAGACTTGAGGCATCGAACGAGTAAGTATGGCCATCAATGACACCTTAATGGGCGCTGACAGTATGTAGGTATTGTTATCAGTCCACAATCTACATCTGTCGGACCTTCCTAGACATACTGCGAAGTCACGACGATGACTTCTCGAACGAGACCAACAATCACAAAGAGGCACTCGAAGCCTATCTAGACAACGCTCACGTCCCTCAAACCCGCCGACCAAAGCAGATCGATACTGTATCCGCTTATGAGCGTACGACTTTCCAGTTGGCTGACACAATCGTGCACGAGTTTTGCCACGCCTTCAATGGAGCCTACCTTCCAGATCGAGATGACGGTTCTCCTGTTGAACCATGGATCCAAGGAAACAGAAGTAACGAGCTTGGTCACGCTCTGATTGTTCACCTGCTTGGGGGCGATCCTTCTGCAGTGCTCAGATACAGTGATTCGAGAACTGAAGAGCTTGAACAGGGTTGTTCTATACCATTTGGTTTCTGGTTCTCCAAGCAATGGGATCTTTGGAGAGATAGAGCAGATGTAGAGAAAACTACGACAGCCGACAAGGATGAGGCTTTCAATACTGCTCAGGTGTTTTATCCTGTACCTCAGAAGTATATTCACAATATGAGTACCAAAGAGACTTGGATGCATCAGGTGCCTAGATATGGACTGAGAGCATTGAGATTACCAAGACTAGAAGAATGGGCAATTACGCAGAGGAGAAGTGCATGATACATGAAAAAGACATACTTAGGTATTCCCAAGTCATCATCACATTGCTGATATAGCTATCAAAATGCAAGAAAGATTCTTGTATCTAGTTGTGTCCCCAGAAACATGCAAACTCTCGAGTATCAAGGAGATGTTCATTCTCTCAATCTGAAATCACCTATGTGGTATAGCTATGAAAATGCAGACAACTTTGTTGGTTCTAGTTGTGTCCATTGAAGGGTTCGAGTTTGGTTATTTGACAAACCATAGTCACTTCCAGAAACACCACCCAAAGCAGCTTCTCGCGTCACCACAACAAATCGTGCTTGTTTTCGTCCACCCCACCACCTCTCGCGCAGACAGACGACAGTACCTCCCCCTCCTTCTCATCAACAACCTCTCTCCCTCGCCAACAATGGCCTCCTACCACCCCAATGTTGGCGCCCTTCGTCTTCCCGCCCCCGCCGCTCCTGCCATCCAGACCATCGACCTGGATCTGCTGCCTTCGGATGGCGTCGATGCATTCTGCCACCACAACGACCCTGATTTCGCGGTCGTCGACCCTGACACCGTCGCTGAAGACTTCCGCGCCGCCATCAGTCGCCAGGCTGATCTTCAAGCCCTCTTCGGTATGTCGTTGACCAGTCTACGCGTATGAGATTTACGACTAACAACTGATATAGGAGGCATCCCTTTCAAGACCCGTGGGCTCCCTCTCGGCTACCAGGCTGAGCATCGTCTCTACGATGGACGCAGAGAGACGAGGATCTACGGCCATCCCAGTGGTGGCTACTTTAAGGCCTGGTCCCGCTGGGGTGAGCACCTCACCTCCCTGCTGAAGGAAGACCTGGTGCACTGCGACTGTCAGCTGTGTCGTGGTTGGCGCCAAAGAGCACCTCCCAACGCCGCCATCAACGTTGGCCTGCCTTTGGTTGCTGGTGGCGCCGTTGCTGCAGCCTTGGTAGCAACTGTTGCTCGTAAGGAGCAGAGGGCTAGGGAGGAAGAGGCTACTCAGCAGAGTACGCAGCTTCTTGTTCAAGCTGCTGATGTGGAAGATCTGCCTGAATGGCAGAAAGCCATCATCAATGAGGCTTTGGAGAGAATTGTTGGTGGTACTCGTCCTCGCCGTTAGACAACCCCTTCTTGATGCCCTGTCTTGTATTATAGTGTACCAATATTCATCTTTCTCTTCTTTCTGTGCCTATTGAACCTGATCCTTCACAATGCATGATCTTCTTGTGATCATGAGCGTGTCCAAAGAGAGCACGAATGCCATGTGGGTCTTGATATGTCTCTTTGGCTGAGGTTGATACTGCGATCATGTTTTACATTTCTATAAGCCTTGTATTGAAAGCCTTGCCAGCTGAGATCGTGCTTGTTCAGAAGGCAAGCGCCATGGCAACGATGATTACTTGCAACAGAATGGCTATTGCATGATATGGAAGTTACCTCTTAATATGTCGTGTCTGGTGACAATGGTGGTGATATGCGGTCGGAAAACATGCTGGACACGGTAACGCCAAGCCCCGGAGGTCAGCCAAAATGTTCACCTCTGTTCTGTTCTCACACATACACCTACACTCTAAACGCGCCAACCGACGATCATAACCAAGTAACGCGACTCCAGAGAAACTCGCCATTGATGACTGATTTGCTATCGTCATTGCAAGTTATTCTGCGCTTCTCACGTGTCGCTCGACCAAAGCACCCAAGCACACCTACAAACATGTGTTTGGGCGGATTTGCGCCTTGGTCGATGGCTCTCACCATGAACAGCCACGATCGAACTCTTTCCAATGGCGAAGGAAAGCATCAGCTACCTTCTAAGCGTACGCGTCTTACTGGCTTGGTCAATCTGCACAGCATAGCTAACATCTCGCAGCAGCACTCGTCAAGAACAACAGTCGTTTGTTAAACAAGACAACCAAGAAGGTGGCTTTCATGCCCACTCTCCAAGACATTCATGATAGCTTTTCTCGCAAGGAGGCCAGAGCCAGCCTGTCTTCCCTGTCAGACCGGGCCACCATGGGAACTGGTGATTTCGACTACGAGACTGCCAGCTCTTGTCTTGAGAACATCTCTCTTCTCGCCGAAGCTGGTAGCTCAAGGTGTGGTTCTTCCATCAACTATGTCTCGCCTGTTCGATCATTCAAGCAATCTAACGCTTCGCATGTGCGCAACGTCTCTAACACCGCTGTGTCTGGTGATGAGACCTCGACTTCTGCTGGAAAAAAGCCACACTCATGGGCTTCTCAAGCATCTGGATCTCGCACCGGCTCTGCGCTCTCTTACCAAGTCAGCTCCCTCGACCTTTCGACTACGACCCGAAACTCCTCTTTTCGTCACACATCTGCCGGCAACATCTTTATGACCCATGGCTCTGATCACGTCGACACACCTGCTCGCCCTTCGCAAGCGGATAGGGTCAGCGACAGCGAAGCCGTTGTTGAGCGTCTCGCTTGGCCTCTCAGTCACCGAAAGAGTTATGTTCAGTCGAACAGCCGTGCATCTCACCATCAGAGCCAGACTGCTGCAGACCTCCACAGGGGGTATGTCAACGAACCCATGCCTGCTGGTCCCAACACCCGCTCTACTGGTTGTAATGACGCCGACCCCCTTGTCCCTCGACCAGCAGACGCTTCAGCTCAGGCTATCGGACCTGATCGATGTGCTAAGCAGCACGAATGTTCCATTGGCGTGCTCAGCGCATTTGAAGAGAAGTTCCTGAGCTATGAGGACAAGCAAGCAATCCTTGAGGGCGGCTGCCATGGTCTTTGCGTTCTCCAAACCACCTTTCTCGACGATAATTCTTCCGCCAACAAACCATCAAGAGTCAGCAGCATCAAGCTATCACCTCCTGCCAGAGGTCCTTCTGATCGTCCTGCTCGTTTCATCTCTCCCATGCCTTCAAACACCATGCCGAACGGTCATCGTGGCGAAAGCTCTACTCTGCCCCGTTTCTCACACCGTCGGGTCGCTGCCGAGTACAAGAGACCTCGATCACCCCTTGCTCTCGTCGAGCACCCGTCTCGCAAGCCAGCTCGTCACTCAGGCATTTCACTTGCTCAGCTTTGCCCTCTGGAGCAGACTGATTGTCTATCACCTATTAACACAGTCTGGGACAGCAACGACGAGCCGATCTATCCATCTTCGCTTCCTCGCAACCAGGGGCTGTTCTATGCCTGGTACCGCCCCAAACAAAAGCTCAAGAGGCAGAGCAAGCACGATGATCTAAGACAAGAATGTGAAAGCCGAGATCAGCTCGCAAAGGAGGATGGCGAGGCTGTCCAAGTGAAGGAGAAGGGTTTTGTGATTCGCGAATTTTCCAGACGTCTGCGCGCTTTGTTCTGAAGACTTCAGTCATTCCAGGGTTGGTCAATGGCATGAAGACTATGAGATTATGGATCGGGAGTTGGGGAGACGGATCATGGGAGAAATGGCAGAGCTAGCCAATGAATTGACGGCCGCTGATAGAAGAGGGCCCAGACTGGAAAAGGCAGAAGATGAGGGGATTCACGAGTATCAGCGCAGAACTCAGTACACGTGAAGGATGGGAGCAGAAAGGGAATGTGTACTAGGAACTCAAGATAACGAAAACGCACAAACAAAATACTGTACCACCATCGCTCAGTCTCAAAAAGGCTGCTCTATTTGCAATGTCTCTACAAAAGAATAAAATTCGGGTGTGACTGGAAAGCTCCAAAAAGCACATGCCTCATTAGCTGACCCACGAAGCATATGCAAGTGTACGTTATAGCGAAAGCTCAACCTTCCCCCTGCAAGCCATCAGGACAACCACCACTGTCATCATCATCATGACCACGCTTTCTTCTTCCTCGCCCATCGAGCTCTGCAACCGCTCATGGAGCGTGTTGGCAACTCGCGACCGCATTGCGCCTGGCGCTTTGCCAATCCCGCTGCGCGAGCATCCCATCTGAGGACTTCTGGTCACCCATGAGGGCTCTGCTTATGAACGCAACTGCAGGGTCGCTGATGCGATGAGGTATGATGACAGCCTCATTCTGGCCAAAGCTATGCTGACAGTCGTGGTAGGGCACAACTCTCTCTCCCTCCTGTTCTCCTCGACAGGAAAGAAGATGAGCTTTCAGGAGCTCCATTGCCTGTCAAGCTTCGGTACCAGTGCCCGAGCTCTGCTGTAAAAGACTTGAATCTGATGATCTCTATAGCATCATCACTGTCACTGAAGCTCTGAACAGCTACAAGCATGAGAAGACTGGCGGCGCAATCCTCCCCCTGGCTATCGTCGTAGCCTGTATGGTCGAGCAACTTCGTGAGCCCGTCCTGACCGACCTGGTTTGATGCCTCTTACTGACACATTCAGCTTACAAGATCGAGCCTTCTGCGGCTTCGGGCAAGTCAACCGAGCACAAGCTTCGCCGCAAGAAGTGCTCTGCCAATCTCCGCTCAGGGAACGCTGTGTAGAGTATTCCATGAAGATTCCAAAGGCTTTGTTCCTTTGTTTTTTGTCCACTGAGAGCTTCGAGATATGCATCTTTGTCTCTTCTTATTGTTTCTTTCATGAGCTGCTCAGATTCTTTGATGATTGTTCTTCTTCCTTTGTTGATTTGAGCATTGCATTGTATGCTCATGAAGCTTCGCTGCCGTCTATCACCATATATAACCGCTGATTCGTGAGATTGGGAGAGTTGTTCCTGATCTGTAACCTTTATACTCATCCACAGAACTTTACTACACCTGCATACTCTAGGGGAGATGTGTTTCATGGAGGTACAAATCCCGAACTGCCTCTTTTGTGGTGCCGTTGGTGTACCTGACATCTGGGTGCTTGGCTGTCCCTTCGGCTTGACCAGGGAAGATTGCAACATGACTTTCCAGACTGTCGTTAATGTTACTAGGGATCATCCTACTTGTGTCTCGCTTGACCAGCTCTGCCGCGAGGTTCGCTTGGGTATTGCTCCTAGCGAGGCTGTTGACGACGCTCTTGGTTCCCCTTCCTATACTGTTCCAGTCCAGACACCAACAACTGAGCGCTCTTTGCCGGCTGGCTGGACCGCTACCGCTGTCAACACTGACATTCCTTCTGAAGCTCTGGTTTTGGCTACTCAGCACCGTGATGATATAGTCCGCATGATGGAGGATCTTGTTCCGACCATCCAGTCACTCAACGCCACTGTTGCACCTCTTGATGCTCGCCTCCGTGTCGTCATTGAGTGGTGTGAAGGTTACATGGCAGGTATGATCGTTCTCGCAAACACCTACATCGCCAACATCCAATGCGCCGAGTTCGAAATCGCCAACAACACTGCTTGGTCTGATCAAGCGCAGATGGACATTGCCATCATCGTCGATGGTATAATCAACCAGTTGAGTCCTTTTGAAGGTGCATTCATCTGGCACAGAAGATTGACTGACTTGTTTGTTCATTTGAGACGTATTGCTGGTGAGTTGTCTCCTCCGAGACCTGCTGGTGATGAGGTTACTCCTATCAGAAGAAGACGTGGTGCTGTGACTGGTTTGGATGATCTCGCTGATGACCACTCTGACTTCTTGCCCGCTCCTGAGTTCTACCTTCCTGAAGATGCTTTTCCTGATGATGGTGAGCCTATGGAACCGGCTTGGGATGAGTTTGACTCCTAATGTTTTCACACGTGTGTTTGGTCCTCATGGCGTTTGGAGTATAGTTCATCATATTGTCTCGTTGCCTAGCTAATGTAATGCATGTTCTGTTCAAGACTATTTTGTGTCTTTTGCTCTGGTGCCTACGTGATTCTATGTAATCTTTCTGCAATTTGATGAGGTAGAATGACTATGGAAATGGCATCCAAGAGCGATGTAGCCACGATCAGGTGTCCAAGTCATAGGGACTTTCTATTATATCTCCCCGTGCGGTGCTCAGGTTGTCTTATGCTGTCAGAATGCAACAATCTGTTTCATACACTATATCTTCCACAGAAAGGCTTCCGGTGAGAATTTTTCTCTTAAATTTTGCATATGTATACAGATTTATTTGCATCTGGATAGTGCCTTGACGGTCAATCGTTAGGATCTGAGATCTGAGCGGACTAACGCACGTGACAGGGGATACTCTCAAGGGCATCACCCTTATAGTCTCTCCTCTGGAGTATTGCCCATTTGATGAATAACCATAACGACTTTCGTACTTAATTTCTCGCACAATCTGCTAGCAGTATTGTTGAATTTTTGATTCCGTCGAGAACTGGTGGGCGCAAAGCTGACTGGAATGTGCAGACGCTAGCTTTCATCACTTTGGTGACCAGCTCATCAGTCTCCTGCAAACGCTCGCGAACATCAGAACATCAGTTCTTTGCGCATAATCCTTTTTGCTCTACAACAACCTGTTCAACCCACAATGTAAGTCTCTTGGGAGCGATGCAAATTGCTTTCCGCCCTATTTGCGCATTGCTACAGACCTGAACTTACACTCCTTCCCACTAACAGCATGTCCAATGAAATTGACAGACAGTCGCTCGAGTATCTGCTCGCCTACCCAGAGATGCCACCAGGTTTTCTGCTCCCTGAGCACGTCAAGCAAGAGGTGAAAGCTGAAACCACCGACGTGCCCATCAAGCGCGAGCCTGGCACCGAAGACCATGAAGAGCACCAGATCAAGACCGAAGAGCGCGATATCAAGCAAGAAATCAAGACCGAGGAACAAGAGATCAAGCAAGAAGAAGCAGTCTTCGAGCATCTCGTCATGACCTACCGCCTTTACGGCTCTACCCCTGACGAAGATGGCTATACCATCAGTTGTCGTCTTTGCGGTCACATCTGCAAGGATAGAAGGGAGTTGTGGGCTCATTGGCCTGTTCATGTGGGTGTTGACACTACAAAGTGCATTGTCTGCAATGTGCGCTGCTCCAATATGGAGATGGCCAAGCGGCATGTTACTCATGGCAGACATCTAAACAAGATGCGCAGACTGGGAATCGGTGGTGAGGAGCCCGCTAGAGGGTCTTGAAAAGTATGCACTGATCTGTCGTTGTTATCTCCCTGAGCTAATCGCAGCGGCAGATGGATCAAACATTGCTTCGAACTAACGGCGAGCATGGGTCGGGCAAGGGGAACATGGCGATGATCCCAACGAGAAGGAGTATATGGCAACGAGCATCACGAAATCATGATAGCAGTAGGGACACAGGAACATTGACTCATTGAAACTCCCTTCCAAATCCTCTGAGACATTGTGTACTTCGAAAGGTTGGGAAGGTGTCTGGTGGTGAGCAAATCGTAGGGCTTGGCACTGGCTAACATATGTCAACAATCACATCTGCACCGCACCACTTCTCTTCCACGACTTTCAACTGATCATTCAATACTCGCGATTGATATTATCACAAGTGCTGCAACATGGATGCTTACGCGTACCTATATGAACGCGCTTCTCGCCCCTACAACGAGTGCCCTACCCTCTCCTATCTCGCCGAAGGTTCGCACCATGTTGACCAAGATCGCGAACTCAGGTCACTGACAACTACATTGCAGGTTGTACTCTCCTCACGACCACCTACTCGTGGAACAGACGCCTGCGCGATGTCCTCGCTGAACACAAGTTCACCGGTTACGAGAACGCCAGACTCGCGGCTACCATCTCGTTCAAGAAGTGCGAGTACCTTCCATCCATCCACCAGGAGCTGCGTGACCATCTGATGAAACTCATGGTCTACATCATCACGACCAGGGGCTACGACATCACCTCCGAGGACAACGACGAGCACCAGTACACCAAGCTCTCTGCCAAAATGGATGTTCGCGAGCTCAACCTTGTTCTCAAGCCTGCCCTGCGCGGTGTCAAGACCTTCGATAACGATGAGATTGACGAGGAGTTGGCTGAAGTTACTCTCAATATCTGGGGTGTGTGGGGCTTCCAGAGAGTCCTTGAACACACTGCTAAACGCTATGTGTAAGTCTACATGTCACGCGTCAGTTGATCATGCTGACTTCCCGTATAGCCTCAGCTCCAACGGTGATGGCCATGCTTACTGGGATTTGATCGCTCCTGAAGGCTTGACTGGTGAGCTGATGCTTCTTCGCGGTCAAATCTATCACCCTTGCAGCTCTTCTACCTCTGCATAGAGTAGTCACGGTACTTCCACAGTCTGAATCTTGGTTCGCATCTTGTTGGTTGGCATTGAAATTTGTGGAGGGCACGCTTTCTTTTCACATCCGCATACCGTTTCAGTCTTTCTGTATCCAGTCTATTCTGGTTCAAAACGCAGCTGTTCCTGATATGAGGTCGAGGAGAGCAAGCACGAGACATGATCAAAATGAATTGCACTCGGTTCTTCTCTTTGTCAAGTACTTGTCTACTTCATATCGTAATTTGTGTTTCGTTGACTCGAATACTGTTTTCGAGCTTGAGAGTCTTCATTGAGGCGTCTGATCGCTTGCTCGTCGAGCACAAAGCTGGCATAGACGCTCCCACCGCCCGAGCTTCCACCGCCCAAGCTCCCACCAGTCAGAACTCTGTCCAGTGCCAATGGACAAACTGCAACAGCACCTTCAGCGGCGAAGATGCCAACAAGGATCTCTTCGTAAGTGTTGCGCGTGACAGACCCTCCTTTTACTATCTGTACTGACCCAGCCGATCTAGGAACATCTGACTGACCACTTCGGCCCTGGTCAGAAGGACATCGTTTGCGAATGGAATGGATGCACTGCCAAGCCGCAGCGTGATAATTTCTACATGCGCATCCACGTTCAGAAGCACGCTGGAGTTGAAGGAATGCTCGAGTGCCAGGGCGGCTGCGGTGAAAAGTTCAACACTGCTTCTACCAGATCCAAACATCACCGCACTTGCCCTCAGGCGCTGGCTCGCCGTGGGGACAATGGAAGATACGAGTGAGCTGGAGCCATTTTCATTGGCTTCTCGGGAGCACGACATGGTCAGCTCTCTGATCGAAGGTTGCATCGGCTTGAAAGGTCCTTGCATACGGTCGGACGGGGATGGAATGGTATCAAGCAGGTAGTGAATAGGGCGAGCAGAAGCTTAGTACATGCAAGATGGGAAGGCAGTCAAAGACTGTAGCAAGATGGGCATACACCAAGGGAAAAGTCGCATGTCAGTTCGGGTCACTTTGGTGTTTTCCAAGTAAGAGAGGGTAATGCCGTTCCATCGGGACAGTAAAATTGAAGTTCAGAAACCTGGATCTCATGGTTTACCCCTCTTTCCCACTCCATCTCCAGATACACTTTACCCAAATGCTCATGGCATCCTGCGCATAACCAAGTAAACCCCAATTGCTATAGTTGATGGTAGAAAGCAAGTTTGGGGTGAATCTTTCGTCGTCCGGACGATGTCCAGTGTGAAAGTATTGTCATTCTCTCAAGCCCTTCTCTACGCGCGACCGAACCACACCCCCCGTGCCCTGTCATCAACATCCTTGCGCCTCCACAACTCGATCGACACACAATTAGTCGCCATCATGGCTGTCGTCAGATGGGGCATCGACGACCCTGAAAACCCTCGCAACAGGGATAACCCGGAGCTCGCGAACCAGCTGGAGGAGGAGCGCATCAACTTCAAGGGCACCGCTATCAAAGGCGCTATTCGTACCAACCCTGATGGCATTATCATGAGATCCAGATCTGGAGAAGAGAAGTAGATTCTCACACTCTTGCAGATGCCCAAGGTACTGACATTGATACTGTAGCGTCGAGAACGAGCCCGAGCTCAGGGATCAAGCAGGCGCTGAGCGCTCCATCAGCGAGGCGAACGCGCATGTCAACACGTAAGTCCAGTTACCCCGTGCCTATATGCCTGTTGCTAATCATTTTGCCTCAGGATCGCAGAACAGGAAGACGAGCACGAACACGAGAACCACTCGGCCGTCGAAGATGACGTTGGTTCCCTTAGCCCCTACAGCTACGTATCCTACAGCTCCGTCTCAAGCACCGACGAGCGTGTTCTGCCTCCTGGCTGGCTGCGTGGTATCATGTCTGACGGCAGTCGTATCTGGTACACTGCTGCAAGATTCTCGGGACCCATCATCAATGAGACGCCAACACAGGTTCCTGATGACTATGTGTTCAACGAGCATACTCAACGCTGGGAGCCCTTCTATGAGCTGTAGATTGGATTCGAATGGGAAGAATTGTTCGTTGAGGAAGGTCAAGGATGATATGGTAGTACCCAAAGCTGGAATACCACTCAGCTCCATGAGTTCTGACCTCGTTTATTCAATTATATGTTATCTCCATGGACGCCAATTCAAACTTGACAAGCTATCAAAATACACGAATGGATTACAAATTCGTAAACTGCCAGAGAAGACTCTGAGATAGATACCCTCAATGGAAATCATCAGCAACCCATAGTATACTGCGTTTTGATAGACCACTTTGAGCATGATTGGTAAAATGAGATGGGACCCTCTCGAAGGGAATACAAAATTCTAGCTGGCAAGGGATTTCGATCAAAAGTGACTATGAAACATAATACTCAGACAAAAGCGGCGTGATACTGCTCGTTACGAAGGGTCAATCTGTCAAGAAGGTCTTTTCATCAAATTTGAGCCAAAATCTCAAGTGCACTCTACGGTAATGAACTGGCCTTATAGCACAGCACCCAGTAATCTTGTTGCTACTGACATCCAGAGCAGAAAAGCTGGGTCTCTGGAATTGGCCCATTATCATCTCATGCTGACACATGTTGGCTTGTCTGGTCGTTTGGTCAATGTTCAGGCTTGGCGTTGTCTAAGACCGTCCGCGTCAAGCGAACCACATCTCTTTGTCTTTTCTCAGCACCTGACACCCCACGCAACAACCATCAGAACCTCTCTCTGGCGGTTGAGCTGGTGCAGTGTACTTCGCTGAACAAGATGGCCCCCCGCAAGAAAAAAGCTACAAAGAAATGCAAACAGTCACGCGCTACAGAGAGAAGAAGCAGCAAGGTAAACACCAAAACCCCTGAGAACATCTCACATACAACCGACTAACACCGCCACTCAGCCTCTCGTCGAGCAAGCCATGTCAACCGACTCTTTGACCGCTTCAAGCACTCAAAAACCGGGTGAGTTCACCTTACGTGCGCGTCTGCTCCACAAGCTTGCTGACTCCGTCGATAGATCCAATCCAGGCATCCATGACGAACGCTGCTCTGTCCGGCACCGACCCCCCTACTACTGGTATGTCAATTTGACTGGACTGATCATTCAAGCCCACTAAGCTTTCTAACAGCCCCGGCAATCATTGAGTCATCTCAGAAGGGCGTTGCGCAAACTCAGTTTCCTCTCCTTTTGCTTCCTCTCGAGATTCGGGTGATGATCTACAAACATGTCTTTGACGACGATGCTATCGTGATCGGCCCTGTCAACAAGAAGACCTTCATACGCATCTATACAATCGACCAATCTCAACACCAGTATGATCTCGCTCTTCTCGGAACTTGTCGATCCCTCCGCGCCGAGGTCATGAAATACCTCAATCCCAGGTCCATCATCAGAAACATCTCTGCATCTACCGTGGTGAGCCATATGCATGGTGACCCGCGCAGCCTTAATCGCATGCTTCACGAAGTGGAACTCTTGCGCAAGGTAATCAAACTCTGGGTTAGGCTTGGTATGCAGCGATCTGGTCACTTCAAGCGCTTTGAGCCCGTGAGTCCGTCTGCGGACAAGGCTTTGAGCTTGACATTCGTTGACGAGCAGGAACCTGTCGGTACGTCTGGCATTGCTGACAGAGGTTGGCTTTGGCTGCTGGAAACATTTGTAGCCAGACCAGAAAGACGTGAGCAGTAAGACGCAGTGATGGGCAACAACAGCGGAGAAGTTTGGCAGATCTTGGGATTGCAATCGGGCACCTGGACAAGGACAAGTAGACATACATACAACAGTCTTTACCGAAATCAATTGTTTCTTGTCTTCCTCTCTCGCATATATCTCCTTTTGTCCCTGAACAAGACTCTCCGATCCTACTTTGTTGGCTATTCAGAATCGGAGACTTACTCGTATGCTTCTTCAGATAGATGGCCTCAGTCGATGGTGGTGAAGAGTCACGGTCTCTTGATCAGGAACGCGCCTCAATTCATCTCCAAGAGATCAGAGGGGACCAGAAAGCGCGAGGAGATACACACAAAATGTAGATGAAAAGAGGAGAAAAGCGAGACAGGTATATCTTGCAGTCGAAAAGAGGAAGATCCACATAGGCATTCGCCATGCCTACCGCGAATCCCCGCATCGAGATCCCGGCGCATCCTAGACCTTTCAACCAGACAATATCTACCTAAGGAGAGAACCATGATGAAGAAAGAGCATGGAAAGTGATACAAGCTGCAGATGGACGGAGAAGAAGGCTCGACAGATACACCCTGCAATGAGAGAGAGGTAAGAACCCATTGCAAGACACGCTGTCCTTGCCACTACCGGCGCTCCGTAGCCAAAAGACCTACTCGACGCGCCGAACGATCCCAGACCGACCTTCAAAATCTGACTGCACTACCCCATGTTCCGCAGCTACATCAAACAAGACAGAAAGTTTCCAAAGAGCTCTCGATCTAACGTGACATCGTCCACTTACATTACTGGTACACCTACATGTGCGACCTGCTCGACTCCCGTCACTGAATTGGTGCCGCCATCTTCCACCCCGATACCTGTCCCGAGCGGCGCGTGCAGGCTGTCCAGCAGTTGCGGATTGGGAGCGTTGACCGTTCAAGAAATCAACAACACATTGCTCGTGGCTGGAGCTTATGGAAGTAAAACTGGTGATGAAGGTCCTGCGCCTGATTACTATCTTACTGAAAACCTTACTCCTCTCAACGTCGGCACGACCACGAACATGAGCATTCCATCGCTTGTAGGCGACAACAGTGACGTTGAAATGCTTGACGATGGTTCGGGTGGCATCATCTATTACTACCCTGACGCTGTGGGTACATACGCAGGGTTTGACTTCAATCCTAACAACTTCACAATCGTTTGGACTGGCTATTTTGCGCCACAGGTGTCTGGCAGCTATCAATTCTGTATGAATTATGCGGACAATCGGCAAGCCTTCTACATCGGATCTGACAACGCATTCCCATGCGGAGACTCTGCTAACGCAGCTACACCTACCAACGCTACGGCATTCCAGGATTATTGGTTCGACAACCCGACTTTGTTCTTATCTGTCTGCCAGAACATGACCTTGACTGCGGGTTTCTACTACCCAATCCGGGCTGTCTACGGTAACAACGGCCTTCCAGCTTCATCTAACTTCACAGTCAGTGGACCAGGTCTCGGCACGAATGTCACGGACTTGAGTGGTCTCATTGCGCCGGCGACTTGCAGCTAGGATGCCCCCGAGATCCTCTAGCCGCATGCAAGCCTCCGATTTGATGCTTCTTCAAACAGATATTTCAACAGGAACGTTGATTTTCATCGTGCTAGAACTCAAGGATCTGGCTTGTCTAGTGGAAGAAAGCTGAAGTTGGTCCGGAGGATCGTGTCAACTTGGTAGTACTTACTTGCGAGGTCAAACCTCTCCCTTCATTTGAATCAATCTTTCATTTGTTCCCATATCCATGACCGCCCCGGGGACCCCCTGACTTGGCACTCTGCGTGACTTGCCCGCTCTGGCATCGGATGACGATCGCTCTGCAAGACTCTGTTAGAACAAAGTCCAATGACAGTCCAGCAAGAGTTACATATTCAATCGAAGTTATTGGAAATAGTGCGTGTATCCGATAAGGAATGCGGCTTTCCGATTGTGAACAGAAGTTATGATCATAGCAACGCGATGATCCAGGTCGCCGAGGTCTCTTACACGACATATCTGTTGCAGTACGGCAACTCTGGTCGATGCAACCAGAGACCTGCAGCATTTACCATCCTCAACAATCTGTTTGAATGTATTCAATCCCGTGTAGATCCGAGTAATGCTGGCCTATAATACGCAGAAGCTCGTCGACCGTTATCGCAAAGATTACGCCAATTGATTGCGGCGCCCACCGATGCTAGAAAGAGATGCCGGAAGTCAGAGGAGCCCATATTAGAGCCGCATTGTGCGATTGCCGAGGCATTTGAACGGTGACATCCAGGTACTCCACTTGAAGCGAAACATTAATTATCTGTATCACCCACGAACTGAATGCGCCCTTCCTCCTTTCCCCTGTATGTGATCTGCTTATAGCCATCTCGACGTGCTCTCCTGCGAAAGCAATAGTGTCATGCTGAACGCATAGTTTTAGCAATCTGGTCCTGAAAGTATGAAGCTAGGTAGCTCCGAGCTTATCTCTCTTTCGGATGTACCAAGATTCGGCCCTCGGCCGCTTCAAACCTTGGAGCCTAACCTATTCAATACACTCCTTCTACATATACTTTTCGTTCAATACATAGCTAGCTATACCGAAGATCGCAGATATCGACATTTTGAAATTGAGCCGTTTGTTCTCAATATCACCATAATGGCGTTTCTCCACTCCACACCGAGTTTTGCTAAACTCATGTCTGTCGGTCACTAGCAAAACGATATCTCTGCAGATTGCCAGAGATTGCCTTTACACTAAAGTGTCGCACAATCCACGATCGCTCTCAATGCTCAAGCTTCTGGCGGCAACTCGTCATTGTTCTGCCTGATCGTTCTGAACACAGAGCCTGACTATCCGGGGCTCCAAAAACAGCATGTCGTTCGTGTCCTGTTCGTATCCTCCTCGATGAAAGAACATGGAAGGGGAGGAAGGGAGCTGTGGTCGCAAGCAAAGCTTCAAACAGTCTCGGCTCAGCCTCGACTTTTGGCCACCTCCTCGAACTGCCTTGATCGCCCACGATGCTTTGTGCTTCTTGCTTGGTCACAAACAAAGTGCTTTGACTTTGTCTGCCGCTGCCGTTTTCCACTCTCGACTTCGGACTTGTACGGTGTACTCTTTGTCTAATCTTCAGACGTTCCCGGTCAAGTCTGCTTAGTAGAGCTTAATCAAGCACGATCGAAGCAGAAACTCGTTGGACCGAGGACACACCGCCATTAAGCACTACAGGCAACGTATGGAAAGCTATCTACATTGTATTTTCAACCACTTCTTCATCAAGTTGGTTCTGTGGTGTAGTTGGTTATCACTTCTGTCTAACACACAGGCGGTCCCCGGTTCGAACCCGGGCGGAATCATTGCTTTTGCTGACCTGGCAATTCTTTTGCATGTCTAGAAAGTGTGATGGTCGAGACCGAGGCGTTGCAAACTTTTGCACATTTTGCGGACGTGTGGGCGCAGAATTTGAGGCTTCGGTGAAGCTTGACGCTCGGAAGCGATCGCGCGAATGTTGTCTGCACGTCTGGACGACTCTGGTAACTCGTCACGAGTCGATGATCATTTGCGATGTTTTTGCGAGATGGCATGCATAGTTTTACGGTGATGATCTGAGAGCTTTGCCGTTCACGATGCACCGCAGCTCCTTTCCGTTGAGATCTGGTGTAAGCGTCTCTGGACGAGCAACAAAAACGTGGATGAACATCCCCAAGCAGCACGAGAGAAGGCGTCGACCTGAAACCACAGCGATTGGATCAGAGTGTGTCATCATCGACTTCCTGGACTTTAAAGTTTCTATGCATCGGGTTCTGAACATTCTGACAACTGTGCTCCTTGGTTATTCGAAGATGAAGTTGAGGTTTACGAACACCACAGCCATGCTTGCCGAGAACAATTTTCTGCCACTTGACACATTGATCGATGGTCTTAGGGATCTCATTCCTACTCAGATTGGGTCAATGAGGAGCTCATGTCTTTCCAACATCGAGTCGGAAATTCATGCCAGGGTGATGGTTACAGTGACGAAACTTGTCCATGAGAGTCCCATGATGCGCTCTTCCACCACACAGTTCCTTGAAAGATACGGCAGAATGACGAATCGAAGCTCTGGACCACTTGAGGAAAGTCATCGGGGCTCTGAGTCTTACCGTCGCATCGTCGCGTTTGTAGTCCTCAACAGCAGCAGCGATGGAAGAAATCTTTGGACCACGCACAGGTCTTTGACGATTCTGCAGCCGACAAACGAGCAGCTCGACTTTCAGACCAAGACAAGGCATGAGAGCAGAGGACAAACACGCCGCTATCAAGTGCAGTCCTCCATAGGTTTGTCCCTGGCCTCGTCAATCCAGAGGTGGGTAATGCTTGCTATATTGCCACCTATACGTCTTTGAAGTCTTTCTACACAATCAATCTATCGTTGTGCTCATCACTAGCAACTTTTCCTTTCTTTGAGATTATTGAAGTATGCCGAAATTTTCTGCGTCGAGTCTTCCTGCAACCATCTCAACGTCTCTCCGTTTTTACCGTCGTACATCGTGAAGCAAGGTCTGTACACCCCCTGGCGACAATATGGATGCTTGATGAATCCCCAGACCTCCTCCAGAAGGTCTTGTCATGGTGTGTACATCACACAGAGCTCTTGAGTCTGAGAGCTGCTGCAAGGAAGTCAGGGGCTGGCAAAGTGGCATTGTCCGTAAGGAGACACTTATCGAAAGCCATTTACTCATTGACCTGGTTCATGGCTTGTGGTGGGTGCTTGCCTTGATCAGCCAGGCAAGGTTAGGATTGCTAGCAGCCTTGCTAGTTGGACTGAGAGTCAAGGCACTATCGCGTGCAGCAGCAACATCGGCTGGGGAGGATTAGTGAATTTGGCAGCAAAGGCTCAATTTATAATGTGGTACACTGTTAAGATCACGCTCACTGGCCCCGTGTTCCAATCCTTGCGTTCTGCCAGAAGCTAGTGACCATATCTGCCCGCGATCGCATCTACTCCAAACGTCCATGAGAAACAACGTCGAACCAAGGCTTCTGCCAGGAATGGTCAAGACTTGTGCTGACTTGGCACAAGGCGCTTGTGCATCTCTATCATGGTTCAGACTCACCATCTGCCCAGAGTTTGTGCTTTGAAGGGTCTGCTCCGTTTCCAGCGATATAGTCGTCAAGGTACTCTGAGCCGAAGGATGTCATGCGCCCACAGGACCAGCGGACTCTTGCACCTTCAATTCTGATGCTTGTTTCGATTTCGGGCAGGCTCAAAAAAGTTTCTTGTTATTGTAATGACCAGCTGCCTTCTCCCACACCCACTTGTCCAGGTTCCTGGTACTCAACGGCTTCTAAGTCGGTGGTCTTTGTTTTGTTTCTGAACAGCTGCATCTGTCCAACAAAAGCTTCTGGCATCTGGATCAAAGATTTAGGAATTTTCAAGAAAAGGTTGGAAGCTCACACGTATACATCATTCCAGCGCAGGCTGATGTCAAAGACCCTCAACGAGATCTAGAACATCGTTGAGCACTTCGAGGTGGCCGGGCAAGATTGCGATCGGATTGTCTTCGGTGGGGATCCTCTCTGTGGCTTTCGAGTAGACAGATACTTTCTCTTGGGAAAACCGACTGTGAAGATGAGACGGGGCGCCAATTTCATCGGGAGCATTGTCGTTGAATGCAGAAGGCAGGCGACAGCCATGTGCTCTACCACAGCAGTGGCCGCGCTTCTGCGTTCCAGACGAGGCAATGACTGGTTGTCTTCTCTTCCAATACCCGTTCCTTTCTCTCTTCCTGCGCTCTATGAGATGTTGTGTTGTGACGTTTCGAGGGCATTCCAGTGGGGCGGTCGCTGGCTCCTCAATCGTTGAGCAGAAGGATGCGGCGTTAGGGGCAGACGACTCTTATTCTGCTTTAAGTGGCTTGGTGAGAGCTGTTAAGGTCATTAGCACGATGTCTAGCCCGGAGACTCGTAGATCTGGCGGTGGACGAACGGCCTTGCCGTGAGCTTCAAGAGCTTGTTCAGTGGAGACAGGTGACGTATGTCCGAACGCAAGATGGAAGGTGGTGTCATTCGAGAGACCAAGAGATTCCGACTCCCCAGGCTGTTTTTCTGTGTTGGGTATCGAGACGTGGTGCCGTCAGTCGATTATTGTCATGGAAGGCAGAAAACTCGGCGGTGCTGTTCGTCCCTTGGACCAGAGCGGGATGCTTTCGCTCAATGATGGTGGTTTCAGAGATCGCCAGCCACTGCGGCAAAAGCGGGAAGGGCCTCGAGGCCAGTGATGTCGATCTGGAAATGATGAAGATGCGAGGATCGGTTGGATAGTTGTTGCTGAGCGCTTGTGCGAGAAATGATAAATTGCGCAACTTGTCTTGAACAAAGAAAAGCTCCAATAGAGCTGCTGGCTGGCATCTCTGGTCGATCAAGACATGCTTTATGGGAGCGGTGCGCCGGTACAGGTGAGTGAGGATTGGTAGAAAGTGATGCGTGATAGCAACAAGCTGAGCTGGGCGCACGAGAGGCAGAACGATCTTCTTCAAACCCCAGCTGTCGAGCCAGAGAGCGATGAAAAAAGAGATGGAGTGTCCGCATCAGCCTGAGGTAGTGCAATACAGGCAACACGTTGCGAAAAGACTTGCTAGACAGAGGTCTTCCAGCTGGTTCCAAAAAGAAACGAGAAAGTCTGTCAAGTGTGGCCGCGCTTGAACAGAGCACCTCTGGCGGCATGCAGTCTTTCCCACTTGACTGCAGCCTATATAGCATGTATATGAAGAACAGTAAGAAAGCGTATGAGAGCGCAACGTGAAACCACAGGAAAGGGAGCAAGATCAACCCTGCTGCGTGGGAATGAAAGGGGAAAGAAGAAGGGAACAAAGCCGCAGCGCGGAGGCCGAACCAGACTAGACAGTGAAAGCAAAAAGCGCACACTCACATCCCTTCTTCAAGCACCAGTACAAGACCAGTAGACTCAATGAAGAAATTGTTCGCGTCAGCTCGAGGTAGTGCAATACGAGCGACACTGTGCCATTCGGCCAGTTCCAAAAAGTGATCAAAGATCCCAGACCGCGACCACGAGCAAGGTTCAATGATCCTACCATCTTGATCGGGCACTCGTCGTCTTCTTCGGCTGCCATGCTCATCGAAGACAATTGCGTCCATCAATTGAGTCCCCTTTTCCTTACCCTTTTGTGGATGATGGCTCCCACTGGCACGTCAATGCCGAGCATGGCGTTGGTTCGGCAAGCCGCGTATGAGGAAGGAAAGAGAAGTGTTTTGGACGCGAGGACTGCTTCTATAGGGTCGCGCGGCTGTCATCACGGTTAGAATAGCCCTTTGCGGAAGTCGAAAACAAAATCAAGTACGGAGGTTGAGCAGCCGCGTGGTCAAAGACACGACCACCATTCACTGCACGAAGTAAAGAAGGATGGTTACGTAGCAAAGAACTACATAGATGATGAACGTATGTTCTCTCCCAGCGTCCTCCTCGCCATCGATACAGACGAGTTGAAGTTCTGCGAAGAGAGTTGTCAATCTAGCAGCAGTACCATAAGACATTTGATATCAAGGGATCAACGCCTTCGTTTCTGCTGCAGTCATTTGGTAGTTGACTCTAAGAGCCAGCTTATTGAGAGAAGGATGAAAAGCATGCACAGGTAGAGCAGTTTTAACAGCGTGTCGAGTGCGTTGATTTGGCGGCGCTCGTCTCCGGTGATCTTCCGTCTTGATGCTTCGACGATTTTCCATTTCGTCGTACGGTGATTTTGTAAGATCAACGTTGCCCGATTAGAACAAACGCAAATCTCTGATCGGATAGCGCCGTAGGGAGGTCGTTGAGTACTGAATACCTTGGAGAGGTACAGTGTCTGCCATCGAGTATTTAGCATCAGAAGTAGTAATGTTGTAGCTCAATGATTGTGCGGGATTCGAGATGGTGGAAAGGAGGAACGAGTGCCTGTAGTGAATCGTGATGGGATCAAATTTACTCTTTGCTGCCTCTGCGGTGACGATGATAGAAGCGTGAAGATGCTGTCTTCCAAAAGTTGATAAAATACTCCACAAATACTACAGAAAATTCTGGGTCTACTCTCCGACAGGCATACCTTGACGATTGAAAGGGGTGCAGTTTGTAAGGGCAATGCATTGTGGCATCCAGTTAGGAGTCGCTGCTCATTCGTTCGTCTGCTGTCTTCTTGAGTGATAGTCAATTTAAGCATCAGTGTCTTTGAGATATTCCGTTCAATCTTGGTTCCCAGAGTATTTGTTCTCGCATCCATATTCAGAGAAGTCGAGCATCGCTTCTTTCCTTCTCTTTCCAACATACAACCACAGACGTCCGCGAGCACGGTCTTCATCTCTACAGAGCAACCTCTTCAACCTACACACAAGAAGATAACAACTACACCAACATGTGCTTCGGCAAGAAAGACTCGGCTTCGGCCTACACCTTCTCGTCCTCCTCAAGCGACGAACCCAACGCTCGTCCCATCGAGCTGCCTACTATCCGCCGCCCCTCTGGCACCGCCCGCACCACTGCCAGTATGCCTCAACAGGCTCCTCAGCGCGCCGTTGGTCGTGAGACTATCCGCATCGTCGAGTCTGCTAGCATTACTTGCGACGATCAGCACAAGTCTGGTAAGTTATGCCACCTGCGCGCTGAACGAGCTGAACTGATAGAGGTGAACAGCCAAGAAGTGATCTCGCCCTCAAGAAACACTCCTTTCTCTATGGCGCACAACTTTTCTTTGTTTCCCGTGAGTGACCTCAGTGATCTATGTATACTCATGCAGTGGCTGATCCCTCATGATAGGTGCGCCCAACTAGCACGAACAGCATCTTTTCTGCTCTTTTCTTCTTCGTCGAAAGTGCAAGCTCTCTTTTGAACATTGCATCAGGGGTTGGGAAAGATCGAAGCGTTTCGCCGTGGGATGAGGCACTTGCAAGTAGAGCTAAGGACAGCTCAGGAGGATCAGGAGGCAGATGGAGCTCAGCACACCTGAATTGCACTTTCATTGAACTTTGATATCCATGACACTCTATGCATGACTGCTTGGCTTGACCTCGAGCGTGACGTGAAGTACGGAAAATGTGGTTGCTCGAAGGAAGCGCTGCGGCCCGTAGACTAGCTCCGAGCAGACCCCTACTTGTTTACCATTGCACGTGTCTCTACGAAACTTCTCCCTAACACACATCACCTCTCTCCACGCAACACGCATATCATCAATATCTTTTGCAACCTCTCCCTCTCCAGCAAAGATGTGTCTCCCAGTGTGCCGCCACGGTTGCTTCATCTTTGGAGTGCTCATCAATGTCCTCCTACTCTCGCTCACCATCTGGAGCGCACACTCAGGCAAACCCTTCGCTGTTTGGGTCTCCCTACTCATCGCTTTCTTGTTGGCTTTCGTGTTTGTCGTCACGATTAGTATGTATCCTGTGCACCAAGTCTGTCATCTCTTACATGGCTAACGTGTGCGCGTCTGATAGCATTCGGTCATCTCCGTTATGAGCCGGGCTACCGCGGCAGCAGCTCCTACATCGTGCCTCTCAACGACGAAGAGATTGAGCTCTATCACATTGGCTCATCACCACTCTCTATTGTAAACGAAGAGCCCTCTCAAGAAGAATTGTACCGCCGCCATCTGGCTGAGCGTCCCCTGCCTCCTGAGCCTGTCCACCGCCGTCGTCGCTCTGATCGTGGCTCTCCTTTCCCGACTTTGATCTCTCCTTTGAGCGATCCTTTCATCGAGCAAGACACTCGTCTCCCTACGCAGAATGGCAGAAACACCATTCGACTCGTCCCTGAGTCTTCTCGTGAGTTTGACCTGCTTGTCGCTCGACAACGTACCTTGCTGACGAGATATCAAGTTGCTTCGCGCGTGTAAGGTTGTGGCTGATATGTCACTCTGGAGGTCGGCATCAACATGGAGGCGCGTATGGGTGGAAAGAAGTTTGGCCAGAGCGATTCTCCAGTGCATGGATCTGGTAGAGATGGCGTGCATTCGGACATGATGGTATGAGCAAAACGAGTAGCTCCTGAGGAGAGGTCTCTGAGCTTAAGAATATCTTGGAAGAGGGGCACTGTGATGAGAAAACTTGTGTTCTAATCCATTTCAATTCAACCGTAAATACATTCTCGTGCCATGTGTATTGTTCCAGTGCTTTCTGTAACTTTTGCAACAGTCTTGGGAGTTCTCGTGAGAAACCAAGGTTTTCGTGTTCGCAGCAGCATTGTTGTTTTGCTTTCTTTCGTCCAGCCACCACTCCATCAACTCTTTCGACAAACACCACACACAACACCTCCACCTCCACTCTTGTTACCAAACCTGTAACGCAAATTGCCACGCATCATGCCCTTCGTCAACACCATCGCCTGCGTGCGCCCACCCACCGTTGCGACTATCGCAAGATGCTGCAAGAGATTCTATCTCGTGGGCCTCTGCATGCTTCTGATCGCGATGCTTTTGGGCACTGCCACATGGGCCATCATCAACTTCTCCGCCACAAGAGCTCTGATCCCACTCATCGCCGTCATCATTCTCCTGTCTATGGTTGAGGGCGCGTTGGGTATGCATCTCATCCCTTCCTGTTTTGAACGAAACGCGCACTCACCACCGCCAGTCCTTGCTATTCTACAAGCTACCAACAATAAGCTTCTGAACGATGAGAGCCATGAGCTACCCACTCTGTTGAGCCATTCTGGGCCTCCCAAACCCTCTCTCATCCACCCAGCTTTCCGTGACTCCAACAAGAACTCGCCTCGCAACTTCCCTCTCCCAAGAGAACGTTGTCTGGACATTACGACTCCTGACAACGCGCCTGCCATTCCTGTCCCTGATCCATACGCCGCAACTGGTATGATTCTACGCGACTCGCAGACTCACCGCCCCTTACCTCCTCTGCCTGTCAAGTCCGCTGAGGCGCCAGCACCTCCGACTCACCTAGAGAAGGTCAACGACGTTACTGTTCTCCCACTGCGCATCCAAAAGCGTGAGATTGCATCTGTCGACACTGCTGTCATGCGTTTATGCGATGCTGTTGAGGTCGAGTCTGTCGAGAGCGCTGCCCCAAAGTCTGGAGACTTTGACAAGACTCCTGGTCACCCTCATTCCATGTCTGAGGCCGAAAAAATCATCACTGGAGTTGGAGCAGAGCGATACCACGAACAAGACGACCAGGAAAACACCGAACCTGCCGAAAGCAAGCCCCTTGAGCACCTCGTCACTGAGCACCAAGTACCTCAGACGCCTATCCATCTCGCCGCCCCTGTTATCATGATCCAGCAGCCCACCCCTACCACACCCAAGTCTAATGAATACCCGGCTGCAACCCTCCCCAATACACCCACTATCCGCCTCGTCAGTCAGTACCTGGAGATCCCTACGAAGATCGGACACGGTACTCGTCGCAAGAAGTGAGCTGAAACGGAACACAAATCCAAGGGGAGAACGGACTTTGTTGGAGCTGATCAAGAGTTGATGGAGCTTGTCGATCGAGAGAAGAGTGTTTTCCGAACTGTATGATGATCAGAGATATGAGAGCATGATAATGGAAGGCATCGGAGGTTCCTTCTGTATGCATGAAAGTCGGAAAGAAAGGCGGATCAAGTCATAGAAAGCTTGAGGTATCGGACAACAAGAGAAGGAAGAAGTATCATGCGAGAAGTCAGGCTCAGAGAGCGTAGCGGCTCTCTGGCATCTGGCGTCAAGGGAGGAGATTTGCCGACAAGTTTCAATGTCAATCAATCAAAGTGTCATAACAGATCCCAAATCCAACGAGGTTGTGCTGCTCGCAGAAGCCAGATGCAGGGTGACAAAGAATGAAGCCACGAGAAATCACCCGTTGCATACAAAGAAAGAACAAAGAACCCGACCAGTTGATTTTCGGCACATCTTATGAGAACGAAGGAGCTCCACCAGCTATGACAATGCTCGCATGTTGGTGGACATTCCCAAGAACAGGCATCAGTGGCCAAAGCAAGTCACCTACGGGTAAAATGAAGATGTACATCTGGCGAGCAGAAGAAAATAGCCATGAGAACGTAGAAAGAGATCGAGATAATCACCTCTTTCCATTGAGAGCATGACACTCTAGATCTGAAGATATCAGGCTCTCTGGAATTGTCGCCATATTCGGGCAGGGTTTGGCCAGTGACAATCTGACTTGCAGATTTCACAAGCAATTTTGCTCGGTCCGACAGCGTCCGCATTTTCGGGCGCGTCGCGTTTTCCCACCAACTTCACGTCCTGTGTTCTTAACAACGATACTATACTCATGCGCTGCTCAGTATGGGCATTCCTGGGTACAGAACAACTCATTGTAGCAGGTCTCAAACACCACTAATCACATCACCAGCCTCTGGGATATCCTCGGCGAAGGCGAGATAAAGTCACTCGCCCAACTATCGACAGACCACTTCCAAAAACACAGGCGACCTTTACGCGTCGCCATCGACGAAGCCGGCTGGCGCTTCCACAATCTCAGCGATGCCCAAGTCCATGCAATCCGTCAAAAAGTGCCTGAAGCCAATCCCATCGAAAAGGCAATCTTATGGAGAGTACTCAAACTTATGCGTATGAATATTCAGCCTATCCTTATTTTTGATGGACCTTCTCGGCCGTGGAAGAGAGGTGGTGTTGCGGGAAGAATTGATTGGAAGAAAATCGATTTGCTGAGGAAGATGTTGAATATGTTGAAGATTCCGCATCATCGGGCTCCTGCTGAAGCTGAGGCAGAGTGTGCGAGATTGAATGAACTGGGTATTGTTGATGCTGTCTGGTAAGAAGATGGTGATGCGTTGATGTTTGGAGCCAGGGTGCTGATCAAGGAGCATCGTGAAGGATGTGGTAACACCGCGAAGAAAAGCGATACTCTGGTCCGGATTTATCGAGCAGATGTCATTGAGCAGAACCATCGCATTAATCGACAAGGTCTCATTCTGTTCGCTCTTCTAAGTGGAGGAGACTACGATACCAAAGGTTTGCCTGGCTGCGGACCGACAGCAGCGCTGGAAGCCGCACAATTCGACAACGGCAGATTGGGCAAGGTCCTTTGCGAAACTCCTCTACGACAGCTTCATTGCTTTACAGAGTCGTTACGAGAATATTTCCAAATGCCAGGCAGCAGAAGTGTCTACGTACCACCTGGCTATCCTCGAGACTTGCACGTCAGAAACTATCGCGAGCCCAAGGCGTCAAGTCCAGAGCAAGCCAATGATCTAAGAGGCTTAAAGAATGGATGGTACGTGCCGATTGACGAAGCAAAACTACGTCCTTTTTTGCTGCACATGTTCAACTTCAGCACCAAAGAGTATCTCAGGCATATACTGCCTATACTCTTGACGAAGGAGCTTGTTCAAACGACACCCGAGGCGGTCGACAAGAATCTGGTATTTGAGCTGCAGATGGTCCAGAAGCGAGGTTGAGATCACAATGCAGATTGTCTAGAAAGACAAGTAACCTTCAACCCGAGGAAACGCACCGAGCTCAACTTGTGGAAACAACCTGATAATGAAGACTGGGCAGAAGGGTTTGATCCAACTGCACCTGTGGAAGTAGGGCTCCTCGAGTACATTCTGGTCAATGCACTTGGAGAAGCGGAGATGCAAAGGCTCAAACAGATCGCAAGCCAATCAAAACCGACGAAGCGCAAGGCTACCGAGACAGAGCCAGATCTTGACAGTCAGACGTCTGTGCAGTCAACAGACGGGACAGCGAAGCTGGCACTAAAGAAACGAAAGAAGAATATGGCTGACGGAGAAGATGTTACCTCCTCGACGAGCTCACCCGGCACAGCCAGCAAACCTGCAACGAAGCGCAAACCGACAAAAAGACACGGCAAAACAATTGAATTCAACAAAGAAGCTGAGCCAACCGAGCCTGAAGCGGCGACACCGCCAGTCAAGAAAGGCTTCCAATTGCCTCGAGCACTTGTACGGAACCCATCTATGCTGTCGGAGATTGCTTCACGGAGTAGTCAAGACGCTCTGTCTCGCAGCGCTTCTTACCAGTCCTTTGACTCGATGGTCGATACACCTCGCAGAGTTTCTGATATCTCCTTCTCACAACACGCCGCAAGTAATACAACAAGAGCTTCGACAGAGGAAGCATGCATTCAAGCGCCAAACAGCCAGATGCCACCGAGCAGCCAGGGTGACTGGAAAGCTGAATCATGGTTATCACCACAGCCACACACTATGGCCTTCCACGAAGATACGCTTTCGCCTAGGCCGAACCCGATACCAGTCTCATCGTCCTCGAATATACACCCACCTATCGAGCCAACAACCTTCCAACAACCACCCTCAAGGCGTAGCCAAGTAGTCATCGACCTTGGGAGCGAAGACGAAGATACAGCACCTGCAACGATCCCCTCTTCTGGCACCTATGCTCGTGGACCAATTTCCGCTTCTGCAAAAGTTGCTCATGCCCAAATGCCTTCTGCAACAGCTCTCCCTATTCCAGCGCCTTCTGCAACGATCACCCATGCAGTTGCATCAGTCTCTCCTCCTCTAGACTCACGACAAGCAATCGCTGCTGCTCGACTGAAGCACTTTGAGAAGAAGGCGCCTGAGACCATTGATCTTACGCTTGATGATTAGATGCGAATGTCCCTGGATGAGGATGGTCCTGGTATTGTGAAGATGGGTTGTGGGAGGAATTTGGGGCGCATAACACCGCTGGTACATGGAATCACGAGATAGACACATAATGCAAAGTACGAAACCGATGGCTGGCCCATCTGAGTACTAACCTCGACAAGATATAAAAGAAGCTCTGCCATCACTTTACATCTGTACTTACATGTGCATTGGACTTGACCTTCTGTTTGGTCGTTTCGGAATTCATCCAGCCTACAGGACGAGACCCAAAAGCAAGTCAATCCAAGAGTAAACGCTACGGGCATGGGGTCCATACTATCCACGAGTCTTCCCAAAACATCGGTGAGGTCAGCGACAGCGGGTTCCTCCGTCGCTCGCTTCTGATGCAATGGAGAGGGTTGTGTTCACGTAAGATGCTCTACTCCCCACGACACTCCCTCATCGACTTCTGTGACTGCTAGTGCTACCTATTCTAGTTCTGTTCATGACTTTGCCTTCGTTCACCTCGTCATCGCGATACACCGATACCCTTAGAATATATATCCCTGCAATCCGAATATCGAAAACCCGAACAAGGACATCAAGCACCCAAAGCTCAAAGACAAACCAAGTCTAGAAAGCCAGGATTCAAAATCTTCAGGGCGGAAGTTAGGGATGGAAACTTGGAAGATGATGATGATCATGCTTGGAAGGCCAAGCAGGAAGAGCAGGGGGATAAGGCTGAAGCCTCCTGAGTCTGGATCAGGGGCTTATCTACACTGTGGAGGTTGAGGCATACCATATACTGATGGAGATGACCACCGTCGAGGGGAACTAAAAGATATTGAATTGGTATACTGACCTCCATCCCCTCGTACCTGTCGGTCCCTTGAGACTTTGCCATCGCGGTAGATCTTGCAGAGGTCCGTGGCAGTGATTTCATCGGGGCGGCGATGACTAAATGTAATGGAAGGGATTCGCTGATCAGAAGAAAAAAGCGAAGTTGATGACAGCTGGGGATGTTTGTAAGACTCAAAAATGAAAAGGTAAGGAACAGGATCGTGAGACCCATGACTATCAGTCGAAGGTGAGACGGAATTGGTTTGTCGCAAGCATAACACCAGGTTGTGGTCACTTCCAACAAGCGTAAAAGAAAACATGGATCAAAAAGAAAAAGAGGTATCATTGCATGTAATTTGCATTATCCAACATTCATATGTCGTCTCATTCATCAAAGCCTCGAGACTGACGACATCGTATCCCATGATCGAGTCAAACATCTACTCATCATCGTTGACATCAACATCGGTCTTAGTCCAGTGACGAGCATCAACCTTGCGCTTGAAGAGAATGTCAATCTCACGGTAAGATCTGCCCTTCATCTCAGGCACGCAGAAGTATGCGGTGATAAGACAGATGAGACCAGTGCCGCCCCAGACGTAACCGCACTTGCCACCAACTAGTGAAAGAGTTAGTAAATCCGTACGGAATGAGTGCCAAGGATGAAAACTTACGGTTGCCCTGGTTAGGGTTGAGCATGTAGGAGGCGAGGAAAATGCAAGGGATTTCGACGATGTAGTAGGTTGCACGACCGATACCAGTGGTGAGGGGACGGAGACGGATAGCAGAGGTTTCACCGATGATGACCCACGATGCAGGGGCGGGACCGAGGGTGAAGAGGACAGAAACAATGAGACCGAGAGAAGCCTGAGCAAGGTTGGCAGCGTTCGACTTGCCGACCGATCCAGCGACACCCAGAGCGATCAAGAGGATGGTGTTGACAGCTGAGCCCCACAGGTAGATGGATCTTCTGCCGTAGTAGGTGGTAAGGATCCAGGACAGCATGACGAAGATCATCTGAAGAGCGGAAGTGATGAGACCAAGGGCGAAAGCGGTGTTGTCGTTGACACCGGCCTGCTGGAAGAAGTAAACGGCCTGATTGGCAATCAAGTTACCAGTCAAGTTCTGGGCAGCGTAGACGAAGCAGACGATGAAGGTACGGCGAAGATCGGTACCCTTGAAGAGCTCGACGTAGCTGGGCTTCTTCTGAGATGCTTCCATCTCGATGACACGACGCATCATGGAAACTTGATCAGCCGAGTTGACGGCGGACTTGCGACCAAGGCGTTCGACTGAGTGTGCTGCCTGCTCGTACTTGCCCTTGCGGGTCAACCACCAAGGGGACTCAGGGGCGAACCAGATAAGGACGGCGAGAGGAGTAGGGAACATCCACTGGAGAGCGATGGGAATCTTGTAGGCTCTCTCATGGGGATCCTTGTTATAAACGTATGTAACGGCGCCAACGATGATACTGCCAATAGCCCAGAACATTTGCAACATCTGAGTTGCGGGAGCTCTGAGTCTGAGGGGCACGATCTCGGAACAGTAAGCAGGAGCGTTGGCGATGAAGATACCCCATGGGATACCCTCAAGGATCTGAGCTGCAAAGATGACGGGCATGGAGTTTGCGAAGTAGAAGATGAAGATGAAGGCGTTGAGGAGCATGAGTCCAGTCAAAGTGGCATAGCGGTAACCAATACGGGAGGTCAGAGGACCAGCGACGAAGACACCAATGAGAGCGCCGAGTTGACCAGAAACTTGGAGAGCGGACTGCCATTTCGCTTCGATGACAAATTGTCCAGGTTTTGTGTCGGATGGCACTCCGAATTTGTGTTTGAAAGCATCGAGGGCGACGAAGTTACCAATCAGGAAAACATCGTAGGATTCCATGATCTGGAGGTGTCAACCGCTGTACGTTGACATACTTGGAGGAAATGTTAACTTACGATTGTGCAGGAGAAGACAAAGGCCCAGAATGAAGCCATAGGGTAAGCCCTGACGGCCTGGAGCACAGTCATCTGGTGCTCGACATTTTCGGCCTCAATGGCCTCAGCCCTCTGATTGATATCCTTCTTTTCATTGTATTCAACACCAGGCTTCTCGATCTCCTCGGTGTAGACCGGCTTGGACTCGTTATCGCGGTTCATGATGTCGGAAGCCTCCTCAAAGAAGCTGGGGGATTGGCGAGGAAGAGTGGGTATTGGAGTGGACGAGAGTGAAGATCAACAGGTGGGGATGGGCACTTATAACCAAGTGGAGGTACATACGGGACAGACATGTGGAGAGTTCGGGGCGTGGGGTAGTAACGTCCGGGGGGTAGCATCGTCTGGGGAAGGAGCCACGCTACGCATTCAGCCGTGTCAGCCGATGCGGTGTTTTGACCGCTGAATGTACCGAGTAGCAGACCCGTTCATCCCGCCACCCGGTGGGAGACCACGCCCTACCACTTGTTGCTGAAGAAAGAGTGCGGACGCCCGCGGCTTTGAAACGTTTGCATCCTTCGCTTGATACAGATACTCGCTACATGGGCGGATGCGGTATAGCGTCGAGATATTGGCCGGAGGGGGCAAGTGCTTATTCGCCAATCAAGCCGAGTTAAGCCGGCTTAAGCGCGCCAAACTCAAGGCTTCTTGCATTTAACCGTGACAAGATTCATGCCTCAAACGTCTTTTGCGATCGCAAACCTCACAGACAGGAGGAATTCTTCTCGAGATGGATGATTGACACACGGAAATTGAGGACATGAGTAGTGCGCATCTCGAACGTGTCTTTCATGCGCATGTGGCCACTTCTGGGCTCAACTGCGGTCACCAGTAAGGAGGGCCCCTTGCAGTAGGGCTCTTCATTGGCTTCGTGCCGTATATACATGACCCGATAAGGCGGGATCTTCATCAGATCAATATCGATTCATCACATGGTCTTCAGCCTCGACTTGCAAGATGAGCCGAGTGTATCGACCGACATCTGGAGATGTTGAAAGTCAAGCCTTCAGATCAAGCATCAAATGTGCCGAACAACAAAGCGCGAGACTCGAGCAGATATCAAAATCGGCACATTGGGACGGCTGATTCGTGAAGCGACGAGAACTGGGGATGAATGACAGAAGGGAACAGACGGCCAAGGAGACCGGCGGGAGCAACAAACGGTACATGGGTCAATACGACCAGCAAACCTGCCTTCGTATCCGGGAAGTGGTAGTGACGCCTACAACCTTGAGGAGAATTTGAGATTTCGAGAACCAGAGTTTGCGCAATCATCCTTCGGTAGGATGAGAGGTAGAAGTGATGGACTGAAGGTGGAAATTTCTCCTGATGGTTGATGAGACGGTCCGACGAGCGCAAGCCAGGAACAGACTGACGAAGACTTCTGACCATCTGGGAAAGAAGTTCTGACCAAGAAGATTCGCCGCATTCTCGTGCCTGCCGCTTTCGTCGCTCTCATCACATTCCACCGCTTTCATCGCTGTTAACTGTTCTGCCACTGTTGCTTGCCTCTATATTGATGATCATTGACAAGCAAGTTATTCCGCGGATAGCAATGCCGCACATGTACCAAACTTATGAATAGTACAGAAGTACTCTGTACGAACATGGAAAGACTGTCTCAAGCGCTAAAGGCCTATTCAGCCTGATTAGGTGATTGGTGGAACGTTTCGAGACCTCCCACCATGTGATCGTCTGTCTGCAAGACGAAGAACCCGAGTCGCCCATGGGGACCTCCACGCGGGGTGTCGTATCGACGGTGCATCGTTGACATGATGTCGATCCTTTCATCTCATCGCTCGTGAATATCTGCCGAAGCCCTACATAGACAAGACGACGACGTTTGAGTCTTGTCGTTCAGCTTGTTCACCTTTGGTGAGTTCGCTGCCACATGGTCTGTGGCCAATGCACCATATGTCCTCTCTGTAACGCGTGGCTCCAACTCAATGCCATATGTGCAGTCATGGCTATCGAAGTTCATCGAGGTTGGAGGGCAGGTTCGCCTCGAGGGTTTCTCTCTTTCGTCAGGATCGATATATCCTAAAGAGTCAGGCGATATAATCATTACCACCGAGACCGCTGCTTCGTGCCTCAAACCGTGTGAATGGATCCAAGATAGAAGCAAAGAGATCTGGATATCTGACTGACCGTGGCCATCGGCTGTCCTTGTTGCTTTGCCTTGCCACGTGGAACAGTATGGTCGATTAGAGTAACACTCATTCAGAGAGAAGCAGTATCGTTGTTATAACTTAGACAAGCACATCATAGATCACTCCAAAGCCTCCTTTTTCTCAAGTCGCTTTGCTGGAAATATGTGTTCTTCACTATTAGGTTGCACCTGGACTGCAACGACTGATGGGTGGACTCCGGAACGCTGATGGAGAATTTATAGAATTGTGCATATCGCCTCCACTGCGACCATTAGCACTTCAAAACTCTACAATATCAACAAGCATACTCTTATTCATACCATAGATACTCAATCATCTATGCTAGACATCGCTGTCGACCAAGATAGCTCTCAAACGCTCCGAAAACCATTGCTAGAGCCACGACCCTGCCCGCCAAGCCCACCAAGCTCGAAAACCAGAGTCCAAAAACTTCGAAGCCTCGGCACCAAGATCTCGCAGCAAAATTTTTGAAAAAGAAATGGCTTCCTCTCGGTCCTATTATCAGAAACATCACCAGAGCAAAAGCAAACGAAGATTCCGACACGGGGAATTGAACCCCGGCCTCCTCGGACCTAGTTGTTCATGCGAACGCTTTGAGAGCGAGAAATCCTAGCCACTAGACCATATCGGACGTTGTTGGAGCAATAGCTTCCGACAAAATTATCTACTCTTAGTGTAAAAGTTGACTCATCACCGCAAATATACAATCACGCGTTTGGATGTCACAAGCACTGGGACAAGACTTGTCGCGCGAAAGTGAGGTGTTCTACCAAACGTGACTGACTTCGTATCCAATGATGTGAATTTTTGACAAGTACACTCGTGCAATGACTGAGGATATCGTGGGACTCGAGAGAAGTACTCTCATCCAGCACGACGCCTGGACATCGGCTGCCTACCTACAGCATGGCTTCAGCGCCCAATCATGGCGTCTTCGAAGCGTTTTCCACAATCTCTTTACCCCGCAAAGAAGGGCCGATTGCAGGTCTCTTCACTTCCAAACTTCTATAACAACAGGGAGAAAGCTTTCTTGGCTGTGCATCAATTTGGAAGCTACTCACGAGGGCCAGCGCTGTTCTGTACAGTTCAAATAGACTTTGTTCTGGATCATCTCCCCAGAAAACGGTGCTGGTTTCGTCTGGGGAAAGCATACCTTGGCGAAATCTCGAGAGCTTGACGCCTCGCTCTGTTCGGTGCATGCATTCCATCTCTGATTGATGTTCGCTGGTAGTGACAGTAAACTCTGGCAACCTGAGGTCTTGGGACTCTGCAAACCCTGAAGAGATGAGCTGAAAGAAAGTATAGCAAGAAAATGAGACGATGGTATACACTAAGACAGAGTTGCTGACGCCTTGTCTTGGCTCTCAACAGCAGGCGTCGAGCTTGCTTAGAACGAAGAGGTTGCAAGCGAGACGAACAACGCCTTTTGGCAGAGTAAAACTTGCCCTCAAACAACCTGCCGCACTCATCTCGAGGCTGGACTCCTGAGCGGAAGACTCTAGAGGTTACCTGCTTGATTTGCAGTGATGGAACTCATTCGAAGCAGGCTTGCCAGCACACGATCACCTACTGATCTTTATGACCATATGGTAATTCGCGAGTAGAGATCATTATGGGCATCAGCACGTGGGGATGTTCTGGAGAATGATGGCGCCAAAGTCTCTTCCAGATTGGGTTCCTGGAGGACGACAATGGTTAAAGATGGCCATGTTTCGTGGTGGACCATGCGGGGCCCCTCACCACCGAAATGGGCAGATGAGGCTAAAGATTGAGTGTCCGGTCAGTGTCTTGCTTACAATTTGAGCATGGCGGAACCTTGTCTGCACTTTTTCCTCCAGCCCATCGTGCCTTCTTCTACCAGTGACATGGCGCACTGACCTGCCCGTCGAGTATAAGATGTCTCCTAAAGCCCCCTCTACTCCCTTGGAACTTTCATTCCTTGCATACGAAACCGTCTCAACAGCCCGTCGTAGTAACGAGTTGTTTGACGAGCTCTGTCTTGAGCACTTCTTCCCTCGTTTGACAGCCACACCAATTCCCACGAGCATCATCCATACATCTACCATAGATGGCTCCACCTACTATCCGCGGTACGGCTGATGTCGACCGCATCGAAGCCCCAGTCACCTTCAAGGCCTATCTGATGTGTGCCTTTGCCTCGTTCGGCGGTATTTACTTTGGTTATGATGTCGGTTGGATCAGGTAAGTCGATGATAGTGCTGCTCGTTATCTCGGACAAGACTGACGAGCAATTAAGCGGTGTCATGGGTATGAAGTATGCCATCCACACTTTTACTGGTCTTCCTTACGACACTCCCAAGGACGATTTTGTGGTTGGGTCTAGTGACAAGGCCCTCGTCACATTTATCCTGTCCGCTGGAACCTTCTTCGGTGTGTCATATCCTGTTTATCTTGTCTGTCAAGCGTTCTGACATTCCACAGGTGCTCTCATTGCTGGCGATCTTGCCGACTTCTTCGGTCGTCGCACTACGATCATGCTTGGCTGCGTGGTTTTCTCCATCGGCGTCATCATGGAAATCATCTCAACTACTATCAGTCTCATGGCCGCTGGCCGCTTCATTGCCGGACTTGGGGTTGGCTTCGAATCTGCCGTTGTAATTCTTTACATGTCTGAAATCTGTCCTCGAAAGGTCCGTGGCGCCTTGATTGCTTGTTACCAATTCTGTATCACGATTGGTATCTTGCTTGCTTCGGTTGTCGTCTATGCCACCCAGGATCGCATGGACAGTGGATCGTACCGTATCCCCGTGGCTGTCCAGCTCGCTTGGGCGCTAATCCTCGGTGTGGGTATCGCTTTCCTGCCAGAGTCGCCGCGTTACTTTGTCAAGAAGGGGCAGCACGAAAAGGCTGCTGCCGCTCTTGCTTCTGTGCGTGGCCAGCCTGTTGACTCACAGTTCGTCACACAAGAATTGGCTGAAATCATTGCCAATCACGAGTACGAGCTCTCTGTCATTCCTCAGGGCAGCTATTTCTCGTCGTGGGCCAACTGCTTCAAAGGTTCGCTGTGGAAGGCCAACAGCAACTTGCGCCGTACTATCCTCGGCACGTCTCTTCAGATGATGCAGCAGTGGACTGGTGTCAACTTTATCTTCTTCTTTGGCACTACTTTCTTCCAGCAGCTCGTAAGTCTTTTCTTTCTGCACTTCTGTCCAGCTCACTGACGTAACAGGGCACCATCTCCAACCCCTTCCTGATCGGACTCATCACCACCCTCGTCAATGTTCTGTCTACACCCATCTCTTTCTGGACCATTGAAAGATTCGGCAGACGCCCTCTTCTCATCTGGGGTGCTCTTGGTATGCTCACCTGCCAGTTCCTCACCGCTATTCTGGGTACTGCCATCTCCACCGAGAACCAAGCAGCCACCAAGGCCCAGATAGCTTTCATCTGCTTGGCTATCTCCTTCTTCGCATCGACATGGGGACCTGGAGCTTGGGTCCTCATCGGCGAGATCTTCCCTTTGCCTATTCGCTCTCGCGGCGTAGGTCTCTCTACTGCAAGCAATTGGCTCTGGAACACGATTATTGCTGTCATAACTCCATTTATGGTCGGCAAAGACAAGGGCAATCTTGGTCCCAAGGTGTTCTTCGTTTGGGGTACTTTGTGCACTTGTGCTTGCATTTATGCGTATTTCCTCGTGCCTGAAACCAAGGGGTTGTCGCTTGAGCAGGTTGACAAGATGCTGGAAGAGGTTACCCCTCGTAACTCTGCTGGTTGGAAGCCTACCACTACTTTTGCGAATGAGATGGGCATGACCAAGGAGGCTGGTGTCACTATTGAAGAGGTTCACATTGATGTCGAGAAGAAAGCTGGGTCTCAGTGATCAAGCGTGACAATCGAGATCGCTTAGAGGAGGAGCAGAGTACAAAAGATTGCTTCGGGTAATCCCACAGGATATCGGTTGATTGTCTCTGTTTGTTTGGCGGATAGCGTAGATGGCATGAACGGGTTTTGAGAGAAAATGAAAAGCACTGGTCGTGTTATTGTCTTGCTTCGTGTATTGATGTCGTGTCTACTCGGGCACCTTGACGCCTGTGACTCCCTCAAGAGTCTTTAGCAACTTCTCCTGCGTTTCGATATCTTTCGCCTCCTCTCGGAAGTTTCTCTGCTTCATCTGATAATAATGACCAACCTCCCTCTTACCCGCCTCGCCCTCGCCGGTGCACACCATAGCAAACGTCTCCACCGCAGCATCCAAATCATCCATGGCACTCGGCCCACCCATCTTGGTCTTGACCCATCCAGGATCCACACTCGCGGTGGGAATGCCATAATGTCTGTTGAACGCAAAAGCAAACATGATGTTGTGTAGCTTGCTATCCGCATATGCTTGCGAATCATTCCACTTCCCCTCTCCTCTTTGCTTCCATGTAATGTCCTCGAGACCAGCATTGCCGTTTTGATGTAAACCACTCGACACGAAAATCAATCTCTTGGGTTTCGCCATCAAGCACGCAAGCATGTATGGAGCTAGAGTGTTTACAGCAACAAGACTCGGCAACCCATCTTCGGTGCGGCGGAAAGGACCCAGGTAAAGTCCTGCATTGTGCATTACGGCATCGTAGGGACCGTGTTTATCTGCTTCTTTCGCGAAAGCTTTGATGCCTGCGAGAGTGGAAAGATCACCGGTGATGCAGGCGTGGGCAGAGGGACAGGCGGTTGTTGCATCGTTGGCGCGGGAAGCGTTGCGGGCGTGTAAGACGACTTGGTGGGAGCGCGAGGAGAGAAGTTTTGCTGTCAGGAGGCCGAGACCGTCGCTGGAGCCTGTGATGAGGATGCGCATATTAGGGGCTTGGTTGGTTTAGGGAAGGTGCGTATGCTGATTCTATCAGGGAAGGTACAGAGTATGAGAGCTCTTTCCTACGTAACCATCGAGGTGTTTTCTACACGTCATTGTTTTGGTCAGAAGTGTTGGCCAAATTTTGAGGAACTCGAGCTTCTCCATCCCTGATGCTCATCTCTTACTTGTTGCAGCGCCTACTTCAATGGAAATATGGCTACAAGCTAGTTTCATGAATCGTTGTCACTAAGAGAGAGATGAGTTCTGCATAGCTTCTGTGCTGCTCAGATCATAAATGACTTGACAATGAGACGATCGAGCGTCTCCGGGCGCAATCTCACCCAGCCGACGCCTCCTGTCTCCCTTCGCCCAAGGCCCCTCGGCCATCAACAGACACGAATGGCGATGATACTCATACGCATTTTCGTCTGTTTGAGTCGTCAAGCTCAAAGGTTCCTCTCGGTCGTCGTGACCTCTCGCTGTATCGCTACACCGAAGACCAGGGCTTCTTGCTGAATTATCCGCAACCCCGCACACCTGTTTGACTTTGAAGATCTGATCAGCGCTGCGTCTCTCGTATCCGTCCTGCTTCATTGAACATGACATCTGATCGATGCAGCATCCAAAGCTTGACGAACGAATCCCGCGACTACATAAGTGGTAACACCCAACATCATTTGAGGTAGGTGCATCATCAAGCTCTTCATCATGGTCAAGTCATCACGTATCTACCTCCTCTCAACCTTTGGCGTCGCTGCAAGCGCTACGGATGTGCTCGTGCCCAAGCATCTTCCTTTTCGTTATCTTTTGCGCGATGCCTATGCATACTCTCTTGAGCCCGTGTGGACCGAGGACTACATCTCTTCCAACTTGACTCGCAACCTCATGAATGTTATCGCAGACATCACTGGCAAGCCTCCAGCATTTCGTGTAGGTGGAACAACTGGCGACCTGACATACTACCACCCTGAGTTGAACGTCTCGGCTGTTGCATTACCAAATACGACAGTCACAAACACTTTTAACATCAGTAATGCGTGGTTCGAGCAATGGAGCATTTACTTTCCTGAAGGCACAGACTTTCTGTACACATTAAATCTCAGGGACAACTCAAGCGCATGGCAGAATGCCGTCCAGGAAGCTGCAGCAGCTCACAGCGTTCTCGGCGACAAGCTCAAGCTGTTCGAGATAGGCAACGAGATCGATCACTTTATCAACAAAGGCTGGCGACCACCCACCTGGGATGTCACCATGTACATTCAGCAATGGCGAAACATCTCTGACCAGATCGTTCAATCTCCTTGGTATAAAGCAGCAGATCACCATCCAAAGTTTCAAGCTGCTGTTTTTGCTGATCCCCCGTGGGTACCCGATCAACAAGACGAGATCGATGATTTCGACATCATCAATCTGACTCGTGCTGGGTTGACCGAGCACGAGAAGATCGATACATATTCAGTCCATTTATACCCTCAATCAACTTGCGATACAGCACGCTGGTACAGACTGAGTCTAGATCTGCTTTCAAATCACAGCGTGCTCTGGCACAACGTGTCGCAATACATACCGCAAGTCGCAGCAGCGGACAAGGCAGGCATACCTCTTGTATTTGGTGAAACCAATTCAGCTTCATGCTCTGGTCGCAGTGGTATCAGCGACACTTTTGGCGCTGCTCTTTGGAGTGTCGACTATGTCTTGCTAGCGGCCAGTATCGGCATGCCTAAAGTCTATTTCCATCTTGGTGCCAACGCTGAATACTCTAGCTTTGTTCCCTTACCGTATGAGCACAAGAACGAAAGCCTCCAAGCAGGTATCAGAAGTCTGTACTATGGCCATTATTTCATAGCGCATGTACTCGCCTCGGAGAAACAACAACGAATAGCTCAGCTCCCTACTGCAAACACATCCGACTTTAGCGGATATGCCATCTACTCAGCTGGCAATCGTTATCACGAACAACTCAACAAAGTCGTCTTGATCGATCTACAAATCTGGAACGGCACTCAGGGTCTTTCTAACCCTTCCACGCTCAGTACCACTGACTCGACATACCACTCCGCGGGCCAACGTCCCGTTCGGGAGGTCTCCGTCACCACGTGTTGGCCTGCAGGCACTCGCCTCGGAGTAATCCGTCTCCAGGCCCCAGGTACAAATGCAAAGAGCGAGATCAGCGTTTCCGGCGTCAGGTTTGACCCACAGACTGGAGCGCAGATTGGAGCGCTCAAAACGGAAGAGATTGTTGTAGGCGGAGATGGCCGAGCTTGTCTTGAGATGCAAGCGGCCGAGGCTGTGCTACTGCACATAAAATAGGCCGTCAATCAAATGGTCGTTCTTCATGACTAGATGTAGCCTTTTTATCAGGCCCAACTCGGCCGAAGGATTTCTGTATTTGTGCTTATTCTTGCAATTCGGCCGTCGGCCGAGTTTGTCGAGTCGCGGAGCTTGTGGTATGTGGGATTAGGCTTGGCATGAGACCAAGAGGACGTCTGAGCGATGATGAACACTTCCCCGAGACCTTTCAGGGGGTTAACAGATGAAACGACTTCGCTTGTGACGAATTTGTATATCTTGGTTCTGCGATCTTCGAATACCGGACTGAAGCAGGCAGGTGCAACAGAAGGTTTGAGGGCTGCGTGTTTCAAGAATTTTTTTTGTTGGTTCCGGTCGCGCACGGGTCTGCAACTGACACCTGTCGTGCCGAGTCATGAAAAATTCGACAGTGACATCTTTGGCTTTTGTCTTCTCTTGTCCAAAGACCCTTTCGAGCTCTAGCACGAAGAACAAACAATCTCAGCTTCTGTTCATGACTTGGGATGGACTTGCAGTAAAGCTATCGAAAAAGCGACGCCGTTGAGATTTGGTCTGTCTCGGAAGCAGCACCGCCATCAATTTGCACGCCCAGAGCACGTATACTTTGACTTGCCGCCTTGACAATTATCACGGTATTCCCAGATTGGCTTTCCTTGGCCTGTCTTCCCACGTTGCCGATCATCTTCCTTCGCTTCTTTCGAGGCGTCCTCCCTGCGTCGAATGTGTCGCTGAACTCGGTACTTGGGATTCCACAAGGGTGTTACATCTCCACACTCTTGTTGCTGCATGCTATATGCAGTCGATTTTCCTACATTGTCTGTTGGATTGCATGGCAGTCAATGATGAGCCACAAACAAGATCGATCATCCATGTTCTCCCGTCTTGGAGTTCATCGACACTTTGCAACACGGACCCGTGGCGAAAGAAGTAGATTGCGTAGAAAAGCACAGGCGATGCCCCGGTCAAAGTGCTCGAACATCATCGCCCAATCCAGTTTCGCTGGTCCCTCACCAACTCTCTAACTCAAAGTAAACAGCCGCTCCGCGCACAAGTGCTGGTTTTGGCCGATCTGACTCGGCATTGTTTTCCTTCTTAGACCCTGCTTACGCCTAGTTACGACGATCCATGTTCGTCTTCCTCTACGATACGCCTGAGTCACTTTCGACCGGCGAGAATTCGCAATTAGGCATCTCATATAGTAGGTCTATGGTTGCCTCTTTGTATCCTGGTTTCCTGCCTTCTTGATTCTTTTCCTTTTGACGTTCGTTTCCCCCTCTTTTTCTTTTTCTCCACTTGTTACTCTACTATCATGCCGAATTGACCACATACTCTATCTTCTACAACATATCATTCTCTACGTTTCATACGTATCTTCTACACCTAGGCGTCAATTGTCCATGCGAATGCAAACATGACAGACGATCGAAGCGGCCAGATTCTTGGCGTGGCTATTGGTTTCTTGATCCCCACTGCTATCTCCACCGCACTGCGTGTCTACACGAGGTTTGTCTTTCTACCCTACGGTTCTAATGCATTTGACAAATCATGTTGACTTGCTACCTTCACAGAACAAAGATTCTTCGTAGCCAGGCTGGACGCGATGATATTGGTATGGTGGTTGCTTTTGCGTTCTATCTGGTATACCTTGTCTGCCAACTCTCGGGAGTCGCACATGGCAGTGGCAAGAAGAGATATCTCGTGGATGATCACACCGCTCAAACAGGTTTGATGGTCAGTTGTCTATCTTTCCGAACCATCCATCAAGCAATCGAAGAATACTGACATTCCCAACCAAACAGTACTGGTTCTTCTGCGAAGTCTTCTACACCCTCGCAACCGCAGCCCTCAAAATCAGTATCGGCCTTTTCTTGCTTCGTATCGCCGTCGACCGCACACACATCTGGATCATCCGCTGGATTATGATCTTCAACGTCTTGTTCGGCGTTCCCTACTGTCTTCTTATCACCTTTCAATGCAAACCTGTCTCTTTCTGGTGGGATCTCAACCCTGATCACCATGGCAAATGTATCAGCCCGAAAGTCATTGTCATCAACACATATATCATTTCGGTACTCAACTCTGTCGCCGATTGGACGTTTGGTATCCTGCCTTTCTTTATTGTGAGGAAGTTGCAGATGAAACGCCAAACTAAGATCATGGTCGCGAGCATTCTTGGATTTGCTGCTTTGTAAGTCGTGACTCTCTCACCACCTTGACACTAGAAGTCGCAAGCAGTTACTGATACAGAACAAAACAGAGGTAGCACAGCAACAATCGTCCGCACGCCCTTCGTCCACACCCTCGCAGACTTCAAAGGCGAATTCCTCTACAACAACGCCGACGTCGCAATCTGGACTACCGTCGAACTCGGCATCGGCTGCACAGCCGCAAACGCCGCTTGTTTACGTCCCCTTCTCTCACGTTTCCGCGCCCATTTCGGTGTTCCCTCTACACAAACCGGCTCTCGACATCTGGGAGGTACGATTTCCAGAGGAGGTGGAAAGAGAAGCAAGAGAAGTGATCTGGATGATCAGACTTTGGTTACTCTTGATGAATTGAGAGCGGGAGGTCAAGATGGAGGAAAAACTGAGGTTGTGATTGCGGGAGGGTATGCGCATGATTTACCGCCTATGCCTTCACCGGGGCTTGCTGGTGCGTGGAAGACTAGCCAGGTTGTGCAGAGTGTGGAAATCAGGACGAGTTTGAGCGAGGGTAGTGAGGGAGAAGAGGATGAGAGACGGATAAATGGGTCAAGGAGTGCTGTTGGTGGTGGAGTGAGTAGACCTGGACTTAGAGGTCGACAGGATACTATCAGTGAGGACGGTCAGGAGGGAAGAAAGGCGACACAGCCTTATGAGCGGTTATGATAATTACAGTAATACACACCCTGCTGTTGTCTTCAGCTCTTTTCTATTTCTTGATGCTCGCTCGCAATGTTCGTCACTCGCTAAAAGTGCTTCAAAAAGCCTCTCCTGTCTCAGGTCTAGGCTGAGACATCTTGCCTAGGATCTTAAGGCTCAGCCTTGACCGAGAAAGATTGTATCTTGGCAGCCATGGCCGTTCTTCGAGTCAAGACTTCGTATTCGTATTGACAGTTGCCAACGCAATATGACGTCTGACTACTAAAGCTTGACCTCAAATGCTGCTAACAACCACTCATACTCTTTCTACAAGATTCCGAACAGCCTATCTGTACAGACCCTCGAATCGCAATGAACGAAGAACAGCTTCTCAAGGTCCACCGCGATCCCCTAGATCCCTGGGAACCTGCCCATGCAGCTGCTCGCATAGTCAACAATCAAGTCGCTCTTTATCCTCATAACCACGATTCAGCACTCGCTGCAAAACAACTCGATGCTCTCACACCATTCAATCGTAAACTCGAGCCGGGCGAGCAACCTGAAAGCATCAATAGTTTTCTGTGGGAGTTCTGGGAAGTTGTGGTGAACCTAAGTCAGGCCTACGAACAAAATGGTGATCAAGCTCATGCTTGTATCGTAGAGATCATTGGTGAACTCAAGAAGATCGAGGCACAAGAGGTGACGATCTGGGGCAAACAAACTAGGCTGTGGGGGAATTTGCCGATTTTTGGACCTGTGCTTACAGAACTCTATGGTAAGTGGTGAGGGAAGGGAGAGGAGTTGTGGGATGGAAGCTTACAGTGATTTGCAGATATGTCTCAACACTCGGACAAGTTTCGTGCATTCTTGGACAAGGTCCAAGTTGCTGGTTTGATAGAAGTGAGGATCTGATAGAGACTCGTTTGTACAATGGAAGAGCATATCTAGGAGTTGCTTAACATGGTCTTGTATTCCGCGTTTCCTCTCGGACTGGTATGATGTTGAGGAACATGATGTGGACGACATTTTTCTTGTCTTTATGCGTGGCACCAATACCATAGTGTTGTCGGGAAAAGGTCGCACTGATCAGTCACCCAGGTCGGCACTCTCATGTAAGTTCATCATGTGTCAAAACCAACTGTGCTTGAGATCAGAAGATTCTGGATGGATATATGTGTTGTAGAGATTGGAGTCAGGGGCAAGTTTGCATGCCGTCGTCATGGTTGGATTTTCCGTGGCTGTTGACTCTGGCATCAAACGACCAAAGACGCAACTCGAGAACTACTACGTTTGACGCGTGTGGTTCTTATCAGGTATAACAACAGACGATAACATACTTCGCGAGCTGCCTCGTTTCTCCCAGCGTGCCATTCACAATCTGTCTTCAGGAGTTGTTCCTGCTCTCTAACCAGTCCTCTCCATCGCCCAAGACAGCTGAGATATAAGTCATCAAAACCATTCTCCCCTCCGCTCAGCGCGCCTCGACACCCCTGGTTGCTTCTCGACCACCGCTACCCTGCTCATCGCGCCTTCTGCAGCCTTGTCAACATCGAAGCTAAAATTCCTGGGCACCAAACAGCCACAATAACAATGCCTGAGCCTGCCCAGCGTGTCAGGGCCGACCCTTCGCTCCCTCCCAGAGATGGCTCTTGCAGGATCACGCAACTCCCTGACGAAGTCGCACTCAACGTCCTCAACAACGTTACGCACAAAGCAGATTTGCTGAATGTCATGGTCACCTGCAAGCACCTCAAAGATCCGGCAGAGACTCTCTTGTGGAAAGTTTGCAACACTAAGGGATACGAGAAGCTCCTCAGTACCAATCCTGCCGAGCAGAGTCATCACAAAACAAAAGTGCACACTTTACTGCTTGACTTCAAAGACAACGGCCTTCAACCAGAAGACCTGGAGCTTTACTTGCCTTGTCTTCGAGGCCTGGCTATCTCTCACTCGTCCCAGAACACCTTGAATGTGCAGGTCAATGTCAGCAAGCTTGTCACGCCGTACCTCAAACGCCTGAAAATTGTCCAGAGCAGCACTGACAACTTCCTCCCTGCTCTGCGTCAAGCCAAGAGCCTTGAGATCTTCTCTCTGGAACCCTGCGTCAAAGTTGATGGAGCCGACCCGTTGTACTTCTTGCATTTGGTTCGCACCATGCCTCATCTAACCACGCTTCACGCTGGTGTCTTTTCCTCGAGTGACTTACTTGATGAGATGGCTGGCCGCGGACTTATCGCATTGCATCTAGCGCGTGCTCCAATCAGTCTCTCCCAGATACCCAGAACTCTGCAGATGCCCCAGCCATTTTCGCGCCTTGAAGATCTTGCCACAAGAATGCAAGCGAGTGCAGCAGTTTTGCTGCTTGAAAAACTGCCTCAAATCAAAAAGCTGGAGCTGTTGGTCACTGCAGAGCTCTCCGTCGGCGAGACTCATGTTTCCGCAGTCATTGCAGTCATCCAAGCAGTGGCCGCAAAGACTGAGCTCTCAGTTCTATGGCTGGACTTCGGTACCATCAACATCACTATCGACATCAAGGAGCTCGCACCCTTGAAGAATCTGATCCATCTTGAATATTTTGCCTTCACTCACCGCTTCATCGTACAACACCGCGCTACTGATGACCTGCAACCTTTTTCTTCTTTGTGCCCTTTACGCATTTTGTTTCTCCGGTCTCAGAACATGACTATTGGCAACTACTTCGACCGTATCGCCAGAAACCACCCAAACCTTCAACGATTGATCTACAGCAGACAACTCAATCTTAATCAGATGTCCGCACAGTTCCCATCTCTTGAAAAGTTGGGGGTCAGTGCAACAGATATGCCCCTGACAGAATCAACCGCGTAAGCTTTCCGTGCCTTGTCTTGCACATTCTGAAGGATTTTACATCTGACATGTAATCCAGGGATACCACTATTCAGACTTTGGCTACCAGACTTGTCGCGATCGCCCCCAAGATCAAGCAATTCTACGTCAGTCGCTTTGTCGCACCTACTACTGAGATTCAATTTGAGCATCGCCTGAACTCGTTCGTTTGCACTTGCCGTCATCCTTGGAACGACAACGTGACTTTCAGCGTCTGAGGTCTTGTCAACTCTGGCTCGGGACTTCTTGGTCTTCGACACATCCCAACAATTCCAACAAAAACATGGCTCAGGATCAAAAGTACTATTTGCGAGCATCATCGGCATCATGGCAAGGAAACATGTCGAGCCGACCACTAAACAGAGCTGCAGTGAGGCGGTTTCCTCACCGCACTGTCGTGACACTCAGATACGCACTTTGGAATCTTTTCTTTGTGCCCTTCGGTTTCCGTTTTCCCTATTTGTTCTAAGATAAGCACCCTCGCCCTTTGCGGTCCCGGTATGGGGGTGCATGAGCACCTTATGGACAAAGGAGGAAGGGTATGGTCACCTGTGAATTGTGCATGGACAGGAATCTTTCTTTTCTTTTTCTTTCTCGAGAACAATCTTCTTCTTCGTCGAGAATTTTCTCTCCCCTAGCAGAAATTCCCAAACGCGCGAGTGCTTTTTGGTATCTTTGTTTTCGTATCATCATCCGTTGGTCATGAATTGATTGTCACTTCTTTGGGCCATGCAGAGTGCAGTATGACGATCTCGTGGCTTCAGGATGGTGGCAGACAAAGGATTATATAGCAAAACACCGCAGAGAGCTTCAACAACATCCGATATGGTCTAGTGGCTAGGATTTCTCGCTCTCAAACCGTGTTTTTTATAACACAACTAGGTCCGAGGAGGCCGGGGTTCAATTCCCCGTGTCGGAATTTAGTTTTGTTTCTGCAACTGTTACAAGGAGGAATTTTTTGTGTGGTGAAAGAAGTTTTTGGCAAACGGTGGTTGGTGCTGCGGGGCTTTGTCGGCGGAGCTCAGCGGAGCGGAGTCTTTGGCGGCGGGATTTTTTTCTCAGCTTTTGCTGACTGTGAGGCTTGGCTGGACTTTTTTTGCTTTGCGTTTTTCTTTTCTAGAGGGAGAAATGTCACTTGATGATATTGAGTTGCTTGCGGCATAGACATGGAAAGATGGTGAGCGCTGTGTATGTGAGGAGCGAAGTTGTTACATTGTCCTCTACATCGCGTTGCCTGCCGTGACTGGAAAAGCAGGCCCAGGTCCGTACCAACAATTTTCTTTTCTCGATGTCAGAAAGTCTTTCTTGGAAAAGCCATGACACATATCTCTTCACGAAAAGCCGGTTGTCAAAGGCATCTCCATATCATCGTTGGACCATGCAATTAGACTCTCGGACGGTATTCAATGAACGATCTGCTCAAAAGGTAGGAAGTATGTGAACTTTCGTACAGCGCTAGACTATTGGCAAGTCTTTAGTACGGCCCTGTCAAGTCGGGTGTGGCTTGGTGGGTGCTCAAGCATCTTTTGCACCTTCTGCATCACTTTGCAACATTCTCGCACCAAGCCAAATAGGCTCGAAGCTTCTTCTTGTAGATACGTCGGTTGTCGAAGCAGCCTGTCTCAATGCACGAATACATACAGAAGTAAGACGTCAAGATCAGAGATGACTTGCTGCTAAAGGTGAGGCAGTATCAGTAGCCACCCTTGTATTGTCTCCTCTGTGAGAAAAAGTTGCTATTGATGTTCTTGTGACGCAGTGCTGGCCTGGTCGAGGAGCGGAAAATTGATTGACTGGCTCGACGAACAAAGCCAGCCAGGCACCAACGAGAAAGTCGCATCGTGAACATCTATCTTTACGACATCTCATTACAACATCCTTCTCACTCAGTCTAAGGTCGTCAAATGTAAGTGGACTTTCTTGAGATCGTTCAAGTGTTGCCATCTCCTGCTTCCAAGGGACAACATCGCGAACCCCTTTCTCCTCTGTGCCTGTATACAACCTCTGCTTGACCCGGTGTCTGGGTGGTAGAAGGCTGACCGGAGATAGCGACCACGACCGTCATCGCCACGATGGGCACCTATCTCGAGCCGGGAACTTTCAACTTCGTCACACCCGCTCAGGATGAGCCTATCACCACGCGCCGCATGAAGAAGTCGCAGACCCGCCGCGGCGATGGTCACCTTGTCAAGATCGTCTCGCCAGCAGAGCCCCCCATTGGCGACAGTCGTCCCATTCTGAACGTGCCTGCTGAGCTTTTGGTCGAGATCATTGCTTATGGCAGTCAGAAGGACAAGTTGGCCTGGATGTTGGTCAGCCAAAAGTTCGTCGACCCTGCTGAACGCGCACTTTGGCGCATCTGCGGGCGCAAAGGATTCATCAGACTCCTACGCATGACTGACGCGAAGAGACAACGCCTTGTCAAGATGATCAGTCACCTCAATGTCGGAGACAATCTCTACTTGTTAGATTTCGGTATATGGCGGCACCGATCTCATGAAGTTCAATACGGCGTCTATCCCGACCAAATCCCAATGCTGCCCGCTAGTTGGGTCATTCATCCTCGACTCAAATCTTTCACAGCTCTGTCAGGAGGGGCTAACGGTGCGATTGATGATGACTTTGCCGCTCTAAAGAAGACATCTACTCTGGAAGCTCTGCAGATCAACCACCACATCGAGCGCAACACACCAACTGCCTTCCCACGACTTCTCGAATGTTTACCTCGTTTGCGAGTTTTCGAAGCCCACTACTTTACCTCGGGCACTCTCCTTGCCCATCTTGCACCGTTGCCGGCTCTTAAAAAGATCGTGCTTGGCGGCAACATCAACCTTGAAATGGTTCAACAAGCAGTCGAGACACCCGGCGCATTTAACGAACTTGAGGCGTTGGACATCACCGTTCGTGTCGATGCTGCAACACGCCTCTTTCAACATCTACCCAACCTCAAGAACCTCAGAGTCGTTTTGGAAAGAACCTTCATCGCTTTGTCAGACGAAGAACGTGCAGATGTGACCATATCAAGTCTGCAAGCGATAGGTGCTATGTCGAGCCTGACACTACTTCACATCAGATTTGTGTATCGTGAATTGTTCAGCGAGCTGAAAGCGCTGAAGCAGCTTTCATCGCTTCGCAAGCTCGATCTGACTCTTCAGCATCAAGGCGCAGACCGACCGCTACCAGACAACCACACAACAGATCTTGTTGAGCAACTGAGTCACTTACAATTGGAAGAGTTCTACTGTGACCTTGACTTGAAAACCGCCCAGCTTGAAAGCCTAAGCAAAGCCTGTCCCACCTTACGCGGGCTGAGGTTCTATCGTTGGCACGATCTTGATGATCTCGACACAGAAGAATCACCAATACTCCCAACGTTAGAGCATCTCGCAATCTCAAACTACAGCTTTGGTCGCCCAGTCTATAGGTATGTTATTCAACCAACTCAGTACATGATCTTCCAAACCACTAACATGATCTTAGCAAGAAATGGATCAAAACATGGGCAAACAAGCTAGCTGTCGCCGCTCCTGTTCTTTCGACTTCTCCATGTTCGCCCTCTCGATATATTACAGAAAGCGAGGTGGTGTACGTCGCTGGTTCGTCCACCTCTACGATTGGGAAGGAGGAATATCGACCTTGATGCAAGACTTTGACTCTCACAAGGGCGTGAGTCGCAAGAACAGAAAGAGAGGTTGAGTGACAGTCTCGTATCAAGATGTTCACAAGACCACGCTACTACATCCGAAAAATAACGGGCTGGTCATCACGAAGGAATTACTGGCGGAGAGACTCTGTCTACAAGATGGCCAAGAAAGATGTGACCAGGAAACAGGAGGAGAAGTTTGAAGGCGGCAGATAGATCAACGAGAGCTTGTAAACACGAACATCAAGCCGCAGGGAGACTATTCAGGAAGGGATTCATCAGACACAAATGGAATCAAAGCTCCCACAGCCTCTCAAGAACAAGAAACAAGACTAAATATACTATGGCCAGCGTTCTGCCACGTCTCAATGTGACCATCGAGGGATTTAGGCTATTTCAGGAACTTGCTCAGCTAATCAAAGAGGCGACGCTTCTCCGCCTCGATCATGCGGACGTATGGCTGATTCTGCTCGGCTCCGAGACTTGCGAGCGAGGGGAAAAAGTCGTGAATAGCACGAGCGTAGACTCTGAGAAGCGCTTGACTAAAACAGCTGGTGTTAGTTGTCTGGTCCCTATATGCCATCCGATCCATACTCACTGGTTGCTTGGGTCCTCAGGACCTAGTACTTCAAACACCGAGAAGCTAGTCAAGCTCGGCCACGCTGTCACACTTGCAGCTTGACAATCTTCGAAATGACTTGGGTCAAGTGATGCCTTGGGTAGTTTCAAGGTCTTCAGATGGGGATAGGCGTTAGCCAGTCGCCACAGGACGCCCCCAAGGTCCTCATAAAAGTGTGTACCTTCTTGCCAACTAAGTTCGAGCGACTCCAGTGTCTGGTGAGAGCCGAAGATGTGCGAAAAATCATCCAGGGCAATGGCTGAGCCATCCGAACCATAACCATAATTAGATCCAACCAAACTCAACGTCTTCAGATTCATTGATAACAAACGTGATAGACGTTGAGTTGTTAGAGGCGGTGGCGGTCTGATATTCATGGGGTAGAAGTGAAGATTCTCTAGTTGAGGCATCCTCGAAACAGCATCCAAGATGTCGCCTTCGTCGTTGGGGAAAAGGTACAAAGTTTTCAGCAAGTGCATACGCGGAAGGAGACGATTTGCTACACTTGTAGAGAGCGAGATTATGGGATCTGACAGTCCGAGAAAGAGACCTTGCTTTGATGGTATGCCTTGCAAAGCTTGTATCACCAGATCGTCTGTGTAACCGCCTTCGTAAGACCAGCGTTTGATCCTCGGGTTGGTGGCAACAAATCTCAGCACCTCGTGATCAATCCTCAAGGGATTGGGGTCGATGCCGTTGCGGCCAAGAATAAGCTCTTCCAATCTTGGTAACGTTCGGAGAGCGTCCAGAAGATCCTGTGGTCCTGCATCGGTGCTACATGCGAAGATAAGCTTCCGGAGACCTGGCGCACGAGTGAGGATGGGAAAGAAATTGGCTACTCTGAGATGACTCTGCTGATCCGAGTATGGACTATCCTCAACTGAAAGTGTCTTCAAGCGTGGTCCAATGAAGCTCGAAATATCTGTCAGGGTGTTCCCATGGTGTGGAGCCTTCTGTTCAATCTCAAGCTTTTCTAGAGCATTGAATCTCAGATTGGCAAAGTCGTTGCTGGTGAAAGCGTTTCCATTGATACGCAGTTCATGGATTAAATTGGCATAGAGTTGTTGCTCGTTGGGTGGACGGGTAAGAAGCTGGCGAATGGATTCGTCGCGCTCAATGACTGACCAGTATCTAGCCATTGCCATATCTCGGTATTCTCGTCTTGTGACAGCCATATTTCTTGCTTCTCGAGACTCTGGATCGAGTTCTCTCAGGACCATCAACTGCAACTCGCCGGGGAGGTCCGCCAGTCGAAAGTATGGCACCGGCTGAGCAGCTGCCTGAGTCGAAGGTGAGGCCATTGACGTACTCGCGTTCGCGACGGAAGTCGCAAGCACTTGCTGATACACCTCGTCGGCAGACATATTGCTTTGTGGGGATCTCCCAGATGACGATGGAGATGTTGTGGCTATCTTATCTTCTGGACTAGAACGGGAGCCATCAGACCCTCCGGGGCCAGCGGGAGAGCTCATGGTTTCGTCGAGAGTATGTGAATGTAGATAAGGCAAAATTCTGCTTTCTAGAATAATATGATGGATTGAAGTTCAGGTCGAAAGCAGAGCAACCGAGAAGGAACCATCACAAAGTCGAGAAGCAGATCATGTCGAACCTGTCAAACAAAGGAAAAGCTTACCAGATCCGGAGTCGACTCTCAATGAAGTGTGAATTGCCTATTGAGCGTCTTTCCGCACATAGGCTGTAAGCTGAGCGGTGAAGAAACATTATCAGGATTGCAAACTTCGTTGGTAAATTCTGTTGCGCTTCGTTTTTTTTGTTACGCAACGTCGAGAAGCTCATTTGAGTAACATGTTTGAGGTTATTGGCTCACAACAGAAACAAAGACTCGTTTCGAGTCTAGATGCGCATCCGGCAGTGACATCTGCGTCAATGCTGCACATACGCATCTTGAGCAGAGATGCTCTCTTGCCCAAAATCTGTCACATCCAATCTAATCGCCAGAGCACATTCCCCGTCCTCAGGAGACTCTGACATAGCTGAGCCAATGCGTGCTACTGCGATTGCATCGAGTGTGCTGTCCTCTGTAGGTGGGATGAGCGCGTTCTGCTCAGCGGGTGTACTCATTTTGGGGGAAGATTGTGTGGATTGAGCAGATGGAGCCTCGATTGGGGACGTCAATGGAACTTGGTGTAATATCAGATAGAAGACACTGTAATGAGAAGGAGATTCAATCGACGAATGGACACTGTGGCTAGTTCGAGGGAATCAACGAACAAAGAGTGGTTTCCAGATGCGGTATTCTAGAATATCGCATATGATCATAGAGTTACTCGGCCGCCAGTATCTGCGCTACAGTTCGTGGCCGTTCTCATCGTCACAAAGAAGGCTCCGGACAAAGAACGCTTCAACAGAGTTGCTACATAACTTTTGAAGATGATGATGCTGCCCTGTACTGCGTTATTATCCTCAGGATTATCCAATTGGCGTTGTACCGAAGACGGCGGACAGAGGAAGAGAAACAATTGGTAAGACCAACCGCTCTCTTTGCCCAACACTGTAACCTCCGTCACTCAAGACAAGCATTGAGCAGCATTCTTCAAGCCAGCAACGCGGATGAATAATGGGAAAAATATAATTCGCATTGACCACAGTTACGAGTAAGTAAAAGCATCCAAAACTTCCGATGGCATCTGGACCTTTCCATCTAGCGACGAGCCAGGCCAGCCCTTCTCATTGTTTCAAAATCTCTGAAGACTTCATCCACCACATCTTCATCTTGGTTAGACATCAGATCTAGGAGGCGTGGGAAATGCTTGATCAATTTGCATGCCATGCTGAGTATGGCAGTCCGACTGTTAATACTGTTAGTGTATGTGCCTCTATTGATCATAAGTATGTACTTACTACTCCACGGGACGAGTAATCGGATTCACCGTTGGTGCTGCGACACGTTCGACCTGCAGATATTGGAGCTTGCTCCTCAAGGCTCTAGCGGGCAGCCTCCCGAGGTCTATAGCAGCACAGGGTGCTGGCAGTATGAGAGTCTCTAGCGCTGGGTAATGCGTGGCGACTCGCTCGACCAAAAGATGAGGGCTGTATTGCAAGAAGGAGGGATTGTTTGCAGAGCGAGAATCACCTTCCCAAGCCACTTCCAAAGATATCAACGTCCGATGCGATCCGAATAGTGTGTCTATATCATTGGCAGTGATCATGTGGCCATTGAACCCGGAGCCTCCCTCACCATGTATACTCAGCATCGAGAGACTCAAATTCTGTAAGCCTCTGAGGTAGCGTGTCGTCAGCAGTATATGGGCTCTGGCGATGAGCTCTAGAGACCTCAGTCGTGGTAGGTATGCTAGCCAGTCTACGATACCATCATGGTGATCGACATATAAGCCCAGGTCGGTGATAGTCGGCATATGGGGAAAGAGCTCTCTGGCTGCTGCACCATCCATGCCTGTATGCAGGGTCGTGAGGTGGTTGAATATCGTTTGCCCTGGGCCCAGAGTGGCAATGGTAGGCTGTATCAAGTCTAGTGTCAGGCGCCTGCCAGAAGCTATGTAGTAGAAGCTCTCGAGTCTGGATTGACATGCTAGGTACTGGAAGATTCGGCTGTTGAGTACTTCGCAAACAGATCCTGTCAGATTGAAGGTCTCCAGTCGTGGGCATGCTGTGAGCGCGGTCAGAAACTCAGCACTACTTGCGCAAGGATTTAATTCGATCCACAGCGTGCGCAGATCTGGACAATGGACGAGGTATCGTATGTAGTTACTGGTGATCCGGTCGGAGTCACTCACATGATCCTCGACGATGACATGCTTGAGCTGTGGCTCTATGAATTGATTGAGATGGGGAGGCGACAAAGGGCCGTTCTCACAGAGACGGACGGAAAAGCTTTGCAGACTTGGGAACTGCAGGTGATGGAAGTATGGGCTGGTGCCGTAGACATTCCAGTCGATCTTCTGGATGAGATTGGCAAGTTGTTGTTGCTCCGGGTGTGGATATTGGAACAGTTCATGCAGCTTTCGCGTATCACAATCTTGCCATATACGCATATTAGCATACAATCTTGTCGCAGCACAAACCCTCGTCAGGCGCCGGAAATCGCGTGGTGACTCGACATGATTGACGATTCTCGCTATCATCTCCTGCGGTAGGTTTGAAATTGGTGGAGTGTTGTCCATCTTGGCTGGCTGGCGTCCAGTACACTCGTTCCTTGAGTCGTGTTGAATGTTTGGTCAGTGGGACTAACATGCCCGCGCTAGGGATATAAAGGTACCCTTTGCTCAAAGACATGAGTAGACCATTCCTCATTTCCGCATTTGGCAAGTGGTATTGTCGATCGTCTTTGTCGAGATACCTTTGTTCAACGACCTAGCAAGATACCGACGTACTGAATCAATAGTCATCAGACAAAGGGCTCTGGGACACCCACTGCCGCATCCAGAGATCAGGTCCCGTGGCGAGCGGTGATCAACAAGTTCGTTCACCGTAGCCGACGATCTTGAGCCTTACAACAAAGACCGACTTCGAAAACATGGGTCCTGGGGGCATCGCAACTCTTCCCTAAAGTAATGATCAAGATGCTGTCCACCAAAGATAAGGACAGTAAACTGAGAGCTTTCATGGTGGCAAGGACATCGAACGAGAACACATTCAAGGACACAAAGCGGCGAGACGTATGATTCTTCGAAGTACTCACGACCAAGCCATGGAACGATATGCAAGACCAATGTATTACCACTCTCCTGCTGCCACTTCAAAACCGAGGTGCCGATCATCAATGCTCAATGCAGGCCTGCAGAGCTCCGATCGCACAACAGAAATAGAACCAAACCAAGGCCTGTAATCAGAACTAACGACAACAGAAAAACGAGAAAAACCAGAACCAGCATAACCAAAACCAACAGAATGAGAGAACCAGAAACAAGGAAAGTGTTTCGTCCACCAGGCCAGAAGGCAAAAGGCTATTCTCCACGACTGTTCCTCTTGGCAAAGGCGACAGCATTAAACACCTCCTCCAATTGAGGAAGCACTCCAACAAGGACAGGGAAAGGTGTCGATGATGGTGGTTGGATGTAGAAGGCGAGAAAGCTCAGATGCTACTGCTTGTTAGGCGACAGAATGGCGAACAAGCAAGAGCGAGCTGAGAAGAGAACCTCCATCGAACAGTGGCAAAATAAAACTGCGACGCCACGGTCCAGAAAGTCCCACGAAGCTGCAAGCCTGGTGAAATGTCACAAGCTGACCATCGCTGAGTCGGAAAGGAAAAGGTTCAGAGATGATCGATGTCGAGGAACGGCCAAATGTGAAGCTGTTCATACATGAGAGCAGCCATCGACAGACCCAAGCAATTGTATGTAGAAGTGCATGACGCCATCAGACGACAAGAGCCTAAGCATCCTGTCCTCGAACAGAACCGATAGATGCATGCATCTCCCTTACCCAAGCCCGCTCAACCTTAGAAGCAAGTAGGTGGTTCTCATCAAGTTCTTCAGAAGCATGGAACATCATCAGGCATGGAGCATGAGTACGCACAGCTCTCGCAATGTTGTTTGCCAGGGTGTTCCTACAGAGCACGTCAGTCTCAATTGATGAGGTGGGTGAAGCAGAGAGCGGCAGGGCACTTACTCAGCGCCTTCGTCCATCCAGGGGTCCTTAGTAGTGACATCACCGATCTCCAAGTGCTGCCAGGAAGGAAAAACCACCTCTGTCTCGTTGCACAAACCGACAAGCTCAAAAGCGCCGCTCAGTCTGAGAGAGCTAAGATTGGCGCAGCGACGACCCAAAGCAACAAGGAACTCGTCGTCGAAGGTGTCGTTGGCAGCAAGACGGAAGTGCTGCAGAAGGGTTAACCCAGAGAGGATGTCGACCAGGAATAGAGCGCAAACATTTTCGGTATTGAGACCCGAGGCACCCTCTTCTCCAGCGCTGCAGAGCCCGAGGTGGGTGAGGTTGGACAAGTGTACCAGTTGCTTGTAGTCAACACCGGTGAGGGTGAAGTTCTGGAAGGACAACTCCAGGTGCTCGAGGAGAGGCAATTTGAGGAAAGTGGGAAAGATAGACTTGTTGCCATGGATAGTGAGACGCAGTGAGCGGAGCTGCTGGGTGCGAGGAAGGAGTGAAACGGCAGCTTCAGCTCCGATCGAGAGCTCCAGTGACGTGAGAGCTTCGAAGGGGGTCTTGATGTCACTAATGAGTGAGACAAGAGGCAGGTCGATGAGCTTGTTGATCTTGAGACTGGTGAGCTTGGGAAGATTTGCGATAGCCTTTAGAGTGCTGCTGTTGACCAGATTCTCAGTGTACTTGTCAAGAACCAGCACCTGGAGCTTGCAACAAGTACTCATGGCGCGGGCAAACACTCTAAGAGAGTCTCTGACACATACGCGGATGCTGAGGGTGTGCAAGTTTGAACACTGGGTAAGTGCCTGGAAGAAGTTGTCGACCAGTGGCTTGGTGGCATCGCTCTCGTGCTCAGGGGTACCGATATCCAGGTGCGTGAGAGCAGGGCCAATTAGGGTCTTGATATGGATGTGAGTCTTCTCGAACACGTTTTCATAATAGTGTACATTGTGCACAATCCTGAGTTTCTGCAGACAGGGAAAGGCCAGAGTGCAAGTTGCGAGCTGCTCACCAGGGGCCTCAAAGTTCATAGTCAAAGACTGGACGTGATTGGCAAGTGCTTGGGGATTGTGTGCGACTTTCTGATACAGCACAGCGAGTTTGTTGTTCTGAGGAGTGATGACCTCCCAGAAGAGGCGCACTGCTTGGTCAGGGGCAGGGCACTGGGCGAGGACCACAGCTTTAAGGTCCTTTTCAGCGAGAAATTTCAGAATCTGCGACCACACTTCGCCGGGTATCATGCGGGAGACACGAAGAGCGCCATGCGTGATGGGAAGCGTGACAGCGTTGGAGGCCATCGTTTGGTGATGATGAGTGTGGAAGGGGATTTGGTGATGGATAGGGAGTTGTTTTCGGTATTGACAATAAGCGAGGACAGCGTTCAGGAGAAGATGGTGACGGTGCAATAGCAAAGACGGCTGGAGTCAGAGATGTAGAAGGTGCTTGTTGTGATGTAGAGAATACGCAGCAAGTCGACGAGCGCGCGTTGTTCGCCAGCGACGAAATCACCACCCCTGACTTGTGCCAAGGCTGAACAACATCAGACATGACTCTTGCCTACACAATCCTACAGTCCGGCGCCCCTGAGTACTGTATCGTGAGTTTTGTTGCTGTAGTCAACGAACATGTCCGCCTCCTGCACCCTTCGACCAGTTATCACATCTCTAACTAGCTTATCAGACACCATATGCTCTTAAACGACCACAGAACGACGACCACCACAAAGCAATTGCAGTACCTTACCCTTCAAGCAAGGCCAACTTGATTGATGACCTAGCTCTTCCCAGCCGCAGCCCTCTTTCTTACACTCTCCACCGTCAACGCACCTTTATGCCTCTTCTCCGTGATGATATACTCCCTATACAAGAACCCCACACCAATCGCACCACCAGGTCCAAGCACGATCGTCGACGCAGCCCTGCCAGCAAGTAGAGTAATCCAGCTATACGTCATCATCCCAGCAGCTTTGGCGTCCCAAGCAAAGTAGAGTAGCCAGAGGTAGGAAGACGAGACGGCGAGGAGGTAGTTCCATTGCATGATCTCGGTGAGGGAAGTAGGGACGTGAGTCCAGGGTTGTGGCAAGAAGATTTGAGACAATGTGACAGGGGCGCTGAAAACGGTGCGCAGCCAGACAACGATGGAGATGATGGTAGGGATGCCAATAGTGTACCTGATGGTCGAGACATCTCCTTTGGGAGCATGAATTTTATCGGAGTCGGTTGTGTCCTTCAGAATCTTGCTGATGGCGAACTGAGCAAGCGAGTGTGTGATGGGGAACCACTGCCAAAGTTGGAGCCATGTCTGACGTTGACTTGTCTCAGGCAGAAGATAACTTTGAAGCAGGGGAAGATAGTAGACCATGAGAAGAGACGGAAGTATAGCACGAGTATAATGCATCTGAGTAAGTCGCATGTCCGTGGACTTGAATGAATCGATGGGCGTCATAACGTGAAGAAAGTAGTACACGGGTGCAACCATGCCGAGGCACTTTCTCTGGGCAAAGAAAGCAAACATAGCAGGTCTGTTTTTCATTAGTCACCCTGTATGTAGAGAATGCAAGAAGCACTTACAGCTGAACGGGCATCATAGCATTACAACGCCGAACCGCCTCGACAGACCAAATTGCGAGGACAAGTCCAGAGTACGCGAGGAGATTGGCAAAGAGGAGGCCGGCAGCGGGGTCAGAATTGATTGAAGCAGCCGTGAACATATCTTGTAGAATTGCAGTCCTGGAAGCGGTCAGAAGAGAGCAGAACGATTATTCGTGTTACGTACTTGTTGTTTTGTCCGCCACGGCCCGCAGTAGTATTGATCAATGATGATGGTTTGAGAGAATTGTGCCAAGGCTGCCCAGTCCCACCCCCTGCTTCAAGGAGAAGATTGAGATTGGCGAACTTCCAGGCAAAGGCAACAAGAACGAGGAATGGCGATGCTAATAGAGCTCGGAAGAAAAGGTTCTCCTTGTGGCCTTGACCTTGCTCAGGGTTGAACGGCATATGGCCTACTAGGGAGATCTCAGGCGGCGGCAAGTACTCGATCAACGTTGCTCCGACGGACATATCGCTTGAGAGACCTTCGAAGAAGTCACCCAGAATGCTCAGGCCATAACGAACAAAGAGAGCGTGGGCCCATGTAGCCAGCGCGTGGACGCCGGTGAGGAAAGTTGAAGCTTCGATGGCGGCCGTAGCTCTAATCCCGCGGCCCTTTTGGTAACTCTGAAGGGAATGAATGATTTGCTGCTCAGTCGGGCGTTGTCCATCAGATATGTCCGATAACTTCTTGATCGAGTTGGCAAGTGCAGCAGCACTTTCGATTGCTGCATTGCCACCGAAGCCTGCCATACTATCAGAAAATTGCTCAGATGACTTCGGAAAGGATGAAGCAAGACATACCGGCGTTTGGAGTCATCTTGTGCGCAGAGTCACCAAGGCATGCTATGCGACCCCAAGTCCAGATCTTCATATGTTAGTAGATAAACTGACAACAAGAGGAGCGATGATGATACCTTATAAGTGGCAGTTTCGATAGCGACTAGCGTGCTTGTTACCATGTTCTTGTGGATGTCTCCAAAACAGATGTCCTCTCTAACCTTCATGTCGCCATTTCGCTTGGCAAATTCGTCCCTATCAGCTTCAGTAAATCTGGGGACATGGGGAGGCTTGTAAACCTTGTCCATCTTCTCAAAGACAAAGTAATATGATCGATCATTCTTGCCGGCGAGAATAAGGCTGCTTCGCTTGTTGTGGTAGCCAACATCGATCTCACCAACCGGTAAACCACAAGAAGAAGAGGCAATGCCGTAGAGACACTGGTATTGGCTCTCGAGAGCTGTCAAGCGAGTCAGCATTGCTCGAGGAGAGACTCCCTTTTGTCTTACATGTTTTGTCATTCTTGACAAGCTCTGGATCAACTTCATCTGCGAGACGCCACATTTCGCTTCTCGCCTTGGAGTTGACACCGTCTGCGCCAGCAAGTATATCTCCTGTGTAAGAGGTTCCATCTTCGCAGATGACTGTGACTCCGCTTGTATGCTGGCGAACTGTCGTGAGGTTTTTGCCCTCCAGAATCCTACTCTTGTCTTTGAGGTTTCCATACAAGACTCGGAGGACGTTCTGGCGGTCGCTGAAAGTGAAAGGGTATCCGCTCCTTCGCGAAACATCAGCAGCCGCGGTTCTGGAGCAAGGGATCTCACATACCGAGCTTTCATGAGTTGGGAGACACGCGAAGCTTGTGCCAGTGGGCGGCCATGCTGGTCGCGATCGTGCGCCCAGATGACCGGTTCCTACTTTGGTCAGGACATACTAACACAAGCAGATCCTAAGAGGTATTACTGTGCATTTGTGGAGAGCTTCGGTACAACCAAGCTGATCCAGGACCTGCAGACGGTGAGCTCATGACGACTGAGGCTTGAAGATGGTTGACTGACTCTGCAACCATTTGCTAAGAGAAGAATAGATGCCCCGACTTGAGGTGCTATCTCGTTGCGTCGCTCAAGGAGGACATAGTCAATGTTGGCTTGCTGGAGAGAAAATTACATAGTGTTCAGTGGTAACCCTGAAATGCACACCTCAAGAGCATTTGCAAGCGTAAGACCAGCAATACCGCCACCAGCGATGATGACTTTGAGCGGAGCTGTCATGTCTCAGCAGATGTAAGCCAAATAGTGCGACACGAATGAGAGGTTGTTGTGGTGGGAAAGACGAAAAGAGAGCAGGAAAGGCAAGGAAAACGCAGGAGAATATCAGAGCAGATGACATGGAGCTGGATTACATCCTTCGACGTCGCTTACCGCAGCAACAATACCAATTGCGAGTGATAGGATCCGGCTGGAGCTCTTACAGGGGAATATGTTGCTGCCTGTCAAGTGCTCATGCACCACCCATGCCTCGTGCCAATCAACCCCACTCGTCGAGGCGTCAATTTGACGACTCCTTCAACCTTAACAGCCTCCACCTCAAACATTTCTCCCGACTTACAGAAATAAACAAAAGACGATAATAAAGCGGCTAAAGACCTAGAACAACTTGTACGCGCTGCGATTGAATTAAGAAGCGGTCGATCGCCCACCGGGCTGTGTATTGAGCGAGACAGACAATCAGCGCCCAGAGGATTTGGCAACAGATGATTGACCAAGAGATCACACGGGAAACGACGCGGCCAGGGACTAAGGATTGTCGTGAAACGAGAGATGCATGAGGACAAGATAATCCTGATGGACTTGACGCTTGACCGGTCGTGGCGGACACAGGCGGATGCCAGATTGATGACGAGTTCACAAGATATTTGGAAGCAGCTAACAAAGGAACAGTAGTTGGTGAGCAGATGAATTCAAAGCGATGCGGCCGCATGCGTACGCGTAAGAGGTAAGTTCTGGATGGGTTTGCCTGAACAAAGAACCCTCGACAGTTGAGGCTTCAGGGTGTCAGCCGAAACAGGCAGGGGCAGCGCCAAGAGATGATTGGGTCGGGAAACTCCGCGTGTTTGAGCGACGCGTACCCTCGGTCAGCGAGCAGCAGCAACAGGGAAGGAGCGACTGCCAGGAAACCCAAGAGCGACTTCTGTAAACTAAAGAGGAAGGAAGAGCTGGATGCAGCAAGAGTCGTGGCTTGGGACATTGAGGAAGGAGCTGCTGCACGCGTCGAACAACGAGTCCGAGAGCGTCCACACCCACCAACGACCGCCAATCGACACTTCCCTACCACCTTCGACACCCCCGGGCACCCACGCGGTTTCCCTACCCACCTCCGCCGGGCCTTCCATACCAAACACGACCATGGCCGACCTCTCCGCCCTCGCCGACCCCACGGCGGAGGGATTGCCCATCGACGCCAACGACCACGAAGAAGACGTCACTGACGCCAACGGTGATGATGGTGACAATGACAATGACGGCGATAATGATAATGATGTTGCACCTTCCTCATACAAAGTCGTCTGTGAAGCTGCACCCCCTGAGCGACGCTTCCCTTCATTCGAAGCGGCCATAGAATTTGGTAATCAGTGGTCGCGAGAGAATGGCTTCGACCTTGTCCGAATCAACAAGGGCAAGCAAGGTCGCAACCCTCAAGGCGTCACTTACAAGTTCTTGTGGGAGTGCAAGCGTCATGGAAAGCCTGCAAACACTCGCAAGCTGACCCCTGACCGTCGACAGCGCGCTGCCAGAGGGTCCGTAAGAATTGGCTGTCGCATGCGCATCGTCCTCGTCGCTGTCGAACCCCAAGTGCCTCAAGGTGAATGGCAAATCAGACATTGCGGTCGCAACGGCCATAACCATGGCCCAGACAATGCAGAGTCTTTCCCTGCTGTCCGTCGCCGCACACGCACTCACGAGATGGACGTCTTCATGGCCACTCAATTGCGTCAAGGCCTGTCAAGGTCAGAAACGCTGCAGCTCGTTCGCCAGCATTGGCCTGATGCGCTCGTCACTCGTCAAGACATTGGCAACTTTGCGAAAACTTTTGCTCAAAAGATTGGCTCTTCCAGACTGACCCCTGAAGCGACCCCTGACAATTCCCCCATGCCGCCGGTGCCTTCTGCTTCTGCAAACGTTGGTCCCAGTGCACCGCTCAATCCTCAACATGCTCAGCTTCAACATCCTCAAGCTCAGCAATCTCTGTCTCATGCCCACCAACACCCCATGCAACCACTCGGCATGCCCGTCCAGCAGTCAAATCATGACGCCACTCGAGCTGCATACCAAGCTGGCTATCAGGCTGCTGTTGAGCAACATCGCATCAACAACGATCTCAATCATCGTGTTCAGGCTCTTGAGAGCTCAGTCCAAGTTCAGGACCGCATCGCATCACTTGAACAGACTGTCAACAATCTGACGCAACTCATCATGAGTGCTTACATGCCTCATATTCAGCATCCGCAGTCTTGATGATTGCATTGCGACGCATTTGTGCTTGGGAAGGTCTGGAGTTGCTTATGCTTTTGCTTGTTGTCGTACGTGATACCCATCCGTTTCTGCTTTTCTCTATGTCTTCCCATGGCGTTTTCTTCTTTGCTCTCTTGCGATTCAATTTGCATTATCAACATTCTATCAAGTCTTCTGTACACATATTGTTCCTCTCATCCCTGTCTTCAAATCACACGCCCATTGGCTCAGGCTCCACGGCTTGGCATACCTCGGCGCTTAAGGTACCACTCGACCTCACCTTGTCTTTCTCTTTTCCTGTATTCATGATCTTCTTGATCTAATTCTCGCCAAAGGATCATGTCAGCTGCTCAGCAAGTCTTGTCTCTTCCCGAAGTCTTATCATTGATACTGGAATACCTTGAGTTTGAACGAGAAGCACTTTATTCAGCACATCTGGTGAATACTACTTGGGCTCGATATACCCACGAGGTCCTCTGGCGCAATGCTCCTCTTTCTGCCTTGTCTGCTATTGAGCCTGCTCGTCAGCAGCAATTTGCAAACATGATCCGAGTTTCCTTCTCTTGGACACCATGTTATCCCGGTGACCTGGACAAGCTGTCTTTCCCGTTACTCGAACGATGTCTGTTCGAGGCAGCAGACCTGTTCAACTTGCCAGATATGCACCTGATTCTGCCGCCATTTTTCAAATCATCGCCTCAGTATCTTGACATGTGGCTCAAATGCGTGGACGCCCCAGGAAACTTGCACTATTACCGACGACAAGGCCTTTGGGAAGACAAGCTCGATCGTAGTCCAACTCGACGAAGACACATGACAGCGGAGGGCTGGTCATTTATCCTTCAGGGCCCGAAATTGCGCTCACTCATCTGTGGCAGAAGACCTGGTGAAAAAAAAAGCTGGTCAGATCCTTGCCCGGTTGGCGTCTCAAGAGATCTACGAAGAGTTTTTCTTCTACGCCATCACCATAGACTTGGAAGCTGTTGACTTTGTGCTCAACGTGATCACCAAACGACCCATCTTTCCAAATCTCAAGCATTTTGGAGCGTTCGTGCGCCGCGATGCCATAAGGATCTTGTTCCCCTACCTACCTAGAACACTGTTGAGTCTTCTGCTCTGTGTCGGAAGCCTGGCTGGACCTTACTTCGAGTTGGCCACTCAATTCACATGTCTGGAATCGTTGACGATTATTGGCTGCGAGGACATCCTCGGCGTGTTCTCGGTTCAGTGTCTGGGTAGACTGCATTCGCTTCGCAGCCTTGCGATTGAGCTACTGCCTCTCAACGAGACACGCCAGTATGGCCGACCAGCGGACCAAGCGACGCAAGCAGCTCCATTCCCAGATATCGAGTTTGAGGTCATGACCTCTGGGCTTCCTTTGTTGCACACTCTCGTGCTCAACATACCCTGCAGACTTTCATTACCCGCTCTGTCATCACTCGCGATAAACTGTCCTCTCCTCAAGATCTTCAAAACGTCCACCGAGCTCGACATAGATCGCTGGGGAGCTCGGGAAGATCTAGACTTTCCAGCTCTGAATGAGCTGGTCTTGACTCATGGCGAATACGGAGACTTGTGGGGTGGCACTCGACATGAGACACAGTGGTCGAGTCCTAGTTGGCGAGGCAGACCAAGGATGCATTTGGTCAACGAGGAAGATGTTGATCCCGTTCGTCCTGGTATTATTCTTCGACACTGTCCAAACCTTTTTCTGCTGCATTTGGATTGTAAGGATTATGGTATGTTTGAGCTCGGGCAGATTAGGGCTAGAGAAGGTAGACATCGCTGGTGGGATAATGTGTTGGGGAGTGCTTTCTGAGGCAAGCATGAGCGGTAAGTAGTTGATCTTGAACGTTTGTTCTATCGTTCCGCTCAAGCATGCCCTCTGAGTATGTTCAGAGGGTGCGCTGGTCGCTCATCCACGTATCACTTTCAAATGCGCTTCATAATCTGGTGTCCGTCATTTCGGCAATGTCAAGCCGCTACGTTGTTGCTTGATACTACTCACTCTTCTCCACCGCCGTTCCAACCACAAATTATGGACTTATGTGACACTCTCTCTCCATAGAACATGAATTGGTGGCAGGAGTGTGTCATTTCTTTCCTTCGTATCTTTTCCTTTGGCGTTTCTGGAAGGAGGTGTAGCAAGACGTTCGAGCTCTGCAGACATCGCAGTGAGCCATGACAACAACCGACATTATAAAGGTCCAGTTGAGCACTTTTTGGAGCCACCACAAGTATTTCTCTATTTGAACCACGAAATCGAAACCATGCGGAGATGGTTCCGCCGTTCTGCAGGGACTTGCTGGCGAAGCTTGACCCCAGTCTTGGGAATCTCTCAGGTCGATTTCGTACTTCAATCATGATTTACAGGCACAGCAAGCAGAATCATTTTATCGTCAGCGCTAGGCATCCTCTAGCTCGATGTTTTGTGCATCTATCATTTTCTATATTCAATGTTGTCCAATTCGCGCAACTGGCGACGTGTTCGTGAGGACGCATCGAGTCAAGGCGTCTACAATGCCATGATGAGATGGACGACTCGAAAGATCAGAATGGAATGTATGTGTGTCCTGATACCGCAATTGCTCATCACATTCAGCAGTGTGGTCTCGAAGGCTTAAGCTGTTCAGACAATGATAATGACGAGTCTATAGGTTGACAAAAGCACTGCACGGACGCTCGGCCATGATCGGTCATGATTCGGACGAAGAAATCGCTAACTCAACTCGGTAAGGCCAACCTAAAAGGAAATTCGACATGAGGCTCCGCAAGCAGGAGTGCGAAATCGTTCATAAGCAAACCAGTTCGCACAGCAGAACGAAAAGATTTCGAGGTTCCAGACCCGCTGCACAGCTGCAATGCGCCGCCCCATCCTTGCTTCCCTGCCAGAGTGGTGCAGCCACTGGTTGGGCTACCGCTCCGACCCTGTCAAGCCTCCGCCCAGATATCTTGTCTATCTTTGGTCTTTTATTGGCGCTTTTTGTGGTCTGTCGGTCTTGACGGCGTTGTTCAGCTATAGCCAGTATTTTCTCAGTCGTGGGGTACCCGTCATTGTCGCTTCCTATGTCAGTATCGTGCATACTCTCTACAAATAGTCATCCTGTGTCTCACACAATCTCAGGGAGCATCAGCAGTCCTCGTCTTTGGAGCAATAGAAAGTCCCTTGGCGCAACCACGCGCCCTCATCTTCGGCCACTTCATCAGCGCCCTAATCGGCACCTGCGTCACTAAACTTTTCGAGTTCCTGCCTGCCTCACGCTTCCACGAGTTGCGCTGGCTGGCTGCCTCTCTTTCCTCCGCTATTGCCGTAGTAGCCATGGAAGTCACCGAAACCACGCATCCTCCTGCTGGCGCGACTGCTTTGCTGCCTGCCACTAATGAAGAGATCAGAGATTTGAGTTGGTACTTTTTACCGATTGTGTTGCTCTCGTCAGTCGTTCTTATGGTTGTGGGATTGATTAACAATAATATCCAACGCCGATACCCGATTTTCTGGTATGCGCCGGTGAAGCCAAAGTCTGCGCTTCCAGCGAACAAGTAAAGTCAGGGGATAGCACTGCGGGAGAGGATCCGATGCTCGCCTGCTGAAGTTCTTCACTTCATCGAGTAGCAGGAGGCAACTCACATTCGGAAGCCTAGCTGAAATTTATTACCGACAAGCTCCGTACACGCCCTGGAACGAAGATGCTACAGCTAGCGAAACATTTATCGACACGACATGCGATGGCTTCTGGCTCTTTCGACCCACACAGAGCTCTTACTTCGTAGAGAGTGAGGAGCCTTGGAGGGGCTTCTGAAAATCTTCATAGGTAGGCAAGCTTTACGCCGATACCATTGTCAAAGAGTCCATCGCTTTGGGGACGCCACCGATGTCCATGTTGGTCTAAACCCTTCGGTCACAATCAAGGCGTGAAGAAATCTGGAGTCGGACTGCGAAGATGTCAGGCTTAGGTTATGAGCGGACCGTGGTCTAGGCGTTTGACCCGTGTGTTGCTGGACCTATAAGGAGACACCGCTTTTTCGTGGGGTGCAATGGGCTACTAGCATCTGCATCGGGCCGCGGAGTGCGATACCTAAATCTCACGTTGATTAGCTGTATATCCCGCGGGGTCGATGAAGCTGTGTCATGAAGGATCTAGTCGGCAAAGCTTGACGCGACGCCGCCTGGAAATCGAGCAACTCAACGGCTGCCCACTTCTTATCTATATATCGAGCCTTCAGACCTTCTGCTCCTCAACCATCTCTGTAAGAACTCGTTACCATTGTACTGCCTCCTGTGACCACGATGTTGACCCTTACGGCAATTTCTCCCCTGCTCTTCTCGCTAGCGTCTGCCGCAGTGATCAGCCAACCTCAACAATTGCTTGTCTCTGAGACCACGAACCTGACGAATGTGCTCAATGTCAAGAAGTTCGCCATCGACGACATGAGCGACGCCAAATTCCGTCTCCACCATGTAGCTGCCAAAGCATTGCTCGGAGAGAATTCCTACATCGCGCTTCGCGAAGCAGAAATCGATCAACGTCAACAAGACATCTGGCAATTCCTCTGGAACTCTGAGTTGAGATGCCCTGAGTGGGGAATGGATACTGAAGATCGTCCTGCGCTTGAACTACGCCCAAAGCTTTGGTTCTCGGACAATCGTGTCTTCGATGTTGATCCCGCACATGTGCCTCAAGAAGTTATCACCGCTTTGGAAGAGCTTTCAGAGAAAGAATGGAAAAATCGTCAGGAGATGAGACGCCAACGCCAGTGCAATCTCACCGAGACTGTTGACAAGGACTCTATGGCCTTGTCACCTAATACCACGGGTGAATCTGAGTATGACTGGCATATTGTTATTCCAGAGGAGTACTTACAGTACCTGATTCCCGAGAGTGCCATTGAAGAAGAAGACAGACTTTGGGATAAGATGTGGCAGGAAGAACAAGATTTGCACAGAGAGATGATTTTGGCGGGTAAGCGTTCTGTTAGAGATATGAAGATGCCTGATCTTGAGAAGTGCACGAAGAGAGAACGGAAGGTCAGAAAATTTTCCATAGATTTGTAGTCAGCTTTGAGGTGAACCGATGGTCACTTCCCATGGCGGCCTCCCATGGCGATCTGGCAATGGAGCGGAAAAGAGGAGAGGTTTGTTGATGATTCTTGTATCTGCGCATTTGTGGTTTTTCTTGATTGTAGCTGTGTATATCGATCTTTAGAGTATAGTATGTTTTGCTCTCAAGATTCAATCGGCAGATGAAGGCGTGATTAGGATTAGTTGTAAGCGGTCAAGCATGAACGACAAGCAGAGTCACCTAGCATTGCTTGTGAGGGGAGTTTCCGTGATCGTATGAGGTCTCCATGTGCCCATCTGATACAAGGATACTTTTGCAAGCTTGCGAAGGGTTGCCTCCCACCTCGACTTGGAAGATGAACATGTCTTGCATGGCTTACTTCGTCAGGGGTCAGGCGTTGGTGTTGTTGTGTCCACAGCAACGAACACCCAAATGACGGACTTTTGCCAATCGACTTGACGGGTTCTACATCACTGTCTCGCATTCCATTCCGCCAAATCGCAAACCACAACCTTCAAAAATTGCGGCGGTCTAGTCGCACACTGGCGCATCACCTTCGCCGTCTTGACAGCATGGCGGCCTCCTCAGATATTGTCGCCACGTGCTCTTCCACAGCGCTCCTCACTGTCATCGCCCCTGATGGTCGTGTCATCACGCTTCCCCCTGAGATAGTCGACATGATCCTCGAGCACCTCAGGAAGAGCAAAGGAACCCTATCACTCATTATGTGCACCAGCAATGGCATGTTCGATCACACATTCAAGCTCTTCTGGGAAAGCGCGACTCTCTCGATGCTCAACAAACTTGCCACCACTCCCGAACCTCGTCGACAGCGCTACGCCGACGTCATTCGCGAGATCAAGTTCACTATCGGCCCCAATCAGATCCTTCCTCCCCTGCATGGCATCATGTTCTCACAGCTCAAGCGACTGGCCATCATCCACGACAGCATGCAACCTGTCTACAAACCTGTGAGACCACCAGGATGTCACGTCAACTTGGCTCATTTCATGGTGTCGACTTTGACTGAAGTTCGTCTCACTCAAGCGGCTAATGCCCTTGGTGACTGCTCGATGGCCAACTTCACCGCCGGCAATTTCTTACCCCATATGGCGCGCAACTGTCCACACCTAGAAACTCTCGTCATCGACGCCAAAGTCTACGCTGCAACTCCCAGTGACTTGATTAATGTGCTTCGCTCCTGCAAAAAGCTCGAGAATCTTGGACTCGGTGCGTCGAATGGTGGCCTCGGCCTGTACCGCAACACTTTCGCTCAAGTCATTGCTCACCCTCGACTCCGTGCACTTCATCAGTGGTTTGGTCCGGGTCTGAACAAGATCAAGGACGCCCTGCAACAAGCTAGCAAACCCGCTCTTGCTAATCTGACTGACCTTGATATGATGATCGATGCTAGTGCAGTCACTTGGTTGCTACCTCACCTCTCTCAGCTGAAGAGACTTCGCCTCGAACTGGACTACGGCGGCGTCAGTGTCTTCCCTTACTTGTCTTGCATGACCACTCTCGTTCACCTCGATATCAGATACGTGGATGGGTTTATTCTCACTGGTGCCGATCTGGAAGAGCTTTTTCCTCTGAAGAAGCTCGAGGTGTTCCTCTACTTTGGCCATGAACAAGACAACCCACCTGCTCACACCAACATCGCCGGTCCTATCCGACCCTCGACCAAACCCTGCGAGCTGCACGAATTGCGTGTCTTTTCCATAGGTATGGACGACTGCTGGCATGTGCGGCAGCAACTCTTGACTATTGCTCAGAGCGCCCGCATGCTCAAATACCTGCATGTCGATGGTACCTTTGACTTCAGACTGATGGAGTCCTCCGAGTATACCCTTTACCCTGAGCTACAGGTACTGGTCGCTCCTATCGTATACGAACCTGAAACGACGGAAACTACCACGTGAGTCGCTCTATACTTGCCTTCGCTTCGCTTGACGAATCACCAATACTGACCGAACCGTCGCAATAGATCCGAACGAGCCGGCTTTCTGGCCAGTCTACTCTCCAAACACGCGCCCAAGCTGGAAGGGCTGTATTTCACCAGTTCTGGACTCGGACAAGACATCAAACGTGCTTGGGAGGTTTCGCACGAGAACCGCCAACCCGATATTGAGTCTTTCGCTGTCTACCCGCAGGTGCCATTGGGACCGAAAGTCTTGGAGTAGATTCGACATAAGAAGTAATGAGCAGGGTTTCACAGGTTCGATGTAAGAAGAGAAACTAAGAGAAGGAACTCGATATGGTGAAGCGTTAGGGATTGGAAGCTAAAACAGTCTGAAGCAGGCCACAACCGCGGGCAAACAGTATGGGGAAAAGGATCGTTGCTGCGTAGTGATACATGCAAAACTTCTCGAAATCATCTTTCCAGATCTCTGTGCACGACCTTGCCAATGGCTTTTTATTGCCCTATTTGAACTTCGCTGCATAGCCATTCGATCATAGACACCACGCTTTGATTGAGTCGAACGATGAGCTTCGCCGATTTCAACAATGAGTGCACTGGTCGATGATGAGACATACAGATATGTTCAACAATGCTCCTGTGCGAGAATTCCGTCACTCCCTCAGTTGTCCCTTCCAGTGCTGTGGTGTCCGCAGTGTTCTTGCTGTAATGATTGATGTCAAGAAACGTAGACAGGGTGAGACCCTCACCCATCAGTCTTGGCAAGACGATGAACCTGCTCTCTTGCAACTCGAGACCAGTGCTTCCAACCTCGTTTGAGCAAAGATGTAGCCCCAGAGGTAGAACGTTAGTCTTCGAAAGCATCGCCAACGACGTCGCGTGTCGTCAGCTCTCCCCGATCTTTTCTGTATCAGGGCTCGGCAGATGTCGCACAAAGTCTATTTGCGCGCCGCAAACCTTATCTCCATACTTTTGCTCGATCACATCGAGTAACACGCCCGGCGCACCTATAACGAAAGACACAGAGATACACCAACAAGCCAAGTTGCTTGGATATTCTTAGCCAAGTGACGTTGAGATAGAGATCCATTGGTGCGCCGGTCCCCATCATTACTCACCCGCTTGCGTAAGAGACAAATCCCATGCAGATGTCTATGACTTCTCACCACACTGCTCCATCTAGGTATAGACTTCGAGATACCTTTTCTCCAGGTTTTAGAAGCGATATCACTGCAGGTACTGCATTCTATCTGGTCTTCTAGAGTGCCCTGACTGGATAAATCAACCAGAATATCCTTATCTAAGGTTTTGATGATCGGCATTCAGCCACATCCCCATCCTTTTGCGCGCATGGACCCTGTTTAGGGTACGTACCCTTATCTTTAACCACAGTTCGCGCCAACAACGATGTCCATATAGTCCATGACAGCTCGCCGCTTCTCTCCACCTCTGACACACACCGATCATGACATCTGTGCTACGGAAACTTGTCAGTAACCCTTTGATGCTGCCATTGTGGTATATGTTCACTGACTATGGAACAGGAGGTCGAGCAAGACAATGGTCTGTCGAACAAAGAGTTGTTCCTCACCAACCATGACTTGAAGATTGTCGAGCCTGAACGACGTCAGTGGAGGGCCTTCAACTTTGTTGGCTTCTGGATTGCGGACTCGTTCAACATCAACACTTGGATGATTGCTGCTTCCTCGCTCGATAATGGCTTGTCGTGGTGGCAGGCCTGGATTTGTGTCTGGTAGGCAGAGCTACCATATCATAGAAAGTTTGTTGTCTAACATGTCGTTCAGGGTTGGCTACAGTATCTCGGCATTCTTCATTTGCTTGACTGGTCGCGTTGGTGCCGTCTACCATATCTCGTTCCCAGTCATGAACAGGGCTTCTTTCGGTATCTTTGGTTCTTTGTGGCCTGTATTGAACCGTGCATTGATGGCATGGTGAGCCTCAAAGTTGTTCTAGAACGAGGCGACCTCTCTGACAAGCTTCTAGTATCTGGTATGGCGTACAAGGCTGGATTGGTGGCGAGTGTGTCTACCTCATGATCCTCGCCATCTGGCCCTCTTTCGGCACACGACCCTCGTTGACCAAGGGGATTGCGCTTGGTGGCACTGTCAATTACCTCATTGCCTTCGTACTCTTCTGGGCCGGCTCTCTACCCTTCATTTGGTTCCCCGTCCACAAGATTCGCCATTTGTTCACTGTCAAAGCCGTCGTCGCACCCACTGCTGGTATTGCTTTCCTCATCTGGGCACTGGTCAGAGCGCATGGCGCAGGCAAGATCATCCACGAACCTGCCAAAGCTCATGGTTCCGAGCTTGCTTGGGCTGTCATCACTGGCATCATGTCTTCCGTCTCCAATTTTGCGACACTTATTGTTAACGATCCTGACTTTTCTCGTTTCGCCAGCAAGCCCAGCGATGCTTTGCTTCCTCAATTCATCACTATTCCTGTTGGTTTCGGCCTTACCTCTCTCATCGGTATTCTTGTCGGCTCAGCTTCAGCGGTCATCTACCCTGAGCTTGGTGCAGTCTGGAACCCTCTGGAGCTTCTCAAAGCTTTCATCACTGAAGATGGCCATGGTAGCGCAGGCGCAAGAGCAGGCGTCTTCCTCATTGCCGCCGCTTTCGTCGTTGCACAACTCGGTACCAACATCGCCGCAAACTCCATCTCTGCCGGTACAGACTTGACTGCTCTACTCCCTCGTTACGTCAACATCCGCCGTGGTGGCTATATCTGTGCTGTCATCGGTATTGCTATTTGTCCTTGGCAATTCGTCGCTGGCTCGAGCACGTTCACGACCTATCTTTCTGCTTACTCTGTTTTCCTCTCTGCCATTGCTGGACCTATGGTTATCGACTACTACTGCGTTCGCAAGGGATACCTCCAAGCCCGCGACTTGTACAGCGCCGACGTTAATGGCCCTTACTACGGCAAATTCGGCATCCAATGGCGAGGCTACGTTGCCTATATCTGCGGTATCCTGATCAACGTCGTAGGTTTTGCTGGCGCCTGTGGTGCGTCAGTACCTATTGGTGCAACTTACATCTACCGTCTGAACTTCTTTACTGGCTTTATCGTTAGTGGTGGAGTGTACTATTTGCTTTGTTTGGTGGCGCCGGTCAAAGCACCAAATCCTATGGGAAGTTGGCTCGAGGCTCCGGAGCCGGATGAGGAGGATCTCAGTAATGTGGTCAGTCATGGTCAAGATGCTGGGGACTACTCGACTGCTTTGGATGTAGAACAGGAAGGAGGCTTCTTCAGAAAGAAGATGGATGCTATCTCAAAAGCTCTGTAGAGCAAAAGAAATTTGAAGTTTTCATATATCTACCAACATTACTTGAAGAGAAGCAGGTTCCAAAAATATATCTCATCCACGACCTCGCAGAGACGAATCGCTTTCAACCTGCCAGAATCCCATGATAACCTTTATAAGTGATCAAAGAAACAAGTTTTCCTCTCGTCGAAAAGAGTAATACCACGTGAAGAATTCTTGCGTCAATCTAGCTATGATTTTCGTCCGTATTTAGCTCCAACTGTTTCGCTCTCCAGGAGGTAGCGAGCAGAAGTGGAAGGGGCTGTTGGCGCAGACTCATCGTCGCGTCCAGTATAGCAAGCAAACAACCATCTGAGCAGATCCTTCCATGAGCTTTGTGTGTAAGGGCTTTGTTCTTGCTTGCTGCCCAAATCCGGCTCTGAAGCCATGTTTTGCACCGCTTCTCGCTTTGTAATATCGCTTTTCTGGATGGAATGTCGTCTCTTTGTTCGAATGAAGCCTTGATACAAACATTCAGCGATGCCTCTTGCGGAAGCATCAGATATGTCAGCAATCCTAGTCGACAAGCTGTGTCAGAAACTTATAGGACGACGTGCTTCGTGATTAAATTGAAAGAGAGCCTGAGAACACTGCAAAGAAAGGTAACACAACGAGAAGAAAGGCAAATGGGGGATAGGTACAAGTATATACCGGGAAAAGCTCGTTGACAGTTGCTTCGTCCATCTCTTATCTGACTGTCTTCACTACTAGCAAAGATATAGAATCGCTCTGTTGCGCAAGAGCTTCCTCCGAACATCACAGCTCCAGATCATAGAAGACTTTCGACTGATGACACAAGATTATATACTATGCCCTGCCATATTGCAATATGTCGGCTATACATGCTCAGAGAACTATCCAAGACGATCCAATCTCCGAGGGTCAGTTCACTTATCGCATCATCATCTCAGGCCTCGACGGGGTATCTGTCAACGATGACAGCTAGGAAGATCTGAAACAAGCCTACCCTCGCCTGCATGGGCACATGCTACATATTTATGCCCGTACCATCACGAGGATCACCACGGTCGACCGCCAAGGTGTAAGAAGATGGAGCGATCACAGATCCAGAACAAAAGATGGGAAAACAAGTTTGTATAACGGTGTGATAGGGTTTGTTTGCTAAATGAACTCGAACCTGGAGGATAGACCGAAAAACGACGCCGTTGGTCTCGATCACGGAAAATTCACCACCTTCAAAATTTCTTGTATCGCTCGCTCACAGTGTCGCTGTGTCGCTTTCATACCATATATCTTCTCGCCCAGAGCTCCTTGTTATCAATTTTCTCCTTCTTCCATCACACTGAATCAAGATCTGCCTATCTATACCACTAAGATGGGCCATCCACAGAAACAAGCCCTTGGCGATATCAGGTACGTCACTCTTTTGGAACAGCCATCACGCTCATAATCTGATCACATCGTAACAGTCACGAGAGCGAAGTCCCTCCACAGAGCCAGCTTCCTCCCTTCACAGCCGTTGCTCCTCGCTCAAGACCTTCCAATCTCCAAGTCACTCACGCCAACGCTCCACCTTGCCAGTCAATAAAGCCACATTGCGCACTTCGTGACTATGAAATTGTGGCCAACGTCTTGTCATACCTCAAGAACGAACCCAAGGACCTTGCCGGAGTATTCAGAACCTGCTCGCTCTTCTTCCAGGCTGGAGCTCGCATTCTCTGGGAAGAAGCACAGCCTCGTGACTTGTTGTGCATTCAGGATCTTCGACGTCGACTCGAGTTTGCCCAATTTCTCAAGAGTCTCACGCTTTGGAACCGTAACCAAATTTGCGCGACTGAAGGAATAATCGACTCTACTTCGTGGCGCCTCGAGGCACTGGCGGTCTACAACTCTGGCAGCAGTGCTTTACACAGCAGCCTGATCATCCCCTACCTGAGCTCGAGCTTGCAAAAGCTCACAGTTGATGATGGCGCTTTGAGTCTCGGAGAACGTCAGCATCATTTCCTCGACCAGGATTGCCTTGGGCACATCACAGCCACTTGTCACATGTTGTCTGCTCTCGACCTTGATGTTGTACTTGATGTCACCTCCCGTCAGCTATCTCAATTCTTCCAGAGCATGCCGCATCTCAGAACCTTACGTCTTGGCAACTATTTGGAGACGGTCCTGGATCATGCTGCGATGTCTGCTGTATTCACTATGCCTAACCTCAAAAGACTCGAACTCAAGCCCTTAATCAGTCATCAACTCGCGGAAGGACTCATCAACACCACCGAAGCTCAACAGATCCTTCCCAGCGTCAGATTCTTGGAGATATATCTTACAGAAGGCGATAGCTCTGCGCCTGGCGACCTGCTGCGCACTTTGACGACAGTCGAAAGTTTGACCATCACTGTTCACAATGCTAGCGAGTGGCCTTCAATGCTGCATCCAAACCTCTGCGACGGCATTAGTAATCTGTTGAGCCTGAAATGCTTGAACATACATCTGGACCGCGGAGTGGACATGATTGACCAGGATCTGGCCGCCCTATATCCCCTGGAGAACCTCACCGAGCTCGGTCTATGGCCGCTGCATGCCGACGGTGATTCGGACCAGGACGCCAACAATCTGCATGTCTCCACTTCTCACTTTAGAGACGCACTGTACGTTCTTGAGTTGATCAAGTCAGCCACCGTCGACCTTGTCTGGACCGGCATCCTTGCTCCTGACGAGAGTAAAGAACTCCATGAGCGCGGTGCCGCCTTTTCTCGCTACTGGACCTTGCAATCAAACATCATCAGCGACGAGGATGCTGGCGTCTGTGACGACCATGAAGATCTCAAAGCGAGCGAGGTGACTCATGACGACGTTTGGAAGGGCAGTCAGAAGGCTTTCTCGCCTGATCCAGTCCCTTGGGTTGACCGTGACTTAAACATCTTCACCGACAAGCAAGGCCACATCCTCCCTATCGAGGAGATTGTGTCAGACGGCAGCTTCAACTTTCTCAGCTGAACGGAAGCATCGAGCATGCTATATCAGCTGAGACGGTGCTTCCTCTCAACTTAAATCGGCCGATCTCGCAGAAAACACGTTTCGCTCAACTCTTGACCCATTTCCTTCAGTTGTTCACACAAGTCACTGCGCTTCGTCAAGACAATTCTCCCTTAATGCTTTCAAGCAAGCTTTACTCTTTCTGTTTCCTCATGGTTTTCCTCTTTTCGCATCAATCTCTTTGGTCTTCAGAGCATGCGGCGAAGGCTCGATCGTTCAGCATTGCATCAATGTTACACTAGGGCATAAGGAGGTCCACAGTCGCATTTGCGTTGTTTTCCATTTTGCGCTTGCTCTGCTTTGGTCCCTTTTACTCGTTCTGTCGTTTCACTGAATGGCAAGCATATCTTATATCTGAACGAGACTCTACGGGGTACCTTCCCTCATGCGGTGTACTAGTTTATGCAAATAGAGAGTCAATCACCCCATCGAATGCTTGAGCACTCCATTGCATGCTTTAATGCTGGTATAAAGTAGTTGAGCTTCGCGGACGCACGGCCGAGCGCGGGGGAGATTGCGCAGATGAAGTGTTCGAGCATCTGAACCCCTTCGAGCTTTCGACCATTCTAATCTTTGTTTGCTGACAGCGAAATGGCGGGGTGGGCAGTTCATTGCCATACGATAACGTTGAAGGTATCAGCCTTATAGATCCTCCGGTACCCGAACCTTTCTGTATTAGGAAGGTGGCGCAATATGCAGATTGGCTTGGTAAGATTTGGCGCAAGGCTGCAACAACTGAAGGATTCGTTGAGTCCGGGCTGCCAGCAGCAGTTTGATTGGAAGGCAGCTACCACGGAATCTGGAAGGTCAAGGTTCCCGGCATGTCTACATAAGCTGTGGCTCAACCTTCGTCGCCTATTCTGATAGCACACCTTCCTCACTCTCGCTCTCTATTCGCAATCTTTGTACTCGCTACAGCTCGCACTGATCCTACCGCTCTATCAGTAAAAGACACGCCTTACCTTTCTCAGCAATACTCGAGACTGATTGAGATCACTCGAAGCTTGTACTGGCCACATACATTACTCCCTTTCCGACCCTCTTCAGCATGCAAATCTCCGAATATGATCTGATCATCGTCGGCGGAGGCACCGCTGGCTGTGTTTTAGCAAACCGCTTGTCAGAAGACCCAAATGTGTCAGTGCTCGTCTTGGAAGCTGGCGAGGATTGCAGTGACGACGAACGTGTCTATACGCCAGGTCTGGCTGGCAGCACCTTGGACAACCCCGACTTTGATTGGCAATACGTTGCAGAGCCATCTCCTTCTTTGAACAATCGACAGATCAAGCATCCTCGTGGCCGCGCGATCGGTGGCAGCAGTGCAATAAACTCGCTGGCGCTCATCTATCCTTCAGCCTCCGACATTGATATTTGGGCCGAGCTTGGAAATGACGGCTGGGATTGGAAGACGTTGGCGCCATACTTCCTCAAGTTTCAGACTGTTGTGCCGCCCAACGAAGAAGTCAAGAAGCAGCTGAATATCATCCACAGTGACGAAAGCATTCGCAAGTCCAAAGGACCAATCCAAGCTTCGTTCCCGTCAGAGGTTTCGACACTTCACAAGACTTGGATCAACACTTTCCGCACGCTGAACCTTGAGAATGTCAGCGATCCTCTGACTGGACATGCTATTGGTGGGCACACTTCAACTTGCCATATCTCTGGAGATCGTCATGAACGCAGTCACGCAGGAGTGGCATATCTGGATCCCGTCCTCGATCGCCCAAATTTGACGATTGTCACCAATGCAATGGTTCACAGATTGATGATCGACAAAGACGATTCAGTACCAATTGTCCGTGGTGTCTTGTTCTCCGAGCACGGTGTCCTCCGTAGAGTGGCGGCCAAAAGAGAAGTGATCCTTTCAGCCGGTACCTTCAACACCCCTCAAATCTTGGAGCTGTCTGGTATCGGCGATCCCACGATTATTGAACAGCATGGCATTGAGACCGTCTGCGCCAACCCAGCCATCGGAGAAAACTTACAAGACCACATACGATCAGGCCTTTCGTTCGAGGTCACTAACGAGGTTCCAGCACGTAGACCCAGTCCCACCGAGGAACAACGTAAGGAGTTCAGGAAGAATCGATCTGGACTTTTGGCTGAAAATGGCGCCTTTTTGTTTTCTTACACGCCACTTACACCTTTCTTGGATCAAGACGAACGCGAGGACTTGAAGAATCTCCTCGACAAGCATCTGATTGACGATGATACCTGGACACCATTCGAGCGCAAGCGCAACAACTTCATCCGCAAAGCTATTGAGTCTGCCAACGAAGCGACCGCCGTGTCCTTTTTGTCTCGGGCTCCCTATATCGAATCGGAGAAAGGTAACTTTGTCTCTTTCAACTCCATGCTGTCTCATCCTTTCTCTGCCGGAAGCGTTCATATCACGTCCGCCGATCCCCGCACGAAGCCCAAGATCGAAGCCAACTACCACTCCCACCCTCTTGATCTGGAGATCCATGCTCGACATATGAAAGCGCTGGACAAGCTCGCAAAGACGGAGCCAATGGCATTCTACCTTGTACCTGGAGGGAAAAGACTTCCCAAAGCATACTTCGAGGATACGATGGAGGACTACAAAGAGGTGGTGCGGGCTTATGCAAGGACAAACTACCACCCGTGCGGTACATGCTCTTTGGGTACTGTGGTGGACAGTCGTCTGAACGTGAAGGGTGTGCGCAACTTGAGGGTTGTGGATGCGAGTGTCATGCCCATGATACCGAGGGGAAATATTATTGCCACGGTGTATGCGGTTGCTGAACGTGCTGCTGATATCATCAGCGATGAATTGGGCTTTCAGAGGTGCACTTGAAGACAAAGTGAGGGCGGTGGTCGTACCATCCTGCAGCGCATTCTGCAGGAGCTCTCCTGCAAATCACTTTTCCACGTTTCTTGGTGAAAGGCTGTCCATTCTCTTGTCGATCGAACTAGAATGTATAGTCTCCGACAGCGACCGCCTCTTATTATTCCAGACGTATGCACGATTTTCGGCAACAATCATTCATCTCGCAAACAATGCTCACGTCCATTCACACCGTTGGCATTGTTCCAGATCATTCTTAACAACTATCGTCGCCCTGCCATGACTTGCATATATGAGCAAAATTTCATGATCGTTGGGTGACTCGGCGAGATACCTCCCATGAGAAGTAGGGGAGTATGTTACAAAGAAGGATGTCACGACACCTGTCTTTGTTCTTGTACACCGGAATTGGAGCTTTTGAGTGTGCCTGTTCTTGCTTTGTGCAACATCCCTATCCAGAGCTCATGGTGGAGCATGTCATGCCAACCTTTGCCATGTCCTGCGATCACTTGCAACATAGCTTCGGGACAGGCCCTTGACTAACCTGAATGTATGATCCGAAAGACCAAGCTTTATATGGAGCAACGTTATCCATCAAGCCCGGGAGTGCGTACGATATATGAATGATCGCTGATACCATTGCCCTGAGTCTATCGATGCGGCAGCCACAACTTTCCCATCGGTAGGTCACGACGATATCTCAGGGGATCATTGTATTCCGCCCAGACGTTGCGGATATTTGCGTGATGACGTCGTTGAGGATGATTCGTTTTGGGAACAGCCGCGAAGGAGGTCGCGAAACTTTCACTCCCGCGTCGTTCTCACAAGTGCTCAGAGCAAGCGCAGAACTTACAACCGCCGCATTTCCACACATCCACAACTCACATCACTTTTCGATGGTGCGCATTCACGCTTGTTCATCAGCTCCTTGATACCAGAGCTGCAAAGCACATCCTCTGAAGCACGGCATCATAGGTCCGCCTTCCCAAGACACCCCTGACTCGGCCGAGTGAGTGGTGACCTATCACCTCCAGTATATATATTTGCTTATCCGAGTGCTTCCAGTACCGATCAGTCTTACGCATCCATCACAACCCAGTCTACAAGCAAGAAGACCAACTCAAGCGAGTCTATATTCCAACCCCGTAGCTTGACCGCTCTCAGCAAGCCACGCAGAAAGCGCACCCAGGCTCGTGTGCAAGTCAAAACATCTAGGCGTCTCGAGACTGATAGTAAGCTGATTGACACGCCTCTGCAGTACATCCATCAATCATCACGGAGTTCTTGGTGACGGATCTCTTGTTGAGAGGATCCTCTCATTCCTCAGAGATCATCTCAGCGCTCTCTCAAAGCTTTACAGAGTGTCAAAACTCTTCCAAGAGGTCGGTACACAGTTTCTTTGGAGTTCAGCCACCATCAAGAACATCGCCAGCTGCGTTAAAGACACCAAAAACCTCTCACGTTACGCTTCCTTCGTGGCCGCCCTGAACATCTCCACCTCTCAAGAACTCTGGCCTGAGGGAGTTGAGACTCGTCCAGCCTTGACCAGACTGAAGAAGCTGAAGCTCTGCGCCGATGTTTTACAAGTCGACGAACCGCAATTTCTCATTCCGTACCTTCCCGCAGCCCTCCAGCGCCTTGATCTCTGGACTAGCGTGCGCGGCCAGCAGGAAAACCTCGACCCGCACCTCGACCAAAGCTGGCTGGCACATGTCGGCATCACCTGCCAAAGCCTGACCAAGCTTTCTATGCAGTCGTACTCGCGCGTTTCATCTGCTGATTTGTCCACGTTCTTCCGTCGGATGCGTCAACTCAAGGCCGTCAGGCTGGGAAGGGAGATGAACTCTGTTCTCAGCGACGATGTCATGATTGAGGTCTTCACGCTCCCTCACCTTGAAGACTTGTCGTTGGACTTCCACCTCGACCACGCCTTCGTCAAAGCGCTGAGGAACGACAAGGATGCTGAAGACATCTTGCCTTGCATCAAGAATCTCGAAGTCAGCTTCTCAGAAGGCGGGGGTCTCGCTCCTGCTCTTTTGCTGGCTGTCCTTCCTACCGTTGAACAACTCTGGTTGACGCTCACACAAGTCACCGAAGGCCAGCCTGTGACTCTTCACCCTGCTACCTTCGAGATGTTGGGCTCGATGAGAAAGCTCAGAGCTCTCCAAGTTGAGTTCCAGCCAGGAATGCAAATCACCTACAACGAGCTGGCAGCTTTGAGTAGCCTTCCGAGCCTCATGAGCGTGCACATCGCCCGTACGTACCGTCCTGGCGGCCCTCGCACAGACGATCTGGTGGTCTCTGGCCATGAGCTTGCTGCTTCCCTTCTCGGATTCAGCGCTCTCGAAAGTCTTTGGCTCAGCATCATGCCCGCTCGCATCAATGCCTTGTACGACGAGGCCCAAGTCATCTACCACCGCCTTGCTCAAGTTTACCCTGGGGGCTTCCCAAGTCGCATCACCCTTGTCGTGGATGAAGTAGCCTCATTCGGTTGGCCATTGTTCGAAGCTCCTGAGCACACTGTTCAGGTTGCTGCTTCCGACCTCATTTGGCAAGCTAGCTCGAAGAACTTCTCACCAGATCCCGTCCAGTGGACCCCTCGCAACCTCAACCGCTACAATGACCACAACGGCATTGCCCTTCCCTTGAACAAGGTCGTCACCGACGGCGTCTACAACCACCTCACCGACCGCGGAACTTGAGCTCCCCAAATTCAGCACAACTGATCCACTTTGATCACTCTACTTGTGGCATTGCATCTGCGTAGGTGTCGTCAATCAATACTTCTTACCTCATGCACTCATGGCCGGGAGTATGGAACACAATACTAGAGGCAGCTGTCAACTTCCTCCGAGACATACGCACAACGTAGTGTCTCAACCGATGCATAATTCTCCCCGAGTTTTTGGAAAATCGCGTTGCTTTCTTTTGTTCTTTTGGTCATATGATGGATAGGCAATTCCTAGGAGGAAGTAGTCAGGAAAACAACAAAAGGGAGGAATTACAAAGGGATGATGATCAGTGGGTCTCGGAAACCATGATTGTGGGAAAGCAGGAGATATTGTCAACAAGGGAAACAGGAAGTGAGAGAATCAAAAGCGCCCCTCAGAAACGACAAGCAGGGAGCTAGACCGCGCGTTTCCTTCGTTCTTTTTTGTTTTTTCGTCAATCACTGGTAACAAGTTGGTCTTGCTTTGTCTTCTTGTGAGAAACCAAGCCGAATTGAGTTCTTTGTCTTGTTTTGAGGCCCTCATTGCATTTTCGAGATGATTTTGTACTTGCCTGCGACGGCCCTCCAGCTTATATCATACTGCTTCCATGAGCCCTATGAATCTGCTGACTCGACCTTTGAGCTCTCATTCTCGTGCTGGCAGGTATTATGCTGAGGACCAAAGAGCTGAACACAATAGAGCTTATCGAAAGAAATCTTATCAGCCTCAACAAGGTACGTCTGCAAGTTGTTGTGTGGAGAGCGCGCAATACTCTGACTCTTCTCTAGAATGGAGTGTTCGAGACGTGGTGGTGTTCCTCACCAGCCTTCTCGTCGTAGTTACTTTTAATCGCTTGTCCAAATTGTCTCTGGCTATACTGCACAGACTTTTGCTGCTCATACACCCATCCTACTGAAGTAAATACCGAATACACACTTTTATTTTTCTAGTTGTGCTAATCGTGCCCTTCTCCTCTGCAGTAACTTCCTTTACGTAGACCTATCAAAATGCAAGAATGTCTCCTCATAACCAAGTGTTTTCACAAAGACGTCTCGTCGATTGGCATTCCCTTGGTCAACGTCAGGTATAAAGAGTGCATCTTGCCTTTCTATGCGCACCAAAAACCAATACTGGGAGCTTAGAGTAGCATGTGAAGAATTCCTCTCCTTGCTCAGGCTCCGACATATGAAGCAGATCTTGCCTTTCTGTAGGCATCAAAAATCAGTAATCGTGGCTTGGATTAGTGTGCTGGTCGATCTTGAGTTTCACTCGGGGGCCGTCAGGTCGTCGACACGATTGATCGTCGTGTTTGCTCGTAGCTGTCGACGGTGTATTGTCCAGGTTTCCTGACGACACTCAACTCTTCCTCAGTTCAGAACAGCTCTGCCCGAAAAAGTTCCTCCTCCCTGTTAGTATGATCAACACGATGACATCTCCTAGCGAGCGTGTCAGGCGTGCGCACCCAGCAGAGGTTGCGTGAGTGCAAAGAACTGCAACACTTGCGCCTACAGATTACTGATCGTGATGCTCCTAGTCCCCATCCTTCTGAGCTGCGCAATCCCATACTCTACAATGACGATCACCATCCCCTGCTCAAGCCAGAGATCGTCGCCATCGTTCTCCAGCACATCAACGACGACGAAACTAATGATGAAGACAACGACGACCCTAAAGTCCAAAGCATCGCCGAAAGCATCAGAGTCTGCCGCAAGTGGTGGATCGAGAGTCATCACCTTCTCTGGCATCGAGTTCAACTTCGCGACCTCCTGTTCTACGTGCAAGATCCCATGCGCCGCCGCCACTACGCCTCTCTTGTTCGAAGACTCGACTTCAAGCCCGATGACACCACTCTGTCGACCGAAGAGATGGCGGATGCAGCGCTGAGCTTTCCTCGTCTTCATTCTGTCTACATCAACGAGACGAACATGCTCAATGTCCGCCCCGAGAACATTTCCGCCCTGATGTCACCTAGTCTGCGACTGTGGTCTGTCGACAACGACTCCGACACATCATCTAATCGGAACTACAACAGAGACAGCAGAATCTACTTGCACGCTCTTCTTGAAGTCTGCGGCGGCTTGACACAGCTGGACTTTGACACTAACTTCGTTATTCACAAGCTGCCTCTAGTCCTCTCAATTCTAGAGCGCATCGACTCCATCGAGGTCCTCAACCTTGGCGATGTCGCAGAGTATCTTGCGAACAAATGTCCACAAGATTTCTTTTCGAGGTTGTTCAACAAGCCACGACTGGCCGAGGTGGACTTCCCGCACGCAACATCGTTCTCCCAAGTCGAGGTCGATACGTTCCTCGACAAAATGGGTCGGACCTGGACTATGCCCTCACTTGAGTCACTTGCAAAGCCCAAATTCGACACTGGTACTGCAGCAGCTCGCCTTCTCAGCCGTATGCCCAACCTGGTCAACATTTGGCTCCATGTGGACGGCCGGCACAACGACATTGATCGACTCTTCATCGCAGCTGGTAGGCTGGAGAATCTGGAGCTGCTAGACGTGGGCTTAAGCATGTATCGTTGCAACTTCGATGGCTCGTGGCTTCTTCAGCTCACTAGCCTGGAGCATCTCAGTGGTTTTGCTCTTGAGGTACAAAACCCAGGCGCGATCTCTCTGACTGGCGCGCAGCTGGCGCAATTCTTGACCAGCCTTCCCAAGCTTGAGCTCTTGGTTCTCAATCTGCGCTTTGCCATTGTGTGGTGCTCGCCGGAAGAGAAGATTGCTATCGAAGAAGCAATCGCCAAAATTGAAACAGTGAAACTCCCTGGCATGACCTTTGCCGTGGAGCAGTCAGTCTGAAGAAAGAGGAGGAGAATATTGCTTACACCGTCCAACTGCATCACGCTCGACACTCTGGTGCTGCTTTTATAGCAGTCTTCACATCGCACGCTCTCTGCAATTTTTTCTTTTTTTTTCTTCTTTTTGGTCCAGTCCAATTCGCAGCAAGTTTAACAATTGCTTTGCGAAAGGAGGAGGAGAATGCTTCCAACAACGTTTCACTGCATCGCATGCCCCATTTCTGTCCTGCTGCCATAGCAGTTTCCCCAATACACGCTCTCTATTCTTTTCTTTTGCACAGTCCCCAATCCGTAGCAAGGCAGCAATTGATAGTTCATTCAAGCACTCGTGATTACACAGTGCTCCCTATCAATAAAAGCAAAACTGTTCAGAGGTTTTACTGGCGTCCGTATATTAAACTCCTCACTTGTCATCCCCCCAAGACAATTGGCAGCTGCTTCCAAGGTTGTGGTTCGCAAATTTCGAGGTAACGAGCGGACAAACAGGGGACCTTTCACAGCAACAAAAATTGATTGAAAGCCATTGACATGATAGCAGATTAGCTAAACGCGCTTGACAGATATTAAGAATTGCATCTTTTGTTTCGTCTTTCGAAGAAAGTGCTGGCCAGCATGAATGAGCAGGGTGGCCTTTCTGACATCAGAAGTTATGGCCGTTTGATGACTGAGCGTTCTTGTAGAGCTTTTCGATATGATGAATATCACTGCAATGTACAGGCTGGCGTCATCAAGCAAGCAGATAGCCGTTTTTGCAACCATCGCATGCCAGGATCATCATCGTGAGTGTGATAGCTTCTATCTACTTCAGAGGGCTTGGCTAGTGTACTTGCAATCCGTAATCTCCTCGTCTCAATTTCTCCCAGAGCGTCACACTGTAAGCCTCGAAGACAAGTCTGGAAAGTTGACCCGCCATTATCTTCCGAAGCCGCTCAGTCTACCTTTCCAGCGCGCATCGCATTACTTTTCACAAACCACCCAAACGCATCGTGTGAGAACTCAACTTCATCACTCGTAAGCCCATCAACCATGATCATAAAAGTATGAGCACCAATAGCCGTCAGTATATGCCACCATCCATGCAACTCAAACAGAAAACCCCAAGGAATGCCTACTTTGCGTTTGAGCGCTGTCAGCTGTGGGCAGGAGATAAAATCGAGTTGCCAGAGTAGGTAGCCAAATGCGAAACAACCTAGACAGTGACGGTGAGTTGAGGTCCCAGATTTGTAAAGACGGACATACCTGCACCGAAAATGGTTGCATTTTGCAGCATTTGCTTGTCTAGTGGGTTGTGCACGCGAAGCTTGATTAGAGATCTGGTTTTGCTCGCGACCACGATGATGAGGACCACGAAGCTCAGTTCGTGGACTATTTGCTCGTCTTTGATGGTGTGGTATGCTGTCTCTGTGATCGCGGCGAGAACAAGTAGACCACCGAACCAGCGACTGTAGGAGTCACTGCGCTGATATGTCATTGCGCGGTGTAAGACAATCGATGTCGCGATGATCATGGACGTATCATCGGCTTTGGTGTCAGACTGTCAGACCACATATAATTCTGAGTTTCGAACGAGTGCGAACTGACCCATTTGAGCGTGGTACTTTAACAAGCCATGAAACAAGCTCGAGCAGATACCAACAAGTGCTAAACCATAGTAGATGCTCTTTGCTGCGAACGGTGCGCTCGTGGGCATGCGTCGAAGCGCACGAATCGCATACAGAACTGCGGCGTTGTTGGTGAAGGGTCAAGCGGTCTTTCGAGAAATCCTAACATACTGTAAGCGGCATTGCTACACGTATTGACGAATTCAGCGATCCAGCTGACGATGACAAAATCCTGTTCGCAGAAGCTGGTGACACATTAGCCTGATGCCTCAAGTAGAGTCGACGCGGAACGCACTTTGCTCGAGCGGTGGGGCTGCCGAAAGTTGGCGCGAGGGGCTGAGCGCGATAGTCTATCGAGGGAAACATGATTGAATTGGAAGAGGGCTCAGGGAAGTGTCGTTGGATCTGAAGCTAGGGAGGAGTGGGAGTCGCTGCATGAACATCTCGGGAAGGATCAAGAGCTTGGCAAACACTCGTGTCTATTTTTGGTTGCCTGCATATTCTTCTGAAGCTACTGAGTATCGTTTGTAACTTCTCAAGCTCCGTCTGCTCTTCGTCACGACCTTGTCAATCTCTTCTGGTCGCTTCACTTGGATGGTCAAAGGAAGAAAGCACAAAAGAAAGAGCAAAATCTTGTGGAGCGGCACCCAACTCCAACGACCTTTGACCCAGTTGTCCCTTATTCTTTCCCTGAGGCCCCTGTCCCCATGAGAAAGATAGCTTTTGGAGTAGACTTGATCGCCTGTACGCTTCGTGAACGTCGCTAATCGTTAGAGCCGGTCAAGTGGTGACAGAGACAGCGACAGCGTTAGCGTGATCATCTTCGGCTAGCTCGTGCAAGTAGTTGAGATACTGCTGGCGACAGCTGTGGTGCTCAAAGTGCCGCCTTCCCAACATTCACACAATAACTCCCTTTGACTCTCCATGAATTCGCAGTCGATCAAAATCTCAAACCTTCCAAGAGAGGGCATTGCCTGGATCATCCCTGCCAGCTCCCCTGCGGTCGTACTGCATCTAGTAAGAGCATAGCTACCCTTTGTGTAAACTTTGAATGACTCGAGTCTGGTCAGGGCTCTAAACTTGAGCATGACGCTGCCAGTCAGCAGCACATCCCAAATAGTGAGCTCCAGGTGCTCTAGTGCATGCATTTTCGAGAGCTGTCTCAGAACAATGGCATACTCTTCCCAGTCAGCGTCGATGGTTACCTTGACACTCTTGAGGCAAGGTGCAAGGGCGTTGACAAGGAGGTGCTCATTGGCGCTGCCAAGCGAGACGGACGTGAGATGCTGTGCGTTCTTGACAAAGTGATGAAAGTTGAGGGTGTCAATCCACAAGCCACTGCCCAATGTGATTGACGTGAGGACCGGACAGTTCTGAGCCATGAAATGGAGCCATGAGACTCCCCAAAGCTCGCAAAGAAGTAGAATGCCATCATCCCAACGACTGGTAGCATCATCTTCGACCACTAGTCGTGTCAGAGTCGGCACGAAGATGGTAGACAACTGCTCGACTGTTCTTGCGCACAGGGACGCGGACTCGCACACAGCACTGGTGATACGAGGCTGGCATGGAAGTGGTCTGGTGGTTGGGAATCCGGGTCCATAGCCCCAAAGTCGGGCTCGAAGTGTTTACTTGTGAAGGCTTGGCATTTGGCGTGACGGACGAGTGCAGCATAACCTGAGAAGCGTTGGTCGGCTTTATGCCTACATTTTATCATGGGCAAAATAGGGTTGACCCAGTCTTCCCACGCAGCATCGAAGCGATTCTTGTATCCCGCTGTACGCGACCGGTCAACACCTACACCTTAGGATAAACCATAGCACATTTCGCACCTTGTAAGGCGATCAATAGCTCTAACAGAATCTCTTCTACAGGTGGGAGGTTAACAAATTTCTTTATGAATCAACGACTTGAGTACTCTAGACAGGTCAAGTTGACTTGTAACTACTAAGTGCCTAGCTTGACAAGAGAAAAGCGAAGGCTCTAAGTTGGATTATATACAGTGTTGTTCCACATGATTCTTTGGCGTCATATCAAGAATGTGGTGTGGCAAGCCATGGAGTTTTAACGATGTTGGCGAAGTTTTGTATCGGGTCTTGAGTATAAGTAGCATCTTTTCTTGCAATGTTGTCCGCTGAGTGGAGTACCACGTTCTGACAAGCAAGGACTTGGCTGCATATGTCCTCAACACTAACTCAAAGTCCGTGCATCAAATTGGCATATAGGCGATGACTAGCAGAACATGCTCGTTCTTTGAGAATTGAATTGGTCAAACAGATGTAGACTGTCAAGACCATCTTGTGACATAACATTCGGCTGCACAAGGTGTAATAATTCCACCTATAGCTTAGCCATCTCCAAGGGCAACGACTTGATGGTCGCATAACCATTCGATAAGCATAACCTCCCATCACTCTTTGCTATCGTCTCGAACACGAGATGATCCAGAGCTTCTTCGGTCTTGACCTTCCATATCTTCGTCTCTAATACATCGCCCGGGTATACGACATTCCTGAACCTCGCGCCATATGTCATGAACCTAGACGGATCCGACCCTCCCTCTAACCTCAACACCTCATGCGCGACGATGTTCCACGTTCCTAATCCCTGGAGGATGTGTCCTTCAAATCCCGCAGGTTTTCCAAACTCGTCATCTGCATGGAGGGGGTTGTAATCACCGCAGAGCCGGTACAACATGGCAACCTCTTCTGTAGTGTGGAAAGTGGAAATCGCATCTGGTTCGTGTGTTGGTACCTTCACGGCAACCTTCTTTGGTCCGCTTGGTCCCCCCAGCCCTCCTTGCTTCATGGCGACGCCAGCATTGCTCATCCGGGTGTATACCTTGTCCGTCTTTGCATCGACCAATTCCGCAAGATGTTCCACGACTAGGTTGCCACCCTTGTCCCAGACACCAGTGCAACGGTTCCGCACTTCCAGGTCAAGTCACTCGGAGCTGACGGGGATAGGCGTGACGACTTCGATGCCACGCTCGCCGTCAACGGAGCGTTGAGGATCGAGAGGTGGGCAGCCAGGTATCCGGGTTTTGCCCAAATCTCCCAAGAAGTCGAAGACGTCTTGGTTGGTGCGCTTGAAAGCTAGGTTGATGGGGAAGGTAGGGAAGGCCGAGAAGCAGGGGTGTAGTTCGTATAGGAAGTGGAGCTCGTTCTTCTTGACGCCAATGGCATTGGCCTGAGTGAAGAGAAAATGGTAAGAGACAAGGGGACATGGGTGAGCAAGTAGAGTCATGCCGCCGAAGTGGAAAAGGACATAGGATGTGATCGTGAAAGGGAGGCGTCAATGACAGTCACAGATTTACTCAAGAACAATGGGACGTCACGTCGATTGCAGCTGCATTTGACTGCTTCATGTTCAAATCCTTGCGCCTTTGTAAGGTCGACATTCTTCCATTTCTGCGTCGAGCGATCTCTAACAGGATAGTCGTTCTCGGTGAAGTCGGACGAAGTAGGCATTGTTCGAGCTATAGGCTATACGCAGCAGACAGCAATTATCTGCTTTGAGACCTCGGGAACATATCACACGATGTCGGGGTTTGAAGTCAGAAGAAATGTACGGTATGTAGTCGAATGGAAATGAGAAGGTACTAGATACAAGCCGAGGCATCGGGGGAGGGGCGGGATGCGGGGTTTGATGTGGGATGCATGCTTATCAGTTTTATCGGCGCTGAACTGGAGGAGTCGAGGAGATTCATGGCTGAGTCAGCGCTCTTGATTCCTGACTGCCGTGAGGAGTCGCTGTTTCTGGGCTCCGAGCACTTCGTTTATCTCGATCACGGCCGGTTCCCTGCCTTGACTGGATACAATGAATTTGCCTATTCTGTTTTCGTAACAAAGTCGTCATTATTGGCCAGGCAAGACCACTTAGCTAGCGAATTGCGAGCAGAAAGGATGGTTGAGAAACGCAGGAAACATATAGTGGTACAGCGGATAGCATTGAGATCACTGACAGTGCAAAACGGAGTACGTTCATTACAACCGCAGCGTCTATCATGTAGCAACCAGTGTTGTTTACGTATGCACATGCGATAGCCACGATCCTGATGTGTATCCAGACGAAAACTTCGACCTTGTCGTAAGTTGAGCTCCTTTTTGATGTGCTGTGTTCGGTGAGCAAACTTGTGGCAGTTCCTTGCCCTTGGGCGGCTTTTATCTCTGATCTGATGCTGGGCTGAGCATCTCTCAATCAGTCTTTCCACCAATATCTGCTGTTTGAACAATCTTCATGGGCTCCACTATACTATCTCCTCTAAGGTTACCATGCACTCTGCCCCGGCTATCTTTCGAAGATAAGCCAGATATGACCGGCGGTTTTCCAAGTCGTCAAACTGGGGGTATCTTCCAGGTAGATCGTAGGCAACCTCGACCGCTTCCTCAAAGCGGAAGAAGTCGAACTCTAACCAGATGCGGAGGTCAACAAGCTCTTGCAGGGCTTCGATCAAGCTAATCAACTCTGCTGCTGTCACGGTACACTTTGTGGTGCCGATGTTGTTGGTTGGCCATATGTGCAAATGAGTGAGACGGCGGAGGGACTGGATGTTGAGCAGCCTCTCGCTCGTGATCGTAGCATCTGCAACCGCGATGTCCAAGTACTCAAGACCATGCATTTGCGACAGCATGTCACACGAATCATGTCGCATCATCCACTCAGAACAAACTTTCAAACTCTTGAGAAAAGGCCGCACAGGATCAATGAGGAGCTGCTCATTACCCCTATCAAGCCTGATCGTCCGTAGATTCGTCGCTCGAGCCAAGAAATGATGAAAGTCTTCTTTGCTGATGCCGCTGCACTCTCCAAGGCTAAGATACTCGAGAAAGGGACATTCCATACACATGATGTCGAACCACGAGACACCTCCAAGCTCTTCGGGCCTTTGCATGTAGCTATCGTACGCAACATGGTCTCCGATGGTGATCTGTCTCAATGACGGGACGAAGATCGACCTGAGTTGCCTAGCTGTCCTCTCGCTCAGCGAAGAAGTTAGACACTCGAGAGAAGTCAAGTTAGGAAGCTTTGGCATCATCTGCTTCTTCCTTGACCCGGTGTCTCTACGCCAATGGTTACCTCTATCGGTCCAGACCGAGTATTGAATGTGTCGAACGAGCCCAGCGTAGAACGCTATTCTTTCTGGATGCCTTCTTGGTATGCCATCAAAGCGTAGTCCAGCTTCGTCAGGAGTGTGCCAGAGATGAGGCGCACCTTCGGTATACCAGGCTTTGTTGACGCGAATGGCAGCTTTCAATGTGACTTGATCTGCTTGCGAGAGTATGTTCATCCAGATCTCGGGTACGTTGCCTATTCTTTCTGCTGCAGGTGAAGCGCCAGAAGGTAGACGGTCGCCAGAGGGAAGACAGTAGATGGTGTTTACCGTGTCAGAAACCTCGGGTGATAGTGGTCCAGAATTGAAATTCTCATTTTTGATGTCGTTCCCGCTCGAGAATGTATCCTCCGCAAATCCATTCAAGAAGTTGTCTTCGTCCATAATTTGAATGAGTAGTGTAGGCGTGCAAAGCTATCTTGTCGTGCGATTCATGTGGAGACTGACTCGAGCAAGATATATTGGACACGGTGACATTCTGTGGAGCATACCACTCAGCAACGAGTTTGCAGATCAAAGGCTGTGCAGGGCGTTGACAAGCAACATTGTGACCGACTTCGGAAGTCTTGGGCTGCCGCAGTACGGCCGATATGTATTAGCGTCTTCGAACACGAAGTCGAGAGTCCTGCACTGTCTATGAGGCCAGGATGATACGAAGGACAAGGTTTTCTTTGCGCTATTGGGAAGGAGAACAGGGAAACCGAGAACATGATGGGGAAGTGGTTGTATAGAGCAGCACAGTTGTAGGCAGTGCATATGGGACTAGTGCCAGGGTGATACCATTTACGAGGGAATGTAACCTTTCTGTCGGACCGAGAGATGTAGCGAGCTGTCTGATTTGAGCGTGTTGATACTCTGACAGAACTTGGCGACAATATACAAGAGCTAGTCAGTGGCGATGTTTGCGATAGCAGTAAAACGGCGCATGCACTGAACTGATAGTCCGTGAATGTTGTCAAGGCATTTTCATTGCTTCGCGACCTCGAACGCCAATGCAATACCCGGGACAACTTCGAAGTTGAGATGGTCTTCTCCGTTGTGTCTCGGCCATTGAGATCAAGGTAGCAAAGATCGCAATACTCCTTTGAAGTTCGTGATAGAAGACAGATGGGAGTGGACGAAGTCGTCAAAGATGAGGAAGAGTCGAGGCTTGAACTCATCAAGGTTGAGCTGCCGAGGTTGGCAGGGCAACGTCGAGGCCGCACCTCTTGATCTTGGCTGTGCTTTGCCTTCTTGACAATCCATTCGAGACAACGAGGCCCAAACTACACGTCAACTCCACACTGTCGCACCTGCCGTATTCGCTCGTCAACCTTGACAAAACACGCGACCACAATCTCGTTCCCCGTCGTAAAAGCTCCCGACGCGACATCGCCGCATGCGCTCATGCTAAAGCGCACAGCCGATACCTTCCAGGAGGGATAGCAAGAGCATAGATCATATCCAAGATGGTAACAACAAAATGGTAGAGGGGCAAGCTGCTGGTCGTGATGAGGTTCATACACTCCATCTCCTGCCTGTTCCGGAGCATGCGACCAGCGACCCCCAATCATCCTTCCACCAATACCGCCAGAAGCGATGTTTGATCGGTCGCATGGATGGTCATCGAGTTCGGTACGACTTATGCTCAAGACATATCGAACCCTGCCAATACCGCCTGTTGTTGGCTGGACAGTTGTAGGTCACCCCCGGAGCATGTATATCGCCTGGACAAACACAGATCGGCGTGCTGGTCCGGTCCTGGTGACGAGACCATCCAGGCCAGGGAATGCGGGCACGTCCGACTATTATTCTGTATACGTATTGACCGAATTATGGAGGAAGCTATTGAACTGGATGACAGATGTATATCATCCACAGTGGAAGGCACTGCTGGAAAAGAGCACGAGGACCTTGTTGAGCCAGGAACGAGGCTTCGGTTCTCCCCCGATGGACAGACAGACACTCTTTGTCCTTGATCTAGAGGGTAGTTAGAGCTTGCCTTGTCTTATCAGCTCGCTGTCCAAGGTGGTCACTGCTTGTTCTGCTTGTCAGACCGCGGGACTGGAGAGAGGACGGGCCGGGTTCCGTTAGCCAAAGACGGATTTGATTCCGCCTTCGTTGCACCGTCCACGAAAGACCAGCCGTCGCTTCCAAAAATATTACGATAACGATGATGGAACCCCTCCCCACTGCTGATAGACATTGCCGGATGAGCCGCAATCAAACATAAGCAGCTCGATGTCCCGCTCTCACGGCCACATCAATCGTACATTCCAACATTGACGATGAGTGGCCGCAAAGTAAACATTGCAGAGTACTTGTTCACTCGACTCCGCCAGCTCGGAGTCAAAGATCTTCATGGTGTACCTGGTGACTTCAACCTTGTCGCGCTTGATTATGTTGAACCCTGCGGTGTGAATTGGGTCGGTAATTGCAATGAGCTGAATGCAGGTACGAAATGTCGACGTGGCCCCGATGAACATGACACTTAGAAGAACACAGGCTATGCGGCCGATGCGTACGGCCGACTGATGGGCATGGGAGCGTTGGTAACAACTTTTGGAGTCGGCGAGCTGTCATGTCTGAATGCCATTGCTGGCTCATATGCCGAGTTCTGTCCAGTGGTTCATATCGTTGGTACGCCAAAGAGAGCGGCACAGAAGAGTGGAATGCTCCTCCATCACACTGTAAGGCCTCAATCATGCCGACTAAGGACGCATCTTACATCTGACAACTTTTCAGCTCGGCAATGGCGACTTTGACGTCTTTGCCAAAATGTCGCAACCAATTTCGATCGCCCAGACGAACCTGATGGACCCAGCGACAGCTCCAGCCGAGATCGATCGCGTACTTCAAGCATGCTACGCCAACAGTCGACCAGTCTACATTCAGCTCCCAGCAGACATGGTCTTAGAAGAGGTGGACGCAAAGTTGTTGGATACCCCCATCGTCGTTGAGCCTCCGCCAAGTGACCGCCAGACGGAGGAATTGGCAGCAGAGCTCATCTTGAGGAAGCTCTATGCTGCTAAGAGACCGACACTTCTGCTTGACGCTGGTTGCCAACGTCATCGAGTCGAAGATTTGACAGAGGAATTCGCTCGGAAAACTGGGCTGCCGACCTTCATCACTCCCATGGGTAAAGGTACGGCCAACGAGCAGTCGCCCTTGTTTGGCGGTATCTACATTGGCAAACGCTCAGAGGAGAGTGTCCGAAGGAGAATTGAGGAGAGCGACATGGTCATCACTATCGGCAACGTCAAGTCAGACGTCAACAGTTTTGGCTTCTCTTACCAGATCAGTCGCCTTTCTTCCGTCGACTTGCACTTTGACCACGTTGTCATGGACTGCGCCAAATTTGAAAACTGCTACATGAAGTGGCTGCTACAACGCCTTGTCAACGAAGTTGATCCGTCCAAGATGCACATGGACAAAGTCGAGACGCCTCTACTCAAAAGCACGCGACTCACCAAAGGTGAAGTAGCGAAAACTCAGGACATCACACATGATTGGTTGTGGCCGCGCATCTCGTCTTGGCTGAAATCAGGTGATGTTGTGATCACAGAGACAGGTACATCCTTCATTGGTATCTGGGAGACCAGATTCCCACCAGGCGTGCAAGCTATCAATCAGACTCTCTGGTCTTCCATAGGTTATGGCCTCGGTGCAGCGCAAGGTGCAGCTCGCGCGATGAAGACATTAGGTGGTGGTCGAAGGACTATTTGCTTTGAAGGCGATGGTAAGTGTCTTGCAATTTGGGACTCAAACTCAATATCGTGCTGACGCGCCTAGGATCATTCCAACTCACAGCTCAGGAAGTGTCGACGATCATCAGAGAAGACTTGGATTGCACCATCTTCCTGATCGAGAACGACGGCTACGAAATCGAGCGCTGGGTGCATGGCATGCAGGCCAAATACAACGACATCAGCAAATGGCGATACAGCAAGATCGCAGAAGTTTTCACCCCCGAGGAGACCGCTTCCCAGCATCGCGTCAAATCGTATAAGATCGGCACTCGCCCAGAGCTTGAGCAGCTGCTGGCAGACGAAGACTTTTCGGCCGGAAAGGGCTTGCATGTGAGTCTCAGGACACCTTGGCTTGCATTGGTGTTTCGCTAATAACCAAATAGTTCGTCGAGTTGCATATGCCAAAATACACCGCACCTCAAACGCTGATCGACTTTGCTCAAAATTTGTCCAAGAAGTCGGATTAGAGAAGGCTTCGGGACGGACACCGATGGCTCCGGAGAAGGAGCGTCGTCTCGACAAGGCGGAGTTGATCATTTGACAGATGCGTATCATGCACGTTCGCTTCCTGGTCGATCCTCAGTCTATATACAAGTAGATCCTCCGCAACCCCGTGTCGATCGTCGAGAATCGGCGTGATCACCTCGGTTCATGCGCGATCGCTTCGGTAATTCTATACCTCAAAGCCTTGTACCTCCACGAAATACGACCAACTTTCAGTCTTCACCACTGTTACAACACGAGTAATGTTGTCTTGAGATTATGTCAGCGGGAATAGTATGGACCAAGAGATTTGTCACAACATGTCAAAGCACGTGCGCTTGTCACCGACTCTTTCGTCATGCCGGCCGTTGAACCACAGAACTTTATACATGACTAAGTAGCGCCTACCGAGGCCGTCAGGCACACATCACGTTTTTACAACGTTCTTCTTGCGAATACACGAGAGGATCTGCAAAGCCCCACGCTCCCAAAGGGCGGACTCAGCGAATACTATCGAACTTTTCGGCAAACAGTGCCATGCACAATGGTCATGTCGGCTCCTGCAGCAACTCTTCAGGGTCAAGTGGGGACGGTCTTGTCCATGGACTAACGGATGAAACTTGGCCGCCTGAAAGACAGCGGTGTATAAGAAACGCGAGTGGCCCACCCTTCTGACGTTGATCTCCTCGCCGTCTCTCAGCTTGCCTGTTGCTCTGTTCCGGCTATCAACATGCTGTCCTTTGTCCGAGACATGCTTCCATCGATCGCTGTCGGGGCTCTGCTTTTGCCCACCACTCTGGCTGCTATTCTGCCTGAATACGATCCATTCTATGATGCTCCTGCTGGCTACCAGGACAAAGCTCCTGGAAGCATTCTCCGCACCCGCAAAGTTGTCACAAGCTATTTCGGTCTGATTCCTGATGCTGTAGAAGCATGGCAATTGCTCTATCGTACCACTGCTATCAACGGTACTGCCATCGCATCGGCAACGACCGTCTTCAAACCTCTCAACCCAAAGCAGAATAGCTTTGTCAGCTTCCATACTGCATATGACGGTTCCTCGGAGACAGGCGCTTGCGATCCCAGCTACAACTACCAGCTGCTAGCTCCCCAGGTTGATCTGATCTCATCGGTCGAGTTCCTCTTGCTTCAGGCCTATCTGCTGGAGGGTTTTGTTGTGCAGTCGCCTGACTACGAAGGCCCTGATGCTGCTTTCGGCGCTGGTCGTCTTGCTGGTATGGGTGTTCTTGACAGCATGCGTGCTGTTGCCAACTTCGGTTCGACTCTTGGCTTCACTACCTCCACTCCTAACATTGTTGGTTACGGCTACTCTGGCGGTGCCATTGCTACTGGATGGGCTGCTTCTCTGATCTCAAGCTATGCTCCTGAGCTCAATGTTCTTGGCTGGGCACAAGGTGGTACGCCCGCTAATTTGACCGGTACCGCCGTTTTCATCGATGGCACACTCTTCGCTGGCTTCCTTCCTCAAGCTCTTGTCGGGCTCTCTACACCCACAGCTTACGGTGCCCAACTCAACCCTGTCTTTGATAGCATCATCACGCCTCTGGGTCGTCAAGAACTCGACTCCGCCGAACAGATCTGTGGTGTTGAAAACCTGTTCACCTTCGCCTTCCAATCAGTCCGGAGCACAAAGTTCCAGACTCTTGGTAACCAAGTTTTCTACGACCCTACCATTGCTGGAGTCCTTGATCAGAACGTCATGGGCATCAACGCAAATGAAACTCCCAAGGCTCCCGTGTACATGTACCACGCCACTAACGACGAAGTCATCCCTTATGCCAATGCTTCGACACTCTACTCTGACTGGTGTGCTGACGGCGCATCTGTTCACTTTACCACTGTGGCTGCTGGTGGTCACGCAACAACTGAAATTCTTGGCTTTGTGGGCGCATTCAACTTTGTCAAGGCTGCCTTTGCTGGTAATTACACAAGTGGCTGTTCGACTTCGACCGAGTTGGCAAATACTCTGGATCCGTTGGCACTTGGTGTTCAGCTTGAGCCTGTCATCGTGAACTTGTTGAATGCTCTTGCTGTCGCGGGCAGAAAGGATATTAACATCAAGAACAACATCACCACGCTCAACGAGACCGTTGTTGCTTGAGGTGGTTGTTCTGGTGACTGAAGAATGATGAATATGATATAATGATATACGTCTGCAAACATGTATTCGAAGTGCAATGGGTAATCAGGTAGCATCACCCTTGAATAGCGATGTCGATATGTCAGCATCTAAGATAGAGCAGCGCCATGACCTTTGTAGCGATAAATTTGTGTCTGGAGCGTGTTCGTAAATGTGAGATAGCTGTTTGAGCGACGACCAGGTTCCTTTGTCGGGATTTTTTTCGTAGCATTGAGCTAGGAAGCGGGCCGCAAAGCTTGATGATTGTGCTCAATGAAGGTAAGGTGAAGGGAACGTGCTAAGCAGCATGACTCATTCACAACTAGTAAGGCAGCCGTGCCGTGTGCTTAGCAGCGCTGAACATGCATGAAGGAGCGGTCAAGAGAAGCAGGTTCGATGAGGTCAAGCAACAGCGACGTCAATCAGTTGTAAAGAGGATTGGTGGCGTAGGCGCGAAGGATCAGTGACGGCGAGCTATCCAACAGAATCTCCAGGCTGTGAGATAAGATCATAAGACGCATTTGTAGCGGGGAAGCGATCTGCATTCTGCCGGGGGGTAAACCTATATGAACAAGTGTTTCTTTGCTGCATGTACATTATTACTTTTACCCTCAAGCTTTTGCCAAGTTACACGGCAGATATCGTCGCTATAATACTCAGCCAAGGCATCAAAAATGGCTGGATCGAGTGAAAATGGTGCATCATCTGATGCGTACGGCCTCACAAGAGATGCAGTCGAGTCTCAAAGACTCAATGCTCAACACAATATTTGGAAAACGAATATCGGCTACATGTTACACCCTCGCATCCAAAAGGATCTGGCGGAAAATCCATGTATCGGCGACGTAGGAACCGGAACAGGCATCTGGATCGTGGATCTAGCCTCCGAGATGGCAAGCAATGGCAAAGCAGCGTGAGTATCCGATGTCGCATACCACCCATCGTCATGTCATTCCACTGCTTGGATCATAGACTGAGACTGGAGTAGTAAATACGAAGGTCTGGATATCAGTTCCTCTCAGTTCCCACAGAATTCGCCGGATGGAATCACCTTTTCGACTTTCAACCTACTAGAGCCGGTGCCCAAGCACATGCAAGCAACTTTCGACGTCATCCATCTGCGCCTTCTGATCCTCGGTCTCCCTCGAAATACCTGGAAGACAGCATGCGAAAACATATTCGCCTTGTTAAAACCTGGTGGCTGGGTACAATGGGAAGAAGCTGATTTTGCGTATGAGGTCCCATCGCATTATACGCTGTCACAATAATGGTACTCATGGAATTTCACAGTCGCATTAACACGCTCCGAAACGTGCCTGGTGTAAGCATATCTGCAGCGCGACAGCTCTCGGAAGAAATCATCCGCCACGGCCGAAAAAGCGGGCAAGGCTGGGACGACGTACCAAACCTTCCATTCACCATGTCCAGCGTTGGTTTCAGCGACGTTTGCGTAGATGTCTTCGCCTCTGATCGTGTGGCAAGCACTCGACAAGGATTCAGCGACAGCGTCATTGGGGCACTCGCTGGCATGATAAAGATGTTTGTTAAAGCTGAGGGAGAAGACAGTTTTTGGACGGGAGAGGGAAAAAAGTTGCATGCTGACGCGGCTGAGGAATTGAAGGATGAGAAGGCGTATTATAGAGCTGAGATTAATGTTGTTTTTGCGCGTAAAGAGGTTTGATGGTTGTATTGATAGAGCCAGCATGACCATCGCTGAGTTGCTTAGCTAATATAGAACTGTAGATCCAGATCATAGATGATAGAAGTATTACCAGTCATCCAAAGGCGTTTCTTGTCCGCCGAGAGGATCCGGCCTCGTTCTTGTAATCAACAGACGAATATTCGAGATCGATCAAGCGGTTGCGCACATAGGAGTTGCCGTGGCAGGAAGGATCATCAAGACGAGACACATAGAAACAGAGTTTGACAGCCTTGATGTTTGCGCATACTCGTGCCCAGAGCCTAAAAACTACGCGCGACCCGTCATGGCGGCGGTGCAAGTCTTGGATGCCGCAGTGGTGAATATGGACATCACAGAAAAGCGCTCGAAGCCATGTGAGCACTACGTAGCGAAGTGCGCGAACTGCTAAGACTTGCGTACCTCAAAATCTTTTGAGTTCTAGAAGTCCCAAGGCTTAGTCAGAGCGGAATGATGTTCGAGTTGGGAAGTCCTTCGGCACGGGACCAAACTCTTGACAAGAGCCCTGTTCCTCTCAAAGCATAGATCAGAATAGATGTGTTTAGTTCTAAGATCAATCCTACAATAGGTGACTAGGCTGTCATTTCCTTATCTCAGCCGTGGCTACATAAGGTACCGTGGCAAAAAATCGCAAAGAGTCGGTCGATACTTTCCAGCGCGATCCGAACTCAGACTAGCTAGTCGGAGTGCTTTTCTGATTGGCATTGTCCAGAATCCAGGAGAAGAATTTATCTTTCATCTTCTCATATGGCATTCCGATGTAAGACAAGAGGATACTGTCGTGTGGTTCGTCCGGGCAGATTATGGTTTCCACATCGCTTGCTTGAGTCTACACACTAAGATTCAGTCTTTGAGCTATCAAGGGAGAAACCAAAGAAGCTTACATTCAATTTCTTACTGAATTCAAGAATGTCATTCACAAATACTTCGTCTTGACCGGCGGCTATACAAATCTTATCCGCGCGTATACCAGACCACCAGTCCGGAGGCGCGAGAAGAGGCGTGTTGTATGAGTCAGGCTTCGCGCCCCCAAGGAAAGCTTGAGACCATTGGTGCAGAGCGCGTGAATCCAAGACATCTTTCCAGGCATTCTCTTTGAAAGCGGCAGCTGTCCCATCAAAAGTTACCCAAGGTGAGAGCAAGACAACTTTTTTAAAATTTCCCGTAGGAGTGATGCGGTCAACTTCTGGATGAGGCTTCGAGATGTGTGACAACAGAGCTAGGGCCAGATTAGCTCCAGCTGAATCTCCAGCCAGGATAATCTGTAGATCGTTAGCACCGCTGTCTGTGCATGGTATTAAGCATGATTGACCTTTCCGAGAGGGCGTTGCATGGTATTAGTGAGGTAATCGAGAGCCTGTACGGCCTGTTGCAACTGGGCCGGATAACAAGCACTCGGGATCAGATCTGCTCACAGCTTCAGCGTGGACCCCAGCGATGGAGGATGGTCTGCAGATACCATATTGAAGAAACAGTGTCGAGAATGAAGCATTGTTTTTCGCAGCCCGAGACTCTGCCTCAGCCACGAGGTCGTAGTGACCAGGACTTGCCGACGCTGCGTAACCTCCGCCTGTGTCGGTCAGAATGTGGCTCATCCTCTGTGCAAAACACAACTTACCATGGAAGTACAACATAGTAGTGTCGGCATGCTTGTCACCAATCCAAAAGGCCTTGGTCTTGCCGTTTTGCAATGTAACGGTCTCTACTTTGTTCGAGGGATTCTTGATCTTCCATTTCTCAAACACATCTTCGGATGAACCAGATAAAGCTCTGAACAACATCAGCACACGTGATAGCTAGATTGAGTTTAAGGATGCTGCTTCACGCACTGCATGATTGGAATAGAAGCATTTCGGATCAGCGTACGACCAACGCTGAAGCCAACATGTGCTTTAAGACTCTTGGGTGTGGTCTTACGAAACGCCAGACGCCTGAATACAGTTGCTGGAGGCACAACGAACACTGACAGGAGATCAGCATACCGTATGGGGTCGCTCATCAGAGCTATACAGTGATTCGATCTTGATCAAGCCTTACATATCTTAGCAAAAGCGTTCAGCAGAGAGCCATAGTCTCGCAGACCGAGCTTTCCTTTCACGACCATGGTGGTGCTTCTCGACCTGTACTAGACAAGCTTCCGGGCGGGCCTTTGATCAAATGTACAAGTACTGCCCACATTCTGGTCCCCAAAAAGCGGGGTAAACCCTTCTGTCAATTCAAATGAAACCACAAGCCCTCGGTCAACTTGAGTTTTGGCAGTGGTGCTGGATCGTTGTCAACCGGAAAAGACAACGTTCGTGGGAAATAGTAGATCCGGATAGCCGGATACATTCTTCCCGAGCTGAGCGGCACGGCGAACGCGGACCCTGACCTTTGCACGCGTGCTTTCGCAAGTCTGGTATGCGGTCGCAGTAGTCTTGCAAACCACTTCATGCGCTGAATATCACTTCCAATTTTCACCCCTCTCAGGCAAGAACGAATTTGCAAGATTCAAGGAGTCTTCAGCGAGCAATGCAAATTCCTGACGGGTTTCTGATCAACGTCAACCAGGGCGAGATGATGCTCCATGTCACAATGCAATTCAATACGGTCTGGCTTCGTAGTCATCTCTCTGGCCTCGTTCAAGCTTGCGAGCATAGGTCCAAGGCTGCTGTCGTTGCAAATCTTGGAGTAGAAATATGAAGGACTCCTTATGATTCTGTTTTGTCAAAGCAGCGATTGCATGTGACATGCGTTCATCACCGACCGCGTTCGTTCTCTCAAGTGATATTGTCCACTTGATTGACTGCGATAGGGTGAGCAGATTAGTCCTCGTTAATCTGTAGTGTTTCAGGTAGCGTAGTCGCCACACATGAGATATGATGTGTCTCAAGTCGTCCGCAGCGAAACGCATGTTTACAGTGCGTGTATGAGATCGACGAGGAGGTCCTGCTTGTCCATGACGGTGTGACATCAGATGGCCAGCGTCTGTCTGTGCTCACTATCACTATACGTAGCTAACTGCATCCCAATTCTTCACCTGGGGTTAACATCTCTGCATGCCGTCAGGAAACTTGAAGGATTCAACCACCAGATATACAAAAGCGTTGTCTTGTCGAAGATCGTGATGCTTGAAAGGCTAAGCAATCTCAACTCCGAACGAGGTCTCGAGACTATTTGACGAGCTTAAAAGCCGCTGAGTCCTTTGGCTCTCCCAGATCCGAGCGAGGTGCACTCTTACTTGCCATATTGAGCTCTGTGAAGAACAATTGCTAGATGTTCGGACTTTTTTCGAACGACTCTAGCCAATCGTAGTGATGTTGCATACCGCCTCCAAATTAAAGCTGACGGCCCGGTCCTCCGAAGCGAGCAGCTACACATCTTGAGTTCATCTAGCATCGTCTCGTAGAGGGTTACAAGCGACCGTTGAGCTGAGAGTGCAAATTGCGCTTGTCAGTAGAAAAGGCAACTAGTGCAGCGCGCCGGCCATGAGATCGAGGGGAAGACCAAGGGGAAACCTCTTTCGAGCGAAACGTGTATCGATATCGTACAGCGAGGGCCTGCGATGATTGCAGTGAACAAGTATAACGATTATTGTAAGCTGTCGCGTAAGCGCCAGAACAATTGGCCCGGATTGCGTCCGGGATGACTGTCTCCACGATGAGTCGTACGATCGCATAATATGGAAGCCGTATTGTGGGCATCACAAGACAAGAACGCCGGGATTGAGCAACGTCGCCAATATGTCTAGTTACCCGAAGGTCAACCCTTTGCGTCCATCTGATTCCGCCAGTATAGTGCCATTGTTTGAGCAGCAGGGCAGGGTCATGAACGCGACAATCCCGAGCCCGACACATTCAACCTTCTTGAGAACATGATGACTTCAAAGCAGCTTGTCAAACATGAATCGACACAAGTAAAGCTAGATCTAAGCGAGTCAAGTCGAAGTGCAAGGGTCAAGCAAGAGAGGAGTCAATGGGATGAACGAAAGCGGGAGGATGAAGCTGCCAAGACAGCACGAAAGGGAAAGGCGGGAAAGTGCAGAGCGTGGGGGATGGATCTGTGTGGGTCGCGACCGCCAGGACCAACGACGCGACGAGCTTCGATCTTTTCTTTTCTCTCCTTCATCTTCGCAAACCGCCGAACCAGCCCAGGATTCATCTTGTACAACTACATCCTGAGAGGCCGATCAAAGTCAAAGATCTCTGCAATCGATCGGACCGGAACGAATAGGTAAGCGACAAGGCGCAGCGTCAATGCCAAAGTCTACTCTGGTTCAGTCGACGCCCACCAGCCTGGGCAAAACATTGCAATCAGCGCAATCGTCACAGTCGCTCTGCGATTACACAACGTATAATGTCAGCAGGCACTTTTGCCGTTGACCAAGGAATCCAGCAGGATGCGACGACTGTAGATAATGCGACGCTTTGCAAGCGACAACAATCCTTGGACCTTGGCAGCCAAGCTCTTGTCCATCACATTACTGGCTTGGGGTTCTTGGGCGCTCTTGAGCAACTGATAAGCTCTCGACTGGATCTGATACAAGTATATCGCTGCTCGTATGTTGCGAGGTAGGTCAGACAGTAGCTTTTCTTCGTTCCATTTCTCATTCATATCTCCTGCTTTGAGGTGAACACATTAAGCAACACTCACCAACATGATGGAGAAGACAGCTCACGAGGACGTTGTGGGCGGTAAAGCCTCGCCCCAGTTGAGCCACGATGATGCCTACGTGACCGATTATTCAGTCGAGAAGGCACCTTTGATGACCAGACTTGGCCTGTCTCCCGACTCGTTCAGACGTCGTACACTTGAAGACAAGCACAATCAGCTCAACAAGACCCTCAAGGGTCGCCACTTGAGTATGATTGCTATTGGTGGCTCTATTGGCGCTGGTCTGTTTGTCGGCTCCGGCGGTGCTTTACGAACTGGAGGCCCTGCTTCGTTGCTGATCGGCTTTGGAATTATGGGCGTTGTAAGTCATTTTGTGCTGCGTTCATCTCAACAAACACTGACATGGCCAGATGATCTTCAACGTTGTCTACGCCCTTGGTGAAATGGCAATCATGTATCCCATATCTGGAGGCTTCTACACATACTCTGTGCGATTCATCGATCCTGCTTGGGGTTTCGCCATGGGTTGGAACTACGTCTTCCAGTGGGCAATCGTGCTTCCACTCGAACTTACCGTCGCAGGTCTCACGGTCAACTATTGGGGCGCCGATGTCAACGTCGGAGTATGGATCACCGTCTTCTTCATTCTTGTCGTAATAATAAACATCTTTGGTGTCCTTGGCTATGCAGAAGAAGAGTTCTGGGCGTCTCTTCTCAAGCTGTCGACTGTCTCTATCTTCTTGATCATGGGTGTCATTTTCGTCTGTGGTGGAGGCCCATCCAACGGCAAATTCAGCGAGTATTGGGGTGCGCGCAATTGGTACGACCCAGGTGCTTTTGCCGATGGCTTTCCTGGTCTTTGCTCAGTTTTTGTCACTGCCGCTTTCTCTTTCTCTGGCACTGAGCTTGTTGGTCTTGCTGCTGCCGAGTCTGCGACACCTCAGAAGTCTCTTCCTTCTGCTATCAAGCAAGTCTTCTGGCGCATCACTCTCTTCTACATCCTTGGTCTGTTCTTCGTCGGTCTGCTCGTCCCTTACAACGACCCACGTCTTCTAGGTTCTGGCGGCTATCTCGATGTTTCGACTTCGCCATTTGTCATAACCGCAGTGGATGCAGGTATTCCTCGCTTTGGCGACTTTGTCAATGCTGTCATTTTGGTTTCAGTCATCTCGATCGGTCTATCTGGTGTCTACGGAGGTTCTCGTACCTTGACCGCCCTGGCTGAGCAGGGATATGCTCCCAAACTGTTCACGTACGTCGACAGAGCCGGTCGTCCTCTCTGGTCGACTATCTTCATCCTTGCATGGGCGCCGCTCGCCTATATCACGCTTGCTAGCACTGGTGTCATTGTGTTCGACTGGCTACAATCATTGTCTGGTTTGGCTGCACTGTTCACGTGGGGCTCTATCTGTCTTGCCCACATCCGCTTCCGCGCTGCATGGAAGTATCACGGCCACAGTACAGACGAGCTTCCCTTCAAAGCTATCTTCGGTGTGGTTGGATCATGGATAGGCCTGATTCTCATCATTCTTGTCCTCATTGCTCAGGTATGTTTCTGTGTCGCAAGCCCTTTTCAATATGCTGACAATCACAGTTCTACGTTGCTGTCAAGCCCCTCGACGCCGAAGCATTTTTCGCTTCCTACCTCGCCTTTTTTGTCGTCGTCGCGTTCTATATCGTGGGATGGCTTTGGAAGCGTCAGACCTGGCACAGACTTGCCGACATTGATGTCGATTCGGGCCGTCGCGAGATTGACTGGGAACATTTCAACAAAACGAGAGCTGTGTACGAGTCGTACCCAAAATGGCGCAAGATCTTGAGTCATTTGTTCTAGGTGGTGCATATTGAGATGTTGATACGAAGAGTCGCATGCATTGGAGTGACGTGCGAAAATTGCTCAAGCTAAAGACACTCCGTGACATTGTCATCAACTATAATATCTGGAATCTTCTTCCTCCGTTGCACAACAACCCTGCTTGTTATTCATGTCTGTGCCGATATTGACTGCATGTGGTGCTTGCTTTTCCGCGCCGCTTCTTTGGGGTCTACTCCGGTCAAGTCTCTTTGCATCCCCCGAATTTTAGTCATGCATATCATCTCGTCCTTCATCGAATGTTCTGCTCCGCCACCACCGCCAGCGGAAGTTGCAGCCAAGATCTTTGCCGAGCTTGAATTCAGGTGCCCAGATTCTTGTCTCCTTCCACATCCGGAAAGAGGTTACATGTCGCGCATAGTCGCATGCAGACATTTTGGTCGTGACTTTTCTCCCGCCTGCCCAGGAAATTGTTCGTGGGGGTGTCACTGCCAAGTGTCTGTAGGGCCCTTGCCGGTCTTCGTATCTTCTACCAAGACCCCTTCCCCTCAATCCTTCTGTATCGGAAGGCGGCTGTGCTCTTGGTATGGCCACTGCTACAGATAACAGTACTTCCTTGCCCAATGACACGACGCAGATTACCTGGCATAGTGAGATCGTGCAGGTTCCGCTCGAACAACCTCCTTCGGCATAACGACGACTCCCATTTCGCGACCGAGGTATCAAATCTCCTACCATTGGAAAGAAACCTTCCATCAGGACACGGGGCTTTCTCAACCGAGAGCTTGCATATCCTTGCAGCAGCGCATATTGGCGCAGCCTGAAAGTCTTGTGCCATGTTGCTCTATGTCTCTTAAAGGAAGGTAGCATCTTTGACAAGACTTGGTCCCTAGGATGTCTACTGTTCTTGCGCGATATGGCGTACGGGCGAACCATCAACATTACCATTTATATGCGAATGCGCACAAGCGCCGCAGGCAAGGAAATATATAAGTACGAGCAAGCACTCACACGAAGACAAAGTCTCAACAGCTTCAACTTCTTCCTTCTGCTATTCTCAGAATCGCATACCACCAGCATGAAGTTCTTGCACCTTGCTCTTCTCCTGCTGCCGACCTGGGTATCGGCATACACGGAAGCCGACTATGACAGCGGCAAAGTGCACCAGATGATCATGGATAGAAAGCATGTATGTTGCTGTTGACTTGCGTTGCAGGCTTGGACTCACGTTTGTTTAGGCATCCTGGGAGAAGCACAGAAAGGGAGGCGAATACAACAGCAAGAAATGGAGATCTTTCTTGAAACACCACAAGGACAAGGACGTCATCAAATGCAACTCGAAGGGACTTGCAGTTGTCGAGCCAGGCAATCCTTCAGAGACTTTCAGATGCAAGAATGTGAGTTACTGTGGCGGAACAATCTGAATCCGACTGACATGTCCAGATCGACTACTACGACTTCAAAAGTCATGCCGACCTTGGCTCATTCGCTGGAGAAGGATCTTCATCCTGGGGCTGGGTCTCTCCCAATGGTCGCGAGTTCGTTGCCATTGGACAAGCCGATGGTACTGCCTTTGCTGAAATAAACAAGCACGGCAAGCTCGTCTACCTTGGACGTCTTCCGCAGCAGTCTGTTTTCTCCCAGTGGAGAGAGATACGCTCGTACAAGCACTACATGGTGATTGGATCTGAGGCACGCAACCACGGCATTCAATTCTTTGACATGAACAAATTGCTTGACATTGATCCAAGAAGTCCGAAAAACTTCAGCATCACTGCAGATGTCACTGGACTATTCACCGATCTTCCCATCGGTCGCACTCACAATGTGGTCGTCAACGAAGAACTTGGCTATGCTGTCTCTGTCGGTGCCCAACCTCGCAACAGCACTTGCCGAGCTGGTCTCATCTTCATCGATGTCAGCGATATCACCAAGCCTGTCTCTCCTGGTTGCGCAGGTCAAGATGGCTACGTCCACGATGCTGAGTGTCTTGTCTACCGGGGTCCTGACAAGCGCTACTTTGGTCGCGATATTTGCTACGGCTACAATGAAGATACTCTCACCATCTATGATGTGACCGACAAGACCGGCGTTAACTCCTCAAAGATCATTTCTCGTACCCCGTATGTCGGAGCGTCGTACTCACATCAAGGTGCTGTTCTCGATCGCAACTGGCAAGAATACCTTGTTCTGGATGATGAACTGGACGAGGAAGACCGTGCCGGTCCTGCAGCTGACCAATACCCTGTGACATACATCTTCGACATTCGCAACTTGGAAAAGCCAGTCAATACAGGCCACTACAAATCCAAGCAGAAGGCCATCGATCACAACCAGTATGTCCATGATGGTCTCGTCTTCCAATCAAACTATGCTGCTGGTCTTCGCGTCTATGATGTAAGCGGTATTCCTGCCGATCCGACCGGTGGAAATGTTGAGGAAGTCGCATACTTTGACATCTACCCTGAGGATGATGCGACCGACGGGCTGGTCGACTTTGTAGGTACATGGAGTCATTTTGCTGGGTTTCCGTCGGGCTACATCATGATCAATACCATCGAAAGAGGTGTCTTTGTCGTGAAGATGAACAAATTTGGCAAGAAGGGCCACGGAAAGTGGTGGAACAAGCCACGCAAGAACCTATAAAATAGGGTTTGCAATACTTTGATACAATACTAACTAAGCTATATCATGCTCCTAAACTCAGAACCCTGGGTATAGTGACAAATAAGTAGTCTGCCTTCTTTAGATCATATGGTATTAGTTAATCCTATATCCTATCTAGTTCTATACTTAGAGTTATACAACTGGAGTAGAGATATACTTATCTAGCTACTTAGCTATCCTAGGTAAGAAGGACTATTATAGCTCCTTATATATCTATAAGGTCTTCTTTCCTAGTAGGCCTTTTTAGCTAAGAACAGAAAACCCCAAAACCCAAAGTATCTACTTTAACTGCAGGATTTAACGATTTAGGTTTGATTGCCTAAATCTTACTATCCCTTGCCGATTGCGCCTCCTGCTTGTCTTGCTCATCTGGGAAATCCTTGGTCAGATAATCCCTAAACTTATCTACAGGCGCCGCCATCAATCCTGTTAGCAGTTCCAAATAATAACTTGTCGGTGCACCCGGGTGACTCTTTGTCGGTACAATCTTCTTGGTGCGTTCGAAGCTCACTGCCAACTGCTCACTCTCCTCACGGGACAACAAGCTTTCGAGGCGAGGCATGTCTTCTTCCTTCTCGTGCTCAATGTGGTGATGAAGGAGATCCATCAACGTGTCCAGCAGGGGCATGAACTGCGGATCGACTGGTGTCATGTCCTGCACCTTGTAGAGGTAGTCCTTGACCTGATCGAACATCATCAGCTTTGACCGGCACACACAGATACTGCACAATGGACATACGCCTTGATGTTGCTCCTTGTCAGTCTTGGACAGTCGAACACCTTCTTCTCCCAGATGCTTCTCCATAGCAGGGTACCATGTCAGTTCTTCACTGATGGCGTGACGGGCAACAGTCCAAGTAAGCTGGTTTCTCCAGCGAACCTTCGCAGCATCGTCGGTGGCATTTTTCAGATTTTCATACAGAACATCGAACTCGTCATGGTCAGCCCCGATTGCCTCTGAGAGTAGTTTGCCCATGTTGATATTTCGAGCGATTTCTGAGTGTGAGATGAGGTTAGGTATGTACAGACTGAGGCCTGTGGTTAGCGAAAGAGAGATGGGATAAAGAGCACCAAATATTGGTCCGCCTCTTTGAGTGACGACATGACGATTACAACCCCGTACTAAGCCGGTTCGATACAATACTTGTGCTTGGCATACATGCCGCTATTGCCGTCCGTGTCGAACTTCGGGGTAGACTGTGGGGTAGATGCATGACGAGGTGTTGCAACGCTAATTTTCGCCTGTTGATCCGCACAGTGGCTCGAGTCTGCGCTGTCGTCATGAACAAAGTAAAGCACGGTGGGGAGGTTTGGTGTAAGGGTCCATTCGAACAAAGGGTGCGACCACCTTGGCAAGAGTCAGAGAGAATTCGATACTTCCGATGGCAAAGGAGAACTAACCAGTGGTTGAACACGCCGCGCCACTTTTCAACAGTGGGTATCGAATCCCGACAATGGAACAAAATAGGCAGGTACGAAATATGCCCTGAGCTCGCTGGAAGCTTGCTAATTGAGTGAAGGGCTGGTTCGAAAGCGATCCGGGTCTGGCTACCTTATTGTTTCTCCGTATGATTGACTGGACCCAAGACATGGTCAAATGCTAACTAATAATGTTTATACCCAATTTGCACTTTCCTAAGGTTAAGAGATAAGGACCATTATGTATAGATTCTTGCTTATATGGCTATACTTAGACAACTAGAGATTCTTAGGGTTTTATACTAGGTAGGATTAATTCTTTTATTAATTATAGCTTACTAGCTAGTACTTAGGGTTTTAGGGTTTTAGGGTTAGGGTTAGGGTTAGGGTTTGCAGAACTTCGATACAATACTATATAAGCTATATTATGCTCCTAAACTTAGAAACCTAGGTGCGGTAAGGAAACAGGTGGTCTACCTTCTTTAGATCGTGTAGTGTTAGTTAATCCCGTATCCCATCCAGTTCCGGGCTCGGAGTCGGACAAGTAAAGTAGAGATGTACTTGTCTAGCCATTCAGCTATACTAGGAGAGAAGGACTGTTGCAGCTCCTTATAGGTCTGCGAGGTCTCCTTTCCCAGTAGGCCTCCTTGGCTAAGGATAAATGGTTTGAAAGCCTGGCCTAGGTTTCGGTATTTGTTCTTCTTGTCCTGTTCGGCTGCT